CTCTGTGGCATTGACATTAAGGCTCTGGGCTATCCACTCCGAGATCGATTGGTTCCTTTTGGCTCTTCTGTCTAGCGAACCATGTCTGCTAATGAGCCTCCTAGACCAAGACCTAACCTAGCCTGCACATATTCGCTCTGACGGTGCGACACGTCTGCCATGTGGACGGCGAGTCAGATCCTATCCTATCCATCAATTCCTTCAGTAAATAAGTATCGGTCTTGTTCTATGTATCTACCATCCGAGCGATTCACCTCCATGACCTTCTAGAAGGCTCCGATTCCACGACTATGTTAATGCTCCTCTTCTACCATGTAGATGTATAATAATTCGCAAGAACAAGTTGTAGACTGTTTATCCTTATTTATCATTGTGTTTGAACTACTTCAAGAGGATGAAGTTTCATCGTATTTTTGACTGAACTAGAAGAAGTTCAACTTCTTCTAGTAGTATTAATTGATCGTCGTTGGAACTGCAGACATTGTCGATGCGAACGAGACTTCTCTGTAGAAGACGCTGCAAGGTCGTGTCCTCCTCCTCTAATGGCTGTAAAAGATATCGAGATCAAGACTCTTTTTGCTCCGGAGGGCGTCAAACTGCCTGAGGGTTTCACAAGTAAGCTTACGGCCTGAGCTAGATGTATGTCGACCCCACTTTTTTGAGATTATCTATCTGGTGTATTGTAGTAAAATAATTTAGGTATCATCTAATCGTGAAGCAGCTTCGTGATCATCCTAGTTTTGCACGCAGCTTAAGTATGCTAATTATATGTAACTTAACAGCGGATCATCCTCAGCCCGTCAGCTTTCATCAGGGAAATCCGTAGAACTCGAAAGAGACTCAGGGAAGGCGTCGGCCCAATCCGAGCCGACTAATGAATGTCATCAATAGCCTCAGTATGCTGACTCTAAGCAATCAGATATCAAGCTATTTGCAGTGTAAGCGCAAAGTAGTTTAAGTATCATAGTACATCGCTCATGAAGATAGTAGAAGGCACGAACTACCAAGTATGAACTACGTTAGAGCCAGACCAGGACTCTTTTCTCGACGTTGCGCCGCCTTGCTTTTTTTCTGAAAATGCAGCCAGGGCCAGGGCCTGGCGCACTCCAATGAATATACCTCGGCCACCGCGTGGCCGTGGGCCCTCGGAGCCGTCGATATCCGCAGGGAGGCAGCTGCCAAGGCTATCCGGCTCTTCACACATGGAGGCAGCACCCCGAGCAAGGACCGGAGCCAGGCAAGGGGTACCCGATGCGGGTCCTTTTATTTTGGCCAAAAATGATCCGGGACAAATGAGGCGCATTTTGCGCCCCGTTTTTCGAGAAATAATGTCGACACGCTTAAAACCGTTTCACGAGGAACGAAGCGATGCGGCCTAGCCCTAGTGGGTCGGAGGGGGTGCTTTAGTTATGGCGACACTTTTGGGCCCAAAATGGTCGCCAAATGGCCCGCCTCGTTGGTTTGGCGCGTCAAGCAAAGTGGGCCCTTTTTGTCCCCTTTTGTGCTTGTCTCTTAGGCCCCTCTGTTCGGAGCTTGCCAGGGGAGTCGGCCCCCCTGGAGGCGGTTATAGCGCCTACGCTTCGCCATTCCAGGGAGGGGCGCCCCGCTGCTCCGCGGGTCTACTGCAAAACTCGAGGTGTGGCGACATCGGTCTCAAGATCTCTGGGCCTCCTTATTCTGGCCAAAATCAAAAGGCGAGCTAGGTAGTACAGCGAGAAAACCCCCGGTCTAGCTCCGAGGTGTCTTTTGTTATCATGAAGCTGCTTCACGGTCTTGCCCTCAAGCTGGAACACTATGGCGCCTTTTGTGAGATTATTTGTACTGTGTTGTTAGTCACCGTTTTTGGCTCAAGGTTACAGACACAGCAGCAACCCACCAGCCACACGGCGATGGGCGTTTGTTAGTTCCTTTGGCTTTGACTTGTTCCACCACAAAGGTGATGGCGATCGCCTCAAACACAATCGCGATAGAGAAAGAAGAGCCTAGTAAAGAGGGGACTCGGGTAGTCGTCGTCTCATCTGTTGCTTCAGTGGTTGAACCAAAGAAGACAAGAAATATACTCATTCCACGAGGGGAGGGCATGGCGGGAGACAACTAGAGAAGCCGAGAGAAAAGACAGAGTCTCTACCTATCTTATCTTAACTTAGACTTAGTACCCCTCCCCATCTCAATTTCTTAGATGATCTACCATCCTAGAAGATAGTGGGTGCCTCTAATACTCCAGCAATATGGACACGGTTCTGCAATGGCCTGAACACCGCGAGAGGAAACCAGAACGGGGGCGATAAAAATGAGGATTTCACTTGCCTAGCGGAAGACTCAAGTGGCTTTATGGAAAAGGACTACCACTACATATACAAATACACTACGCAGCCACTTACTTTGGCTCAGTCATGACTTTTATAAGATTTCCCCCTTTTCTCTGAGGTGTGCTGCAAATTTAGACGCTTCTTCCATTTCACAAGGCTGGGGCTTAGGTCCAGCGGCGCTCAAGGCACTAGATAAAGCAACCGGTTGGCTTTTAACTCTAGAGTTGGGTCTTAGCCCTTTCCAAAAACTATGATGAATATTATAGAAGGGTGCGCACTAGTTGGGCGCCTGACGTCCACTATCATCTAGGTAGGTGCAGGTGCTCCACCAATTTTAGAGGTTTACTAGGCTGTTGCTTATTTCTGCTGAGTATTACTCGAAAACTGAAAATAGGCGAGTAGGTAATGGAAATAAAAGAGGCGTTACGCTGTCCTTCTTTCAATATCTCGCTTTTTTTCATCTTACGTTGTCCTTCTTTCAATATCTCGCTTATTTTCATCAGCTACTTGCATATTTCAGCTTTTCGGTTATATGAATGATCTATTCCAGCGAACGCCACCAATTAGAGCTACCTCTTTCTAGGCACGTCAGTCAACCAATCAATCGGTCAAGGGGTAAAGTAGTAGTAGCAGTAGTTGTCGCAGTTGTAGTAGTAGTCGTAGTAGTTCTAGCACTCCCACTAGTGCTAGTAGCATTAGGAAGCCGCCGCTCAGGGGGTACAGTTGTCCGACATCGAAAGGGGGACGGGGGAGCTGTTCAATAAAGTTCGGAAGTTGTTGCTGTTCGTCGGGGTTTTGCGGTGTTTGATGACTACTACGTCGACCTACAGCTACTAGTACTACTCATGGGTGAACCTCTACTACCACACTTCATAGATTGCGACAACAAAGTGCCAGAACTTCTACGGGACGAAGCTTGGTCTTGGCCGTTTGCGAAAGATCTTTTCTTAAGGCTCAGCTTTCAGACAGTTTTTTGTTTGCTATAAAAAGGATATAAGTAGTACTCTGGTCTTCCTCGGTCCATCTCGTCATTGGTCACCGAGGTTGCGGTTGGTCACTGACACCGAAGAGAAGACCCACTGAGAGAACAGGGGAAAACTAAGGGAAAACAAGTAGGGAGGCGCAGGGCCCTACCTGTTCAGAATCAGTGACCAAAAATGAGTGTCGACCTTTAATTTTCGCTCAGTTTCTCTACCAGGTGGCCTTTCCCTGGTCTTTCCTCGACCCAGATGACACAGACCTATTCAACGCGGCTGCTCAAGTATTAAGGCTTCACTATAAATAAATATGAAAACATGACACACACTCAGACATGTTGACACTCAGATGCACTCAGATGTTAAGGACTATTCGACATGAGCGCTCAGATATTTGCAACCATTTTCTTGGGCGAAATAGTAGGAGTTATCTTTCCGTCCGTAGAGAAGAGAAGTCCCATGAGGCTGGTATGATGCCCCTGAAGTGGGTACTACATTCATTCACGCAGAAGCATCCCCCTAGCTACAACATGATGATTTTTGGCCTGCTGATGTTTTCAATTGTAGTTGAAAGAGATGAAGGAGCATCACTTTTTTTTTGTCATCAGGTTCTTATGACTCTTCTCAGAGAAGAAGATGCGAACGCGGCGAAATTGTACGTCTTCTATACCTCGTGGTCACACAACAAGACCACCAAGAACAACTAGATTTTTCATCAACATGCTTTTACCTCTAACGATGAGTCACAAAGAGTCGTCAATCCGGTACGAGCGCTGTCTGTACTCCCTGATTCAGCTCATCAAGAGGCAATGGAGAGTAGCTCTAGGAGCTGGAGTGGCTCTAGGAGCTGGTAAGGCTCTATCATTAAGGCAGATCGATGAACAAATAGAGACTGATTTATTTTGATAAGTACTCGAATAGTTAGTACTCAAAATAAGCGAGTAGCTACATAAAGTAAACGAGTGAAAGAGTAGCGACCACGCGGCTGTTCTTCTTTCAGTGCTAGTGGCGAGTACAATATTCACCTCCGAGTATTTGTTGAGAGTGTTTTAAATCTCTAGCTGCGTGCATACTCGGTTATTTCAGTTTTTCGATTACCTAAGAAAAAGACTAAACTCATGACTGCAAAAACAAAAGTTGGAGGTTTGCTAGCGTGGTCTAGACAGTAGGCCTCGATTAAGTTGCTCCTATTTTTGGGTAATTCGTGTATGAAAAGACAAACTGCCACCTTTGGATACGATTCCTAAAACCAAAAAAGCCAGACTGACGCTAAGGCGTTAGCTAATGATTTTGCTTTTGTTTCCCGCTCCTTAGAAGGCGCAACGTACTTTCTCCAACATTTTTTTTCTTACGTGAAATGATATATTAAATAATCATGATGCAAGGGACGTATTATTATTAAGTACAGCTTCTATTACTTAGAGTCCCCGCCTTCCTCTTCCTCTACGTACTACTTGCCAAGTAAGTCTTGGCTGGCTTCTTCCTTGGCTTTCTATAAGGATGAGGCAGCTTAGGCCCAGCGACGCTCAAAGCACTACGTAAAACAGACGGCTCGTTTTCCCTCTTATACTTTAGGTGTATCACTTCTGGCAAATATATAACTACGACGGTTTGAACTGCTCTAAAAAAACTATTAAAGGGCAGTCATGCTGGGAGGAGCAATCAAGGGACGGCCCCGGTGCCTCCCCTTGTCGAACTAGAAGCGGCACAGGACATGATAGACGATACCGTGAAAGCCATGCGGGTCTTATTTAAGGCTCATGAAGAAAAAAAGTAAACTAGAAGTATTAAACTTACTCGACGAGGTGGTACACCAGTTACTTGGTTAAAGATATTTGAAGAAGTTTATTCTTGGTACGACGACTTGTTAGGTACTGGTACTAGCAGGAGCTACATTCTTACGACGACCTTATAGGTACAGCTAGCAGCTACCGAAGAACACTCGCCAGTTCTCGCTCGGATCTGTTCTTCTAAGTTGTACGCCGAAGTAATCATGTACTACATGCCCTCTGACAAAGAAGCAGACAGTCTGCTTGGTCCTTTTTTCGGGGCATCTGAAGATAATCCGCAACCGTTTCGGACGATTCTCTTCAGTTAAGGAAAAGGGGAGACACCATGACCACACAGACACACCAACACATCAGGTATAGACGCTTCATTGGTCCTTGGAAGAGTGAGTAAAGCTCGTCTCCACAATAAAGGAAGAGGCTGCTCGTCTTCACAATTATATATACATAGATGATTCGAGGGGCCAAGAACTTCTACTACGCGACTAGTGAAAAATGACACCTATTTAATTTTTACCACCAGCCGGTTAGTTTTTTCCTTCAAAATTCATCTTTTTCTCGAAAGTCCTCACATCACGGTAAGAACTATACTCCGTCTATCTTTTGCTCAGGAGTCCTTGAGTAAACCAAGAACAGACTTCAAAATCACGCTCCTGGTCACAAAAAATTATAATTCATCTTTTTCAGACTGTGACGGGTGCTTGATCATCCTTGATGAAAAGTATGACTCCTTCGTTGTATCTTCACAGGGATGAAATGCAAAAGCATGCTGGATATCTCAGACGAGGAGAAGTATTTTTTGCCTGTCGTGATCATAGTTTGTTATATTTAGACATGACCACCGTCTTCGTCTAACACATTACCTTCAAAGAGGAGGAGTTACTGCAGAAACAAAATGATATGTCTCGTCTCAACGAGGAGCTAACCAAAACCATAGAGACACGAGGTGGGTTATGGCACAAATGCAAAGAGAAGGGGGGCGCCGGGTGAACTATCGTTAACCTAAAGTTGTTTATCTCTTCTACTCTGACTGTCTCGCGAGCACTAGTATCTAACTGAGTGACTGACCGAGTACTACTAAGTAAGGCTCTTGTAGAAATACATTGTCATATTTATGATCTAGCAGGGCGAGTGAAGCTAATGCTATTAAACAACCCACAGTCTAATCCCCTCCTCTGCTTTTCGGACTGTACAGCCTCCTGATTGGGTTTGCTACTCTTACTTCTAGCTTCCCTCTTAAAGAAGCTACTTGAATTTCGGCCGTTACCCTATAAAAAACCATGCATAATTCACAACCTCTCTACCGGTCCTAGTCTCTACTTTTTGTCTGCTGTCAACAATATTATGAGGCTCGCAAATGAACGTCTTGTCAGCCAAGACACAAATTAACGCCAGCAAGCGTGCCCTTCAGCAGTGCGTAGTGGTTTTGATCTCCACGACCCCAAGATCTTGATTCCTTACTCTATTATTCTTCTCCCTGACCTCTTTCCATCATCTAGGATCTATAATCTCTACACAGCCAAGGCCTTGACTGCAAAAGTAGTTGACCCCGAATATAAGTTCAGTCAGCGTCGCGTGCTCATTCAAAATCTGCTGTGGAGCAGGTGCTGATAGATTAATCTTGATTCCCTAGTGCTAGTATAATTAACTAAGTCTTTCTTTCTAATCGAGAAAATAAAGAAGGACAAACCTGCTGCGAAGTCTTCCAGCGATGGACGAGCAAAACAACCTGCAGTGCTGTTATGCACATAGTTACTACAACTTACTACCCGTGATGAATGGGTCGTATGGGTTCACAACTACGAGGACTACTAACCCACTTAAAGTACATTCATGATAAATTCTTTTTCTTGATGTAGGGTGCAAACAATATTTATTGTTGTAAATGCTGAAAGTCATCTTCTCCAAGATATATGGCCTTGTTAGAATATAAGCTTATGCAGCATATGCATATGCTGAAGTAGACACAGCTAAGTACACTCGAAGACATTCGATAAGATGCTTAAGTATAAGCACGTAGTTCTTCATGTTTTGGGTAAGCATAGCGAGCAAATCTAACCATATCCTGAGGTAAATGTAGCTTGTTAAATTTTGATTTACTTTTAGTGAATCATATCCTAGTAGCTTGTTGGAATATTAATACTTTTACTTATAGATACAGTTGTTAAGCAAATTCCGCGATCTAGGGAAGCTCCTTAAAGGTGTGCCAACCTTATGGAGCTCCCTTCAGGACCCTTCTCTTAATAGGGTTGGCTTACGTAGGCCCCCCCTTAAGGAAGCGGCTAGCGCAGAAGTTGCGACAGCTATGCTGACGGAAGCAGCTGGCCAGCCCGTGGCCTCTAGGCTAGGGAGCTGCCCAGGGGCTTCTGTGCTAGCTGGCCAAGCAAGGCCTCACTCTGAGCGAGCTGGCTGAGGCTTCTGAGCTAGCTCGCCATGGCTTCTAAGCTCGCTGCCCGTAGCTTCTGAGCTGGCTGGCCATGACTTCTAAGCCACATGGGCAGGGCTTTGGGGCTCCCTTCCCAGGGCTTCCAAGCTGACTGGCCAGGGCTTCTAAGCTATCTGGCCAGGGCTTCGGAGCTACCTGGCCAAGGCTTCGGAGCTAGCAAGCTGGCAGGAACGGTTTCTGAGCTAGTCAGCGAGCCAGGGCGTTCAAGTTCATTGCTTGGCCTCCCAGTAGCCTAGCAAGCTGGCCGCCAAGGCTTCAGAGCTAGCTGGCCAAGGCTTCAGAGTTAGCGGGCCCAGGCTTCATAGCTAGCCGCCCCACGCTCCTGAGCTAGCTGCCCGACCTAGGTAGCTGGCCATGGCTTCAGAGCTAGCCATGGCCATGGCTTCCAAGCTGGCTGGCTGCGGCTTTAAGCTAGCTTGCAAGGGCAAAGGCTTCGGAGCTCGCTCACCATGGCGCCCAAGCTAGCTGGCCACGCCTTCGGAGGCCAGGGCTCCCAAGCTAGCTGGTCATGGCTCCTGAGCTAACTCGCCATGGCTTCCAAGCTGGCTGGCCATGGCTTCTGAGCTAGCTCGCCATGGCTCGCAGGCTTGCTAGCTGGCCATGGCTTCTCTCTGAGCTTGCTTGCCATGGCTTCCAGGCTAGCTGGCCACGACTTCTGAGCAAGCTCGTCACTTCTTCCAAGCGGGCAGGCCATGGCGTTCAATTCAGCTGGCCACAGCTTTTGAGCCCGCCGAGGCCGATCGTGGCGCCCATTGGCTTCCCAGTAAGCAAGTTGGCCAACGCTTCCGAGCTAGCTAGCCATAGCAGGGGCCATCTTACTAGCCTCGCCACAGTGGGAGCCAGGTTGCCCGCCTTTATTCCAGCCTTGGCTGGCGGACTTGGCGACTTTTTTCGTTTCTCTTTCTGTGTCTAGCATAGGTTAATGCCCAGCGCGGCGGGCCCTTGATGGGCCCGCTTTCTGGGCAGGGCATGCACATTTAGTGAGTGCTCCTTCGACTTGAATGTGAACCCTTTCTAACCATGGCGGAGGAGGTCGTGGACGTGGACGTGAAGGAGGTTGACAGCCGTGGTCGTGAGGATTTTTGCGCTGTCTTCGTGGGAAAGGAAAATTAAGGAGAAATGGATACTGTTAATTCTGTCATGATCATCTTCAGCTTCATGATGTGTTTCTTGGGGAGCAGGAGCACAAGAAAGCCGCGTGATGCGTGATGGGCAAGCATATACTTCAGTACTTCTTGACATTTCGGAGTTGAGCTAGGAGCTCGGGGGGCTCAATGTGAAGCGAGAATCCCCAACCTAAGCTCACCAGCGACTCTTTGAGCCAACAACTACTCAATGTGAAGGATCGCCAACCTAAGCTGAACAGTGACTCTCTGTGTCCTAGCGCCTCTTGTTAGGACTCTCTTGCTTTCGCCTCGCGCGTCGCTGGGCTTCAGACTCCGCCTGTGGGCCGTCTGCAGGTCAGGTCGGTGGATAGCCGTCCAGAATTCTCGCGCTAGTATAATAGTACCGGTATGCATAGTATAAGCAAGCCTTAGCCTCGCGAAACTCTTAAGAGCCTCCCCTAAGAGGCTTCCTTCAGGAAATGGCACGCCTTAAGGAATTCTGATGATACAAAGTTACTAGAAGTCTCCCTTAAGGACCAATTTTGCTCCTTAAGGAGAACTTCTGAAGGGGCACTTGTAGTACACTTAGGCTAATAGTAGGCCCCTCCCTATGGGCCAGCTTGCTAGCTTAGTCATCACCAGCTTGCTAGCGTGGCCATCGCCAGCTTACTAGCTTGGCCATCGCCAGCCTGCTAGCTTAGCCATGGCTGCGCAAGCCTGCTAGCCTAGCCATAACGGTAGCCAGCTGGCTCGCCTAGCCACAGCGACTGCCAGCTTCCTAGCTTAGCCATGGCCAGTGTGCTGCTGGCCTTTTCGGGGCCAGCTTGTCTCCGCGTTTCTGCTGGATTCTCGTGGAGGTCACGGGAATTCTTGTGAATTTGCGCGACCTCCCCGGCATTCTTGGAAAAAGACACAGCAGACAGATTGTAGCCGCGCAATTCATTTAACGTGGAAGCACGCTGTCCGTCGAAACTAACAAAGCGGCGCGCGTCACTAGCTTGGTGACATAGCGCCTTTCTACTCCGTTGGTAGTTGCTAACCTATGCCCAATGCAGCGGGCCCTTGATGGGCCCGCTTTCTGGGCTTGTCATATAAATAGGAATAATAATGGTTAAGTGAGGAAAAAGAAGCACTTCTTGTTCCGTCCTCATCATGTTGAGAGAGTGACTCACTCAACATATTCGTCTCCATGTGTATGGGGTAACACTATGCCAAAAGCGAACCTAGAAGAGTGGCCTTTTACCCAAAAAACGCACAGAAAGCCCAGGGATCAGCTGGGCAGGATTCGGCTCAAAATGGAAAATCTTCACTCTGAGGCGCATAACGTACAAAGAAGCGCTTTTTTTCCGTTTTTTGTACTTTATTAATTCGTCTCAGAATGAAAATCTTTCATTTTGAAACGAATACTGCCCAAGCCCAGCTGATCCTTGGGCTTTATGTGCGTTTTTTGGGTAAAAGCCAATTTTCTTCGTTCGCTTTATTTGGCATAGTGTTTGTTACTCCATGTCCATGTGCTCGCTGATGTCATAATATTAATCGTCCTCGTGGGAGGACAACGGCGGCGAGTAGTACAGTAGTTCTACGACCTCAAATATTTTATTCTTCTTCTATCTTGTATCCCTTCCTGTCCTCGCGTTCTTCCTTTTCTTGTAGTTGTAACTTGTAGTAGAAGTTATACTAGGTAGTCGTAGTTGTTGATTTAGCAATCATATCAGGTTGTACGAAGTACTGGAAGATTGATAGAGATACTGCTCTTGTAATATTTAATAGGTTGTAGTGTTCCACCAAGAGCAAGATAGTAGCTTGTATCCTTTCCATTTCTTGTTGTAGTATCTTGTATCCTTTTCTGTTGTAGACCTTGTAGTTGCATCCTTTCAGCCTTTTGTAGTTGTAGTACCTTTACCTATACCTCGCGAATAGCTAAATCAATCAATCAACCTTGTTGCATCCTTTCATACTGTTGTAGAAAGTCATCTAATGTCAGCCAGTGCCGACGATGGAGGACTTAGAAAACGGGAGTCCGAGTGGCGTTCACCCTGAATGGCACAACATACAGGAATACAATCCGTACATGCATGGTCTCTTTAAGGGTTCCCCCATTGCATCCTGTACTATCCTTCCCGACCTGTTTCCCAATAGGCAAGCAATCAGGGATGTTTTGAAGAATGCAATGCCGCAACCACTAATCTCTGCGGAAATTATGAGCCGAGATTGGCCTACTATAATAGAAGCAAAGTTTTAACACTCACTCCATGGCTTGACTTTTGTTTATTTACCATACGGGGACCACCCATGAGCATATTGCTCTAATGAGTTACGGGGTACACTATCCATGAGCATGAGAACATGAATGCCGCACCGATGACTGCAGAGGAGCGATTCATATGCGCGCAGCGATTGATCTTAAGGCCATCTTCCTTTTGTATTGTTGTACTACGACTGTACCTAGTATTTTACAGGCTATTAAGTAAGTACGGTGCTTCTTTGACTCCGTTTCAGTCTTGTTGTCTCTTCTACCCCCTCACAGGTGAGCCCACTCCTATCCTGTCCTCCTCCTCCTTCGAAGTAGGTGGACTACTTCAATCTACTTGTTGCGTAAAAAATCGTGCTCTCCTCAATCCTGTGCACTGTGTGCAGCCTGGCTGCGGCGGGGAACCCTAAGCCCTGCTCGTTGCTTCTTCTATTTTCAGCTTCTAACTTCATGCGATCCTACAGATGACAAGATCGAGTACCTCCTTCCGAAGGAGAAGGCAGCCGAAGATGAGGCGTGGTCATTTGAACATTATGAAGGGGCACAGCAGTATGAGCAGGTCCACCGGACAACACTGGGATCACCGTTTCGGCGTTCTCGGACTACAAAAAAAACGTCCTGAGGATTCTCGTGGAACTCTTGGAGGATTCTCGTGGGAAAGAGTGCTGACAATCTTAGTGGAGTTTGGTTTGAGAATGTCATCTAGCCATCATCATCATCATCATCGTCATCCTCTCATCTTCATTATCACCATCAGCATCAGCACCCTCTCATAATTATCACCATCAGCATCATCTTCGTCTTCGTCCTCTCATCATTATCACCATCAGCATCATCTTCGTCTTCGTCTTCATCTAGAGTTATCTTTTAGTCATGGCCATAGTCTACTCCCCTAGTAGAGATTTGGAGTCTGCCTTTATTGTCAAGTAGATAAATGGTTTTTTACGCGGATGCCTACATAGGCACAGCTTAAACTTACCCACTTGTTCTACTACAAGACTGGGTCCGGCGTGAAGTAGATACCATCATGTTGGGTACAAGAACACCTTTTTCCCTTCTCGTAGCTAGGCGAGCCCGCTCCTATCATATGCTATCCTAAGTCCGATTATGATACCTCCAGGCCGGTTATCCTAATTAGCAGTGAAATAACTTCTAGCACTCTGAGATTTTAGTACAACAAGTCTTTTCGTACTAGAAGAAAAGAGAGACAACTTCTAGCTAAGTAAAGAGTTGTCTTATGCTCATAACAGCTAACTGTAACAACAACAAGAACAACAACAACTTTAATCAGCCGTGGAACTAGTACAACTACAGTAAGTACAACTACTATAACTATAATGAGACTGATTTAAGTACAAGAACAAGAACAACAAGAAAAGTAGTAGAGATAGAGAGACCACTCTTCTAAGGAACAGTGAAACTTGTACAAGGAGACGGTCATACGACGGAAAAAAAGTTGCGGGATGGGCACCCGCTTACAGTGTGGGACGCGAAGCTGACGATCCGAAACACTTGGCAAAAGGCCGCTAAGATGTCACATGAAACAGAACAGGCAAAGTACGCAGTCAAGTCAAAACAAACGTGGAAGAGGGAACCCGAGCCAGCAAAGACGGAGCCGGTACTATCTATTTTCGTGTGTGAGGTAGCATCGTGCTGAACATGTACGCCGCCTCTAAGGCAGTCTGCGTTGAACTTTGTGCGAGATTTGTTGTATTGCGTTGTATTGAATAACTGTCGCTTGATGTTCCACTGTTGTAAAAATACTGAGAAAGTAAGCTAGTACTCGAAAAGATGTTGAGAGCAGATCATGAAATGGAGTAGATAACTGAAATAAAAGTAGAGTCACAGCTTTTACTTTTCTCTTCTTCCTTCCAGTAACTCGCTCAGTTCAATTTTTCGAAATGACTTCCTACCACTTCTAGCAGTTTATAGCTGCACGCATGGCGCATGGAGTGGCATGGAGTACATGGAGCACCTGCGCCATTCCCACGCATGGAGTGCATGGGGTGGCCGCGTGTCACGCATGGAGTGCATGGGGCACGAGGTGGCGCGCTAGCCTCTGCCATCAGCCGCTCCCCTCCTGTCGATCGACGGAGCAGCGGCGCAACGCAAAAGCGGCCCACGACTGAGAGGCCCTCCCCCCTCGCCTGTCCGCTTTCTATGGTTGCGGACCCAGTAGGGGACGCGGACGCCACTGTGAGTCTCGGGCCGTTCCCGCTTGAGAGCCCGGCCTTCGACGAGCCCCCCCGGCCTCCGGTTCTGCGGGGTACATGCAGGAAAGGCGCCCCTTCAGCCCGGCAGACCCCGCCAAAAGGGGTCCCGCCGGGGCTGAGAGGTTCCCCCCTCGCCTTCTTAGGTCGGGGATGGGTATTGCGCCCTGGTTGAGCCCTGGGACACACATACACAGCCCCTCTTCAACTTTTTGCATGGGTCACCCCCGTGTGATTGCCTAGAGCGGTGCAGCAGTAGCAAGGCTTGCTCCGGAAGAGGAGCGAACCTCCCGAGGATGCGACTTGCTGGGCCCTTTGCCGAAATTTCCGCGCACCGAAGTACCTGGCAACGACCACCAGGGGCAGCAATGTGCGTCAGGGCGCCTAGACCTATGTAGCAGCAAGCCCGCCCGGACTGCCGGCCAGTGTGGGCGTGGTGCTTCGTCCTCGAGTCGACCGCCCCGTCGTCTGATCGTTGCAGTACAGGTCTGCAGTGGACGAGTCTCGGGCAAAGGGGTGCCCGAAGGGCACCCCGCAAAATTTTCACGCATGGGGTGCATGGAGTAGGAGTGGGGGCTGGCAAGATTCTTGCCACTCCATGCTACTCCATGTGATCCATGCACTCCATGCCATGCACGCCAGAAAAGCTTATAAATTATTCTGTAAATCTATGTCTTGAAAAATGTTCTTGGGTTAATTATAAGAACTACTATGCACATCAACTTGTAGCACAACTTTAAGTGCCCCCGTCTGGTCAGTTGTTCTGTTCAACTCGGCTCACTTGATCTAGTTCAAACATGAGAAACAAGCGGGGGTAGCTTACAGACTGAAATAAGCTGCAAGGTAGTAGCTTTACTACCAGGCTTCAAGACTTCTTCCTTGTCCTTCTATCAAAGGTCGCGAAACCACGGCAGTCCAAAGTGTACGAACAGGCGCAACATCGTGCGCGCAGTGTGGCGCAGGCTCTTCTCATTTACGACCACGACTCGCGTGGTGGCTGAGGATATTATCTTATTTCTTTCTTGGATAGAAATGTTAACAGCGCCAGAATTTGCGAGTAATATCAACAAAATAAAGGCCGCATAGATATGATTACTTCTTCGGAGAACTATTCAAGTTCAGCGTCCACCTTGTATTTTATCTTCTTTAGCAACGAACGAACTTCGGGAGGACTACTAACAGACGAGTCTTTTTTAGACTCATCTGTCTATTTCCTTGCGTCCTCCAGCTCCAACTGAAGATCCTAGACAGCTCACCCAAATTTACAGTACTAGTACTTAGACAGCTCCTTGTCCTCGTTGATCAACTTCATAGCTTAGACCCTCGTTTGGTAGGTCTTCAAATCGGAGACAATTGACATGACAGAGCTTGTTCTTCTTCTTCCTCTAATGTACGATTTGCAGTGATTGGTCTCAGTTCCAACGTCTCACACTGGAGGAAGGCAAAGTGGCCTTTGAGCAGCTACAGCGAATTTTCGCAATCGGAACGTCTTCAGCCAGCTTAAGAAAATATGTGTAGTAATTAGAAACTAGTCGTGACCCGAGTGTTTAGTTGCTAAGAGGAAAGGCGAGGACGACAGAGAAAGGAGGGCAACACTGCTAGGGACTGGAAGAAGAGCAGAGAAGGGCGGTCGGTGGAGGACAAAGTGCTACAGCCGCCGCAAAGTGGCCGCCCGGGCGCGTCAGCGAATTGCCGTGCCGTTCAGTATTTTCTGCGCTTTGGGAGCCCTTACAAGGACAAAACGCGAACCGCGTGCGCGTTTTATCCCGTTAACGTCTCGCAAGGTCCAAACGGGGAAAAGGCGCCAGCCCGCCGCGGACAAGGACGCCGGCAGCGCCCCTACTCTGGGGGTTTCAAATTCCCCGGCTGGGGAACCTGCTCAGGGGAGGCACGCCGTCCGCCTTGCATGGCTTGAGGCCTTGCGGCGTGTTTCTTCTCACCCTCCCTCGGCGGGTTCGCTCTGGCTGTTCGTTTCCCAAGCCTTGAGAGGCGCAAACCTTGCGAGGCGCAAACCTTGAGAGCGGCAAACCCCGAGAGGAGCAAACCCTGAGGGCGCCTGAGGATGTCCACCCTGGTACGCTAAAAGTGAGAGCGCAAAAAACCCAAACCTTTGAGCCTTGAAACTCTGAGGTGAAAAATTAACGAGGGGGCAAACCCTGAGGCCGAGGCTTTGGGCTTTTTCTGCTGTTTGGCCTGCTTTGAGGGCCAAAACCCTGGGGGCGGTCCAGTGCTTTGGCCCTTTTCCGCGCGCGTGAACTGTCGGCAGCCTCATGAGTGCTCGCCCCACAAACTCTGCAGGCTTTGGCCGTCTGGCTGCGTCGCCCGCAGCGACCGCAAACGCGGCCGAGATACCAGCGGCCTCACCCGAGCAAACACCCCGCGCGCCTCTGCCGTTCATCGAGCGCTCCTTTGCCCGGTGCAAGCCATTCGTGGGACAAATGAGCGCGCACGCGATGCGCCGTTTTTCGCGCTCGCGTACGTCCCCACGCTTGCCTCTGCTCTTGTGTGAATCTCTTCTGAGCTTGTGGCGTGGTTTCGATCGCTCCAAATTTCTGCCGCTTGCTTGTGAGCTCGCGGCGCCTCGTATCAGCAGTCGTCATTTGTCGTGTACAGTCACTATATGGATTTGCGGAGCAGCTTTGTTTCTTTTTGAGGCCCGACAGGTGGCGCCTCCGTATACCCATCCAGGGCCATGCACAACCAAGGACGCCTACGGCCGCACGCCGTGCAGCGTGCTTGTAAATTATCTCCGCGGGGCTTAAGATGGCGCTTCTCGGCCGCGCGCGATGCTTTGGATCTCTTCTTGTTCGTGTTCTTACACTGAGAGCGGCCATTCTTGTGAGGCGTAAACCCTGAGACCTTCTGAGGAGGTCTACCCTGACACCCTAAAGATGAAAGATCCAAAAGGCTCAAAGCTTTGAGTTTTGAAGCTCTGGGGTAAGGGCTAAGGAGGTAAACCCCGAGGCCAAAACCTTGACACTTTTCCGCTGTTTGGTCTACCTTGAGAAGCGAAACCTCCAGGGAGGTGCATAGCCCTGGCTTTTTTTGTGGCCGTGAACTGTTTTCGGCTTAGCGGCTGCCCCACAAGCTCTGCAGACTCTGCCTGCCTTTCGTTTCCTCTAAACCCTGGAGCCTTATTTGGCGCTCCTTAAAGCCCTGACTTTAGACCTCGACTGTTGCCGATTCTTATCTAAGAGAAATGTGCGACGTAGTTGTATCACTACTTCTGAAGATATTCCTCAAAACCTAAAACCTTGAAGATATTCCTGTCTACTGAATATGTCGTGTCTTGACTTAAATCTATATCACATGCGTATCTTCACTCATGGCTGAGACTGTATCACTTCTTGTGGCAACTTAATATGTTGTGACGTATCCCTAAATCTAAATGCAACATTAAATTTACAGAGTTTCGTGGGGTACTAGTCCTACAACTCCTACTCCTACTTCTACATAAGCAACATAAGGCTACTAGATCAACTACATCAGGCTACTGTAAGTAAGAAGTACTCTATAAGCACTAGATCAAATACATCAGCAGGCCGCTCTTGCTCTAAGGAAAGCGGTGCATGTGGCTGAGGTGGAGAATATCCGACAGCCAGTATTGCACACGCCCTATGCTTTTTGGCTCTTTGTGCAAGAAGTGGCTGCGAAGGTTTGGCTTAAGAGGAACATTCCAGAATTTGGACGGCAAGACGACGACACCTTTATGGTCTTCGCGGTCGAGTATAATTAGTGTCGTTTTTTAGTTTGATGTCCATTAGTCGCGTTGGGTTTTTGTTGGGACACCCGAACACGCCCAAGCGCACTCCGAAGCTCTTGAGAGCCGCCGGATTTGATACTGAGGCCATGGAACAGAAAAGCAAAGGCGATCAGAACGGGCGCGCCGCGTGGTCACTGACTTGGTAAGGCCTTGGAATGGTATCAGAACAGAATGGGCCCGATGTCATTGACATACCATGAAGGGCCACGGTCCAGCTATTGGCTAGGAGGGTCATGCTGCTCATTCATCTGCATAGCGTCCACGCTGTTAGCTGCTCCCTATCATCTAGGCCCTCACGCTGTATCTGAAAGGGCTGCAAGCGTCTAAGACCTGGAACAGAATAGGCGCCACCATTCGGGACGCCGTTGAGTTCATTCCACGACCTTACCAGGAACCAGCGACGGAGCAAGACAGGGAACGGCGTAAGCGTAATCATGATCAAGGTGACGAGTGGGCGCAGTCGTTCTCGTTGGCATTCAAATCAGGCACACCACATGCGTAGGATCTAGGGCCAGCAAGTGCCAGGGGCTGACAGTTTTAGCATTCGCGTAACCGTAGCCCATCCTTGGCGTTCGCGTTGGTTCAGTTTGTTTATAGTTGTGTCCATTAGTTGCGTTTAGTTTTATCACCGTAGTCCACCCTTTTCTTTTGCATGATTATATTAGTATTTATAGGGTAAGGGTTAGCAATAATTTGCGAAATCCTTAAGAGACTCCTTTAAGTGGCTTCCTTAAGGAGAACCCTTTTCCTTAAGGAATTTCTATTACAAAAAGTTATTATAACTTTCCTTAAGAGAAAAAAAATTCCTTAAGGAAGCTCCTTAAGGAAAAGTTGTAATAGCCCTTGGCTAATATTAGACCTTTCCTTAAGGGATTCGCAAGGACTCGCAAGGCTCTCTAAAGCCCTTGCGCTGCTAGTGCTACGAGTGGAAAGGCACCGCGAACATGTTAACGCGTTCGCGGCTGTTAGTTTGTAGGCTACTCACGTACCCAGCCACATCTGCAGCAGGACACTACGCGCCCACCCCTAGCGAATCGCCCCAACGAACTTCCAGCCGCTACCCTTGTTATTTATCGCCCAGCGCCTTTACTTTTTTCCAAAAACTTCAGGGAGGTCATTCAAATACAGAGAAAACGGAACGACCTCCCTGAAGTTTTTGTAAAAAAGTTAGCCCGCTCCCCTTCCGCGACAACCTTCCGCACACAGCAATCGACCACAGGAGCGCGCGGCAGCCCTTGGAGATGGTTAACCAGTATACTTCTAACCAGCTCACCAGGGTCCACCCTTCAGCCATGCAAGCCCTCACGGCTATCATTCTCACAGGCATCGACATCCTCAACGGCTTCGACTTTCACACACAGCGATGTATATCGTTGGCCTTCTCATGGATATGATGATGCTCACCAGGGTCCACCCTTCAGACATGCAAGTCCTCACGGCTATCATTCTCACAGACATCGACATCCTCAACGGCTTCGACTTTCACACACAGAGATGTATATCTCTGGCCTTCTCATGGATATGATGACGCTCACCAGGGCCCACCCTTCAGGCATGCAAGTCCTCACGAAGCCGCTGAGGGTGTCACCTCCCCAGCCTTCCCTTCTTTGACACAGTGGGAGCCACCTTCCCAGCCTTGGCGAGCAGACTTGGCGACTTTTTTCGTTTGTCTTTCTGTCTCTTAGTAGTCAATCTGTCTAGTTGTTAACCTATGCCCGGCGCAGCGGGCCCTTGATGGGCCCGCTTTCTGGGCATGTATTTATATTGTAGAGGCCGTTTAGTTTTGTCCACGACGCCATGTTGTCCACCCTTGACTCAACATCCTGGAGCAACGCTTTTGCCCTGTGTTCGCATGAAACACGACTACAAGGGGAATGCAAATAGTTGTGTTGTTATTTTACGACTCTAACAACGCAGCCAGCAGTTTTTTGGCTACATCATCGTCCAGTAGCCAAGGAAGCCAAGAAGCGGACGCCAAGAAGAAATTCTTTCAAGACGAAGTGCTCCCCGCTATCTTAAGAAAGAATCACTGTAGAAGAAAAAATGCGTCTAGACAATGAATAAAGTCTGTCATCTTCTGGAAGAAAATGAGCCTCCAACGTGAGTCCAGTCATCTGAAACTGGAAAAAAATATCAACAAAAAAGACAGCAGAAGTTTCATCTTTATGATCGTAGATGATAGGTGAATGAGAATGACTTTCTTGTCCTACTTTATTTCAGATGCAGCAATGTTCAAGTTCAACATCATTCGTTCTTTCTCAGAAGATGGATTTCCATTTCCTACCCCGCTCTGAGGTATCATGATAATTTTAAGAGTCTAATTTCAATGGGCCCCGACGAAAATCGGGGAGAAAAGCAAGAACGCGACCAGTTGGAGGGCTTCTTGGACTCGGTACGAGACGATGAAGAAAAAAGGAAGCCTCAATGGTCGGTCACTGCCAAGAGCCAACGTTTTTTAGGCCCCTTGGTCTTCGAATATTGTAGTTCTTGAAGCATGTTTAACTCTAAATTATGTTATTTGTTATCGTATTTCTTGACTCCCAGTTATCGTACAAACTTAGACTTATCCCGTGCAACAATTATCGTATTTCTTGACTCTTCTCTCAGTCAAGCTTACCAGTTATTACCAAGTCTCATCTGTGAAATAGTTTTTTTGAGTATCTGAGGTAGGGTATCAAGGTTATTATCAAGTAATTTGCCAATCGGAAAAAACAAAAAGACACCAGGGACATCAAGTCAAAGAATTAGAATAGGCTGTTCTCATCTCCAGCACCTACTACGTCTATCTTTCTACTTAGCTAGGATGTTCTCTCCTACCTTCACGTTTTAGGTGTTTCTTCTCTAATCTTTGGCTGTTCTCCTGGCGTGGTAATTCACCATTTTTCACCAATCTTGGCTTGTGCACTCCAGCACATGCTATCCCTCACACAAACCTCAACTTATGGCCCCCCGTCAAGAATGAAAATTGTAACTGCTTGGAGATGTTGGAGTTGGAGATGTTACAGTTGGACAACACGGCACATAGAAAATGAGTAGAGCATACACTGTGTACTTTTCTACCTCAACTACACTGTAGAGAAGTCGTAGTTTTCACCTCAACACTTCTCTAGTACTATAGATTTAGATATGATACTACTACTCTACCACGCACAGTAGAGAAGAAGGGAACTACTTCTAGTAGAAATGTTATGAAGGCTCATAGTAGTAGTACTCGTGAGTTCTTTCGATGTATAGTGGATTATATATCTCCTACATCAGTAGTTCCCTTCTTTTCTACAGTGTTGAGAGTAGTAGCTACTGGAGAGAAGTAGTAGCTCCCACCTCAACACTGTAGAGAAGTAGTAGTCTCCACCTTACTCAGGATCTGCCCTAGACATCAAGTAGTTTCCACCTACTCCTTAGGTCACGAGTATGTGAGTCATTCATATACGGAGATGAAAGGTAAGGAATTCGACGGGGCTCTAGTACTTACTCGTCCTAGAAGTAACCGAGCTACAACTGAATGAAAACAGGGACGACGAGACGATGGAGCTTATTTATTAGAACAGGGCTATTCTTGCTTCATCAGTCGGCTCCTTACTTCAGAAGCAAGCTCTTGCTCTAATCTATCGCTGGGGTTTATGATGTTTTTTAGTTTTTACTCCACTTCACCATCTTCTCTTACTTTTTCACATAATTTTTCCTCATCTTAACAAGGTACTCCTAGTCACTCAGTTCTCTGTGTTTAGTTGCAGTTTACGGCGTTAGCTCAAGTAGTGCGTACTGTTATTAGAGCAGGGCTTGGGCTATTCTTCCTTGCTAAAGAGTACTTAGTTGGCCCCTTTCTTCAGGAGCAAGCTCCTGCTCTAATCTATCGCTGGGATTACGGTGACCCCGGAAACCGCGAAAAAATATCCTAAGTTGCACGAGCAGATAGCCAGAGAACTAGTGTTAAGGCTCCTTGTTCTCCTACAAATTTCTCTTTCTGTCTCTATAGAGATCCTTTCCCTCAACATCAACTGTAAAAGTGTATCAGTTTTTATATGCATCACAATTTCGGAGTAAAAGCAAGATCTTGACTTTTTTCCTTTCTTTCCGTCCCGCTCCTAACGACTCAATTCTAATGAATTTGGGACAGGAACCCAACCCAAAAGCAATAGGAACCACGTTTCCGGATTCGGGATTTAGTACTTATATTAATGCTTCTTCTTCTTCTTCTTTTGAGTACTTAGTTATAGCTTCTTGTCATTCGGGATGATTGGTTTAGTATCTTATACAGCTTGTTATTTCTTGTAGGTTCGGAGGTCGTTGGTATACCTCCTCAGTCGCAAGAATATAGTTTGTTTCTTGTTCGTTTGACGAGTTTCTATTTCTTTTGTCGGTGACTCTGACGCTCTGTCTTTTATGGTGTATTTACTGACTGAGTCACAAGCCTCGTCCTATGATTTCCTAGTTCCTTCTATTTACTAGTCACATTGTTCATCTTATAGACCACTCCTCTATTTACTACTCTACAGTCCCTTTTTATCAACAAAAATATAGTGTGCCTGTTGTGGTATGATAATTTGTAGCTTCTCTCTTGTAGCACTACTTCTACTCGCTTTTGCGAACGCCAACCATCTACGAAATCGCCAGAAAACTTGTCCGCCGGCCCGATCGCTCCCGATGTTGGCTAGCTGTGGAAGGTGCGCCGGGTCTTGTGACGAGAGTGGAGAGTCGTTCCTACTGTGACGAGAGTCGTCTTGTTAATTGTGACGAGCCTCGTCTTTATTGTGACGAGAATTCTCCTCACTCCTGTGGAGGGCGTCTACTTTGTCACTGTGGCGAGCATTTTTTTTACTTCGGCGAGAATTTTTTTTAACTGTGATGGTTCTCGTTTTTATTTTGACGAGCCTCCTCCATTTTGTGACGAGCTTCGTTCTTACTGTGACGAGTGGCAGTCTTACTGTGACGGGCTTCGGCCTTACTGTGACGGGCCTCGGCCCTTTTGTGACGGGCTTCAACCTTTGGAGGGCGGGGAGGCGTCCCCAAATGTGGCACTCTAGTGGTGTCAGGATTCGAACAGGCTGACGAACTGGGCACGCGCTGACGAATCCTCAGCCTTTCGAGCTGTGCAAATCTTAACACCAGTAGAGCGCCCCCTGCCTCATGAAAGAAAGCGCGAGCGCCTTATCCGTTGGCGGCTCGCTCGAGGAGGTCAGGCGCCTGCGCCTTGAGGGTGTTTCTGCTGAGGGGGCACTCTAGTAGCGTTAATATTCGAACAGCGTGAAAGGCTGATGGCTCGCCAGCGTGAGGCCCGTCACAGTAAGGCTGAAGCCCGTCACAGTAAAGACGAGACGCTTCACAGAAGAGACGAGACTCGCCACAGAAAAGACGAGGCTCGCCACAGTAAAAACGAGGGTCGTCACATTTAGAGGGAGGCTCGCCACAGTGAAGAAAATTCTCGCCACGGTGCGAGACTTGTCGCCACAGTAAAAAAAAACTCTCACCACAGTGAAAAGAATTCTCGCCACAGTAGAAAAAATGTGGCCACAGTAGAGACGAGGCTTCTCGTCACAGTAAAAAAAGACTATCGCCACAGGACCTGCCCTGGCACAACTTCCACAATGCAGTCAAAAGCCCCACAACTCAGGCACAGCCCCCACAACTCAGGCACAAACCCCACAACTCAGGCACAACTCCCGCAGCTGAGTAATAATAAAGCCCAGCCTTTTCCTAGATGTTTGGCCTTGGTAATGTTTATTCAACAAAGATGAATCCTCCCAGCCGCGTGATTCTCTTCTGTACAACCAGGACCCCGAAATCGAGACGATAACGTTTTCAAAGCCGCGGCAGATCTTTTGTTAAGGAAGTAGTCACTTATTATCCGCAGTGCTCGTCAATGCGCAGGGCTGGGGTGGGAGCTCTTCTAATTCTCAAAAAGTATAAAAATTCCGAATTCGCGAACTTGTTTTTGGGAAGACGGAAATACTAGTAACTAATTTTGATGGTCAAGAATAAGAATAGCTTGGTCCGCGCTCGCTTTATAAGTATTTTGAATGATGCTGATGGGGCGGTCATCTAGTTTTACCCGAAGATATTGTAAAAAGAATTGTTGTCGTCCTTGAAGCAACGTTCTTCACCCTAAACCTTGAAGGCTAAAGAACGTTGCTTAGAGGACGACGACCTTGCTTAGTTATTCTTAACTCGTGAACCCCCCCTAAATCTAAATCTAAATCTAAATCCTGGCAACTACGTGGCTCTTCGTTCTTGGCTAATTTTATTACAACCTTGTCGTGTGTGAGAAGTGTTAGTTGTCCGAAACGTTTGTGGTAGTAGAACATGATGTCCTCCTCTTCCTCTAATGCTGACTGGAGAGGAGGTAGTGAGAATGGGATGGGGAGCAGATTATCCCACGACTCGAATCTTGTCAGTCGTGGGCTTGGCAAACCTGTGGCATCCGGTGTTAAGGCTTCACTAGTAAGTACTTAATTACTTGCTTCTTTTAGTTTATCGAATCTAGAAATTATTTTCTTCTCCGTTGTTATTTGAAGATGACCCGCCTTGTTTCCCTGGTTAGTTATAAGCCTCCTGCGCTCCTACATTTCATTTCAAAGTTGTAGGGTTTCAACTATGGAACAACCCCCCCACCTCTTGCAAGGGCATCGAATTATAAATGACTCACACTTGCCTCCCCTCGCACTAGACAATACCTCACGAGCAGGCACTCAAGTGAGTGAAAGAGGAAAGTGGTTCTGCATGTAGGGTAAGTAGAGCCCCCTCTAAGAATGTTGCTCCCGCAAAAATACTTTGAGGATAAGCGCGACCCTTTCGAAAAAATAATGGAGCTTAAGGCAACAGATATGATTTATTTGTTCTGCAGAGTCGTATGAGTGAAGACAATTTATTCTTTATGTCAGTGATAAAAATATGTTGACTAGTAATCATTCGTCGTCCTCGTCTGACTTATTATTGATTATCGTGTTTATTTATTTCAAGCACTGATTTCAAGCACTACGTCTTTGATTATCGTATTTTATTATTGCCAGTTTTTTACCTCCTCTCCTTTTCCTTACTCTATCTTTCGTTCGATTCCAGCATTTGGATTTTCTAGTCTGTTTGTCTTGCATATCAATGACTCACTTTAATACTACTCATACTAACCAGCTTGTTCCTTATTTCAAGCAGACTGAGTCGTTCTCTGCTTCATCAAAGCTTATTTTGAGAAGTTCTTGAGAGGAGCACTGCAAAAGCTTATTTTGAGATGTGACCTTCCACTACTTGATGTTCTTGAGAGGAGCTCGTTCAAATGATCAGATCATCTGACTGGAAAAAGCATATCAAAAATATCATCAGATGATTCTCTTCTACGACGAAGTAGAAGATGCCATAGTGCAGCTACTTGCTCTTCTAAGACATACTGGTGGAGCGGGATCCAAGTGAACACGAATAATCCGGATGCAGAGGCTATCCAGGTGCGTATGAAGCAGGGAGCTCTCGAAAAACGAGGCAGCCTTCAGAAACAAGCACCACAAGAAGCTGCTCATCCTCAGGCTCTATGGAAGATTTCATTATACCAGTCAGGCCATCACTCTTTGAGGCGTCTCGTCCATCATGCTAATATTTTCATTCCGTACAACACCAGTACCACTGCTACACTTGTTCTAGATATTTTCAGAAGTTCCATCCTTCTTACTCATATACTTACTCTGAGATGAACATGTTGTTACGGTAAGCCTTATTCTGAGATGAACATGTTCTTGTCACGGTAGGTCAAAATAGTGTACTCGTCCGACCGTCTTCTATTGTTCGCTCTTGCTCTGGGCGAAAAATTCTAGAACTACAGCTACACGCATCCTTCATAACGGACAACGAAAATAGTGGAAATCGGTGAGGCGCTGAACTTTATGGAAGAAGATGACGATGATGATGATGATCTAGTTGAATGGTTCCGGTATTTGGTAACCTGAATTTGATCATAAGGAAGCATCCACTAGTCTGGCTTTTTTTTTCTCCTAACATCGATCGATCATAATTTTTTGGATCCGTAGCCATTTTGGCTCAAGGACTGTTATAAGTTTTCCCCCTGAGTTGTCTCTGAGGTGTGCTGCAAATCTAGATTGGCTTCTTCCTTTACATATTAAGGTTGAGGCTTAGGCCCAGCGGCGCTCAAGGCACTAAATAAAACAACCGGTGAGTGTTTACCTCTAGTAGCGTTTAGCCCACTTCCAACAAAAGACCTTAGTAACAGGTAGACTCAGGACTCGGACTCATGATTTTTCTACGCCAACAGATGATTGCAACTTTCATGCAGGCGTTCCATACGTACTTGCTACTTGGAGGCGCGGCAATTATGGCTTCTACCACTACAATATTATTGTACTTACATTTCATCGTTAGTAGTAGAAAGACAGTTTCCTACTTTCTTTCTAGTATCTGTTGTAGGTGCCCTTCGTACATGCTGACTTACTCCCTGCATACTCACGCCGGTGCAATACTAGTAAGTTGTACCACACTGATTACATCCATTCTTGCTACCACTACATTGAAACTAAGAAAAATGGCGTACTGCATTCTAGCTAGTACCACATTGGAATTAATTGCGGACATTGTTCTAGTAGTTACCAGCACACTGATTGCGTGGACGCTCTTCTAAACTAATGTTGTACTTGTACCTACTACTTCCCCTATCATTAATTGATTGACTTTCTTCTATCCTGGTGAGGGCTCTTTTCTGTTGTCGTGAGGGCTCTACTCAGTAAGGAGTAACTGGAAGGAGAAGATAGTTAGATACCGACAATAATTGCTACCAACTTGATCTTCTTCTATCGGGTCGAGCTCGTCGTTTCTGGTCCCACTAGAAATGGGCTGCCAAGTACATGAATCAGAGCTGCCCCTCTAAGAAGGAGTTTTTTTTGAGGCGCCCCAGCGCGGCACAAAACGGTCGGCAAGGTAGTCCCTCTGGGGCTACGGACGCGAGGAGGCAACAGGCGAGCCAAATCGTAAGCCTAAACGGTCATCCGCAGGAGTGCAGTGCTGGAGGTGGAGGCCCGAAGGCAAAGGCCGTCTTTTTCCCTGATGATGAACAGGTGGGCAAGGCGCTGACGCACGCCAATTTGTTAAGCACTGAAGCTAAAAAGTTCTGTAGTCTCTTCACAACATATACTCGCTGAGTGAATGAATGAATACTCGCTGTCCAGAAGGTGGGAGTAGAGGGGGTGTTTACGGGTCAAAGAAAATTGTAGTTGAAGATAGATAAAAGTTGGTAGTCCTTCTGCGGCTGCACATGTTCGCTTGATGATGCAGGTCACACTGTGGGCGGCGAATCACTTCCTATCCTAAGCTAGCCTACTTTTTCTATCTGTCCTCTTTACTAGTCCTTCCATCACTTTCTTATTTCTATCGCTCTCCATTCCTCGCCCGAGGATGCAGGTCAAACTGTGGACGGCGAGTCAACTCCTATCCTATCCTATCATCTTCGTTCTATCGACTTTGTTGATGTTGTCACTTCATTTTCATAAAATAGTAGAAGTTGTTTTTTGAAATTCTACTTGCTGAACTTACCCCCCGAATGGGTAAGCGACTACTACTACTATTACTACTACTAATTATCCTACGACTCCTGGTACTGCCACTCCTCCTACTACTCTAATTTTGATGTCGATTCGAGAGCAGCATGTGAATGCCCTCCACGCTCTGACACAGCTTTCCAGCACCAAGAACCTCCCACGAGATTTCGTATCTAAGAACCTGGCGGCCGCGGACTTTCTCTTTAAGGTTAGCAGCTCTTAGTCTTTTGATTAATCGCCGTCTAGTCCGCGCACATTATTAAGGCGCCCGCAAGGTTAAGCGTAACTAGAGAATATTTTTTCATTTCAACTATTTACTATGACAAGAGTCTCGTAAAGAGTAATTCATCTTTGACTATGACTGCGTCTCTGTTGTTGAAAACTTTTCAAAAGTATACTTTTATTCTGTTCTTGATTGGCGTCCATCTACGACAGAATGGACAGAAGCGGCTGCGTCTGCAGCAATTCCCTGCTTCGTCATTCTATTTGTGGGGGACTACTACAACTCACCTGTTTTCTGTCCTTAGATCGCTACCAGAACGTGCGACCTTTCCACAGACTTTTGTTTTGAACAACGATGCTCCGCGCGTATTCTGGATACACCTCGTGTGAGAACGAAGCAACGGCGCCCTATCCTATCAACATATCCTATCCAGTACAGCCTCCCCATAATTATAGTAGTATACTTGCTTTATTAAAGTTCCTCAATACCCTGGTCCTCCAAATTTGTTTTGAACGATGCAGCAGCTAACTTTTTAAGCTACAATGCGTGAAAGACATGAAATTATTGAAGCTTTTGCATTTATTCAAGATTTTGGTTTTGAATTGCGGAGAGGGTTATTTCTAATCTTGCTGCTTGGACGACGGCGAACAAGGACGAACAGCAATCGACCAAGAATTCCATGTCATTTGCTCTTGTCAAGTTCTTTCTGTTTCAGGTAAGTATTAATTTCTAACTCTTGTAGTCTAAGTATTTTTCAGATTTGTAGTAAGTTGTTCATTCCTCTTCCTTTAATGATCAGTCAGAAATCTAGTCCATCTTCCTTCTAGAGAAATGAAGTGCTTTATTTGTCTAAGGTCTACTACCAGATTATTCGTAGTTCGTTCCATCTTGTTCATCTCCCAAGAACAGGAAGAGGAAGATTGATGTAGAACAAGTTCTTGGAGGAATGATATTCCCCCACCTTCTTCTTCGATGATGATTGATGTAGAAGTTCTTGGGGGATAAATTATCACGTTGTTCGCCCTGCTGACGATGACGAAGATTTTTTATCATTTGTGTTCCAGGGCGCGGGGCGACGGCCCTCCCCGCTAGTACTACACGACGGCCCCTTTTTCAGGCTTCTGCCGGGGGGGAAGGCCTCAAAAAGGGGCCCAGTGGCCTCCCCCCTCCGCTCCCTTCCAGCTGCCTGGCTGTTCCCTAGGGGCCTCCGGTGGTGGTGGGAGGCTTCAAAACAAGGGGCCCAAGGGACCGCCTGCGCCCCCGTCCAGGTGCCTGCTTGTGCCCTAAGTGCATCCGTTAGGCTTCGCCGCCGCAGCAGTGCACCGGGGCCGGCAGCGGGAGGCCCCCGAAGACGGCAAAAGGCGAGGGGCTGGCCCCCCGAGCCGTGCCGCCTGTACCCTCCGGGTCCTTGGTCATCGGCTTGCCTGCTCTTGCGCCCGTGGCCGCCTCCGGCGGACTTTTACCCTGGAGGGCTCCCGCTTGCGAGGGTCAGCAGAGGCCAGGCGGCCCCTTGGGAACACGCTGAGGGGCCCAAGGAGAGGCCCGCGCCAAGTTTTGACGCCTTCCGCCACTAGAATCCGCGGAAAATCCGCGCGGAAAAGCGCGCGCGCGCCTCCACAGACCAGACCACAGGGGGGGGGCGCCTGGCCTTGGGTCATATAACTATCTGCATCTGCTCCCCGGGCTGGGGTGCCCCGGGAGACGTTTAAGAAGGGAAAAGAGACTCCTTCAGGGGCGTGGCCTTGCGTGAATGTTTTCACAAGGTGAAACAAGCACCCGAAGGACGCGCACTCCCCTCCGCCTAGTGGTAGGCGGAAGCGGGAGGAGCAACAGGCAAGGCGGGGGCCGTCTTCGTGTGGTTTGTTGCTCTTCCCGCGAGGGTGCCCGAAGACGACAGCGAAAAAGATGGGAACCCGCTCCCAAGATGGTCGCAAGCGCCGGCGGGCAGTTCAGCCCGCAACATTATGGGCGCCACCTTTAACGCGTCGGCCATGGTTGGCGCTGGGTGTTTGTGGTTTTTTCTTCTCTTCTCCTTTGGTCGTTCGTGGCTCCGTGCCCGAGCTACAGCGAACAACAGCCACGAAAACAAAGAAGCCGGAGGTCTGCGAGGGCTTCTTGCGATGATAGCGAGGAAAAGCCTGAGGGCTTGCCCCAGTCCCCGAGGAAGGTGATAGAAACCGAGCGCCGGCGGGCAGTTAAATACGCGACACCATGGGCGCCATTTTCAACGCGTTGGCCATAGTCGGCGCGGGTGTTCTGGGTCTTTTCTCCTTCTCTTTCTCTGTCCCGCTCGCGGCCGTGCGTGTGAACTTCAGCGAACACCGAGGACAACCAAAACAGAAGAAACAAAACGGAAGCCCGCGAGGGCTGCGTGCTTGAAAGTGACAGCGAAGAAAGTGGGAACCTGTTCCCGCTGTGGTGCTGTTGCTGCTGTTGGTTGTTGTTGTCGTTGCTGTTGTTCTTGTTTCTCTTGTTGTTGTAGTTCTTGCTGTTGTCTTTGCAATAGTCTTTGTATAGTACTCTCGACGCCCTCGATCGTATTAGTGGTAGAACCTTTCTACACTCACAGATATTATGCTTAGCCACCTTGGCTTACTCTAGTGCTGCCATACTCCTCCGGCATAGAGCGCTTACGCGGTTGCCCCTTAGTGCTCTAGCACTTAGTCGGATTCAGAGGAGACATCGCGCCGCTTGCCATATAGAGGGGACAACAAGGGAAGCGGGCTCTCGGTTCAGGGTTCAAAGGAGACACCGCGCCGCCTGCCATCTAGAGGGGACAACAAGGAAAGCGGGCCTTCGGTTCAGGGTTTAGGATTCAGATGAGGCATCGCGCCGCCTGCCATATAGAGGGAACACCAAGGGAGGCGGGTTCTCGGTTCAGGGTTCTGAATTCAGATGAGAAATCGCGCCGCCTGCCATGTAGAGGGAACGCCAAGGGAGGCGGGTTCTCGGTTCAGGGTTCAGGATTCAGACGGGGCATCGCGCCGCCTGCCATATCGAGGCGACAACAAGGGGGGAGCAGGTTTAGGGTTCAGGATTCAAATGAGACATCGCGTCGCCTGCCATATAGAGGGAACACCAAGGGAAGCGGGTTCGCGGTTCAGGGTTCAGGATTCAGATGAGCCATCGGGCCCCCTATCATATACATAGGGGAACGCGGTGGAACTTGCTGCATTTTAGACGCTGCCTGAACAACTTTTACTTTAGAGCTTCCTTATTCTCGTGGCTGCCAGATTGTTGCTGTTGTGGTTGTTGTTGGGGCTGCTGTGGGGTTTGGTGCTGGGGCTGCTGTTGGGGCTGTTGCTGGGGGTGTTCTTGTAGTCGTCGTTGTGCTTTGTTGGTCTTTTAGTTTTCACCTGCTTAAAGGCATCGCAAGAGCCTTTTAGCCTTCGCGCTAGAGGCGGCTGAGGGGTCCTTTCATGTTCACCGTAAAGGCGCCCTAAGAGTCCTCTGGTGTTCACGTTAAAGGCCTCTACCTCTTAAGGGCCTCTTAGTGGTTCTTTAGTATTCACATTAAAAGCGGTGGCCCTTTAGAAGTGTTCACATCGATCAGGCAGCATGCGTGGCGCGGTTCTTACTGTATTTTATAGAGGGCATTTGACTTCGATTATAGCCGAGTGCTTCAGCTTGGAAACCTTCTGAAGATTTTACGAGGAAAGCAGAAGATCCCTCTCCTACCGTGACTCTGTAGGTGGGTTTTCGACAGGATCGCAGAGATTTGTCGAATCTGTCGGTTTCGACTGCTGTCCACTTTCGTGCCCTGTTCATTCATATCCTGCGCAAGATGACGAAGATTTTTTATATACAAACTGGAGACTTAACCCCCGGGGATCCTAAATCTACTGGTGAGTTATACTTTTTAGTGCTGTGGCAGCACGGTAGGCTGGCTCGGCAGACCCAGGTCTTTGCCGGCGCCGGTCGTTGCACCTACGGCCCATAAATTTGCCACGGAGCGTGGCGGGAGGCCTTTACCTCCCCAGAGAGAGTTGCACACCAACGTCCGGGTGTCGTAACCCCTCTCGCGGCTCGGCCGGTGTTCGTGCACCGTCGCCCTACGAGTCAATCAACCGGCACCCGCGAGGTTTCGGGTGCTCGCTCTTCGCGTCGGACGCTTTGGTCCGGGGCGCTTTGGCCCGGGTGCGCGGCTAATCCCTCGGCAGTAGCAGGCGTTGTCCCCCCGCTGGGGGACAAGGTCACTTTGAACCTCCAGCCCGCGCTGTCGGCCTACTACCGGGGCTTGAGCTCCCGCTCAACCTCTGGTCTCGGTTTGACACGTGCCAGCGGTGAATGGACCGCTCCGAGCCCTTATCCTTTCCTCACCGGCACCTTCCTCCGGAGACCCCGACCAGGCTCCGGCTTCCTGGTGCGGACTTGAGTCGGCGGTCTGAGACTCGCGTCCGCCGTCGAGGGGTTACGGGGACGTGTGCCGGCCTTTGCACAGGTTTGCGTCAGGACCTCCCGCCGGCCAGCGCCCGCGTCGGTGGTGTGCCGGGGCGGCTGCCGCCCTCCACCGCGCTTGTCGCTCCCGTGGGAGGGACGAACTCCCGGAGCGACAGCGACAGCAGGGGCCGGCAGGCGTTCACATAGTTCAGCCAGCCATAGTCGGGCACCAGTGGACTGCTGAACCGTCTGCAGCCGTGGGATGGTGTTGATGAACAGTTTGTGCTTGCCGTGTCTGGTCATGTAGTCCGCCAGGTTCCATTCGGATTTTATGTAGACGTACCACGGTTTGACATTGTTGTCGTACCAGTGATTGACTACGTCTACTGCGGTGTTTGCCACCACCGCGGATTTGCCACTACATTTGATGAAGTTGTAGAGTACTGGCGTGTTGTCGATCAGCACTACGAGGTCGGAGTTGCTGGTCCAACTCGGTAGTTGCTTTGCGGCGAGGCCCACCGCGGCCGCCTCCAGTACCTCTATCCTGGCGGTGGCCCATCGGCCATCCGTTAATGGCTGCATTTGGATGAGGGTCTTCCCGCTGTGGTGGATCATGACGTATCCTAGCGTTGGCTCGCCGTTCGGCCCGCCATCTGTTGACGCGTCCGTGAACAGGAAGCTCAGAGGCTTCACGATTTGTTCTAGCCTGAGTCTGAGCCTGTTCACCTTGTGGACCATCTTCTCGATGGCCGCAGTGGAGCGCAGGAGGGCTCTCCGTTGCCACCGCTGCTTCACCAACTTGTCGAAGGTGGCGTCTTCTGTCCATGCGTAAAGAGATCTCATGATCTCGTTTCCGGCTCTGTTTGCCGCGGACACGGTGATGAAGTTTGCCAGTCCGAGCAGTCGCTGGACCACCTTTTTGTCCAACTGTCCTGTGTTCACTTTCTGCCGGAGCTCGTTTGCGACTTCCGCGACCTGCTGGAGCATGTTGTCTGGCACCACAACATCAATTCCCGTTTTTGGGCTTGTGTCGTAGTGGAGGCCCAGTATGCGCACAATAGGGCTCTTTCTCGAGTCCTGCTGTGCTGTCGCTTTTGTCGCGAGCTCCAGCCCCAGGCAGTCGCAGAGAGCTTCGTATGCCTCTATTGCCTCATCCGCTCCCTCTTCGAGGCTGAGGATGATGGCGTCGTCGATGTAGATTGGCACTACTGTGTGCCCGAGCGTGGCCATTATTTTCATGACCAGCTCCGCCACTCTACACCAGCTGCTGACGCTGAACTTGTTCCCCATGTTCAGTATCGCCGCGAGGAACATGCGGTAGCGCCCCTGGGTGTCGTCCCAGACTCCAACCGGGTTTTCCTCCGGGTGTTTTACCCCTACCTGGTAGTAGGCCTTGCTCCAGTCTCGGAGTGCGATGCAAGGCTTTCTACCTGCCGGGCGGGTCTTCATCCTCTCCTCGTTGAGGAGCCTCACCTGCTCGCCGAGTTGGCGGTGCTCGTCGGTGGTTGTGGCTTCGCTTGCGCTTGTTTTTGCGCGGAAGTCTGCGACCTCTTTAGCCACCTGGCCGCAGATATCCGTGGTGAACTGTGTCACCGGTGCGTGGAGGGTGAGGCCCTCTGCGCCTGCAGGCGCCATGTAGCTTTTTACAATCTCCAGGACCGTTCGCGTCCCGTGGAGCCTCACCTTTTCCGACATTTTTGAGAAGTCGTTTTTCCACCGCTCGTCGATTATCACGCGAACCTTCTCTGGTTCGACCTTTGGGAAGGCGTACGCCGGCATGACCTTGAGGTCCTCTGGATTGATCTCTTTGTATCTGCCCAGCTGGACGTCTGCCTCAATGTTTTTGAGGACTTGCCGAAGGGCTTCCTCTGGGAAACCCTTCGGAGGCGCATCCCGGATTTTTACCGCGGTGCTATAGAATTCTTTGAGGTCCTTTGCCTCCGCGGCATTGACGTCTGCCTTCCAAAGGCCAGTACTCTTGTACTCCCCTATTGTTTGAAATCCATGGAGGATGTCGTCCGGTAGCGACGTGTCCGGATGGCCCGTCAATGCGATGAGTTTTCTCATTGCGATGACGTTCCTTGTTTTGGTTGTCTGTAGCACCCTTTTTAGGTGCTCTGGCGCCGTAGCGTTTATCAAGTCTGCATTTGCTTGCTCCGTCTGCGTCTTCAGACGTCTGAACAAGGCGGTGGCTTGTTTTCTTCGTTTGGCTACCGCTGCCGGCTGTAGCTTCTCGGCAGCTATCAGTTGTTCCCACTCGAGTGGTAGCTTTTGGCCGTAGGTCTCGAAGTGTAGTTGTGCTCGGACCCGATTGACGAAGTTGCAGACCGCGTCATGGAGCTCGCGGCGGTCGTTGCCGTGCTCCATTTCTGCTTGGCTGACGTGTAGTGGCGTGGCAGTCGTCATTTTTTGTGACTAGGCTTGGTTGGCCCCTGGGAGGATTTTTTGTCGACTGTCGTCCAGGAACCTTCCAGAGAGCGTATCTTTTCTCTCACCTAAGTTAACTCACCAGTTAGTATAATCACTTCCCCCGCAAGCTCCTCCAGTGCATATACAAACTGGAGACTTAACCCCCGGGGATCCTAAATCTACTGGTGAGTTATACTTTTTAGTGCTGTGGCAGCACGGTAGGCTGGCTCGGCAGACCCAGGTCTTTGCCGGCGCCGGTCGTTGCACCTACGGCCCATAAATTTGCCACGGAGCGTGGCGGGAGGCCTTTACCTCCCCAGAGAGAGTTGCACACCAACGTCCGGGTGTCGTAACCCCTCTCGCGGCTCGGCCGGTGTTCGTGCACCGTCGCCCTACGAGTCAATCAACCGGCACCCGCGAGGTTTCGGGTGCTCGCTCTTCGCGTCGGACGCTTTGGTCCGGGGCGCTTTGGCCCGGGTGCGCGGCTAATCCCTCGGCAGTAGCAGGCGTTGTCCCCCCGCTGGGGGACAAGGTCACTTTGAACCTCCAGCCCTTTGGGCCATCCTTTCTCGACGCCTCCTTGGTGCGCCTTCCATCCTTTTCCCGACGACTGGAGGTTCAGAACCGCCAGGTGCGTACGTTTTTTGTACCCGGTACTGCTTTGAGTGCCCCTGAGCCGCTGCTACTGGCGCTCTTTGGCGCTAGGGCCGTCACCTTTTTGGTAACGGTATTCTGTTGAATCCGCCCTTACTTCTGTAGCTTCTGCTTGGGGGTGATCTTGATCGTCCGCTTGACCAAGGTGTCCTCTTGGACCGCCTTGGGCTGCACGAAGACGCGCGGGGGTGGACCCCCCCCCGAGGGCCACCGCCTGCGCAATCCGTGCAGCGGGATGAATTCAGAGGCCTCCCACGTTTTGTGGTCGGCTGTGTACTCGTCCCACATTTTGCTGGACTGTTCCCAGCCCATGTGGGTGAGGAATTCATCCTCCTTCACGGCGATTTTCCCTTGCTCCCACTCGCGTCGCGTTGCCAATGCGAGTCCTCTCCTGCAGCTGTGCAGCGTGCCGCTAATTCCCTTCCCCTTCTCTTCCGGTACCCCCGGAAGCCCGCCCTTTTCGCGCTCCTCTTAGTGAGCTGCGTCTAGGTGTGGGGTCGCCACAGACTACCCCCTGGGCGATTGATGGTTGGAGCCGTTGGCGATGCTCCGTAAAACAGCCCCCCTCCCTTAGTAGTTAACCCCCCGCAGTAGCCCCAGTAGTTGTAGTAGCTTTCGTGCCGCTGAAGCTCTTCGCCCTCGTCGTCTTCTTCTTCAGGCTCCCAATGGCTGCAGCTGGGACATCCTCCCACTTTGCGCCGCGGGGTCTCTGGTCTGGCTTCTTTGGAGAACTTAAGTTGAGGCAAATGGTGTCCCCATCTGCCGTGTAGGTATCCCCTGCTCTACCGGGGGGGCAGACTAAAGATTAGCGCCTGGGGGTCTTGCCAGGGTGGTTTTCTGGCGCCGCTTTAGTCTGTTGGTGTCCCTCATAGTTATTAGTAGTGCCTGCGGCTGCGGTGTGGATGTGGTGCTTTTGGTTGCGGAGCGGATGGCGCTACGCTGCTTGGGGTTTTAGCGCCTCTAGTTGGCTGCTCTCCCCCGTTAAGGCTTTTCTGGAGTTATGGCTGTTGGCGTGGTAATACGTATAGCGCGACTGCGAGCGTCATTGCTCCATGTTGCTGCTTTCGTATAAGTTGGGTGACACTACTGCTGAGCATCAGGCAGTGCCTTGGCTTGCGTGCGGGTCTTGGCTTTTCTTCCTATAGCGACAGACGGATAGGCACTACTGCTGAGTATCAGGCAGTGCTATTAGTCTTCGGGCTGTAGCTGTTGGCAAAAAACATGGATAGGCACTACTGCTGAGTATCAGGCAGTGCTATTAGTCTTCGGGCTGTAGCTGTTGGCAAAAAAAATGGATAGGCACTACTGCTGAGTATCAGGCAGTCCTGAGAAGCCCTAGGTCATAGTAAGCATCTGATTCCCTCCGGGTGGACGGGGTGCGACCTTTGGTCTTGTTTGGTTCGCTTTGGTGTCACTGTTTCAGGGCCCATATGCCTGCCTTCTTGACTGTAGTGGTGGATCGACTATGTTTCTCCCTTCGCCAAGCTACTTATCCTGGCCTTTCCTAATGGGAAATCAGATCTCATAACAGCGCCTTCGCCGTGCATCGGGCAAAAGCGACTTCGTGCACCAGCTGTTTTTGCGTTGGTGTCGCAATTGCAGTGGATTTCTATTATCCTACCGCGTTGTTTGCGGATTTTGTCTTCGGATATGTGGATGCGCCACACGTCTCCTTTTTTGGAGATGTCCGTGTCGTCCACCGCCGCGATGCTGTCGCCCCGCAATCCCGATAGCGCCCAAAGGAGGACCATTTTTTGGTCTTTTGCCTTTAGCGCCTCGAGCTTCGTACCCGGTAGGAAAGGCTTTGCTTTCCTCGGGTTGTGGTCTTGGATTGTTCGTTCAATTGCCTTTTCCACGTCCCCGATGTTTCGGAGAATGGCGGGGCTTTCGACTAGCCGCTGCGGGCCATCCGCGGGTGGCGGTTCTACCAGCCACATGATGATGCTGGATGTGTACTGCGCGACTGAGGTGTATTCATTGAACACTAGGAAGGCGGCGAATCTTTGCACCGCCTCCGGCCTCACGGGTAGCTTTTCACCCTTGGCCGCTAGCCAGTCGAGGAAGAAGGCGACTCGCGACTTTTTGTTTCTAGTCGTGGAGTCGGCTTCTCCCATGGCGCGCAGCTCGTCGTCGTTTAGATCGACAGCTTTGCGCAGTGCGTCCGCCCGCTTCGACATTTATTTAATGTTACTTTTTTATTTATCTCTCGCTGTTGTTCCCTCTAACGTTCTTTTTAGTTTTTATTTAGTTAGTTTGTTCTCTCGTCCTTACTTACTTTTTTGTCTAGGCTGGTTCGTGCGGCTGCTTAGGCGAACCTCCACCATGGATCTTGGCCTCCTGCCGTATCTCATGAAGTGGTCTCCCCAGCCTAGCTTCTTTACTTACTCGTAACTCCTTCCCACTCTGTTTTCCCTCTTTTTAGCTTGACGAGATGTAACACGTCACTCCCTCGAACACTGCGCCGCCGCCGCCGCGTTTTCCCTTTCGGCCACCAGTCGTCACTGGTGGTTTGATTTGTTTCCTCCCTCTCAACTAGAGTGTTTTTTACTCTGTCAAAAAGGACGAATTTATTGTTCCGCCACTAACTTAATAATGGTCCGGTGCCCCTGGTAATTTGACCAGAGGGCTTATGGCGAATGCTTTTGCATTCTGTTTTTCGAGGATTTGTTGTCCTCGAGGCCGGTAGCCTTTTTCTTCCAGCTAGTCGCGTTCTAGCTTGTGCGTGGCTCCTTCCACCACACCGCGAGGGAGCGTTTGCTCCCAACGTGCTCCTTCACGTCTCTCCCCAGGAGGATTTTTCCCTCCATCACTCTCGATTTATCGGCGTCGATCGCGTGAGCGGCTGTTTTTGCGCTCGTTCGATCGCTTCGATTTGTTGCGGCCACGATTGTCTTTTTCGCGACTGTCGTTGCGATGCCGTTGTCCCAGCGGAACCGCGTTTGCGTCGCTTCGCTGGGGTCCTTTCGGTTGGCGGCGTGTTCGGCCGTTTTTGGCCTTCATCGCCTTCATCGGCTGGACTTTCGGTTTTACGAAGTCTTTCGGGTGGCGGATTGCTTCCTTGTCCTTCGCTGCCGCTCGTTTTGCCGCTGTGCCGGTTGGCTGCTGGTTGATGTTTCGCCCTGCCAACCGGGCCGAGAAGAGGACTTCGGCCAGCTCTTTTTGCGAGCGGATCACTTCTGCCCACGTTCTCTTGGCGATAGTGATGTCTGGGGGAGGACGGTTGCGGTCGATGAGGTGGTGGTGTGTGCATTCCAGGTGTTGAGCGTCGTTGCGACAGCCTGACTGCACCGCATGCGCTTTGTGCGCGTGGAACCAGTGGCATACCGCCGGCGGAAGCATGAGTCCCATATTTTTCAGGGACTTCAATGCGGACGGCTCCACTAAGCCGGTTTGAGGGAAGTACACGTAGTATGTGGTGCGTGTTCCTCCCTTCGCGTTTCGGCGCTCGGCTAGCACCACGTCGACACGTTTGTCGAGGCGGCGGTTGTGGACTGGGTCCATGGCCGGGTTGAAATCTGTTTTTTCCAGATCCAAACTCTCCAACCAAGTGTCGCTCGGCATGGTTGTGCCCGTGTCGTCGTCCCCGCCGCTGTCGGCGTCGCTGCCGAACGGGTTTTGCGGGCCTTCGCTCGCCGATCGCTCTCGCGATTCGCTGCGGCGGCGGCTGTGGCTACGAGAGCGCAGTGTGACTGTCACACGTTCGCTTCTCGGCTTGCCTAAGCTCGCCTCGGCGTCTCGCATGGAGAACATTTCATTTTTGATTTCCTCCATGTTCTCCTTGAAGAACGCTTTTTGGACGGGCGGTTTGATTTTTCCCCCGTCTTCCTCGTCCGTGTAGCGCGCCTCGTCGATGAGGTGGAGACCGAAGTGGTTGTACCAGGCCAGCAGGTTGAACATGTATCTGTTCACCAGCCCGGTCTCCCAGCGCTTCATCTTCTGCTGGAGCGCGTCGAGGCTGCGGGAGCCTTCCTTCATGAATCCCAAGAACACCATCATTTTTTTGATGGCGATTTCTGGGAAGTTCTCGTTGAACTCGGTCATGAAGTCGAAGGGCTGCAGGTCGGTGGCGCCGTTGATGGCGCTTTCCACGCGGCGCAGCGTCTCCCAGCACTGGTCCAGGTTGCATCTGTCCCAGTAGTCAGCCGGGACGCTGGCGACGACCTGTTTCCGGACCAGGTTCTGGAACGCGCTGTTTGTGCGCTGCAGGTTGTCTCCGTTAAAGCCTGCGATGGCGCAGTTTGAGACCTTGGGTTGGTTTTTTCCCACCTGGGCTTCGCCCCAGATGCCTGCGGCCGCGTATGCTCCGAAGAGCAGCGCCAGCGCCTTTTGGTTGAGGCGTTGGCCTGCCGTCGTGTTCAGGACGCTGTTTTCGTCCACGTCGAAAACGGAGCGGAGGCCGTGCTTTTCCACGTGTTTTAATAACGCGGTGAGCACGTGGTTCGCCTGCTTAGAGGCTTTTTCTCCGTTCGTGAAGAAGCAGTTTTTATACTGCTCCTGTGCGTCTGCGACTTCCTCGCCCGGAGTTAAGACGGAAGGCCAGACGACTTTCACCTCTGTTTTCTTCTCGACGCCGTTTACGCGTCGGTAGACGAAGAATTTTTCTCCTTCGCTAGCCGGGCGCGTGTCGTCATAGGAGAGGATTTTGTCCTCTCCGCTGCTGTTCAAAGCCGTTGCGATGGCCTTTGCGGTCTTCTTCGCGAACGTTTTGAACAGAGCTGCCGTCTCCGGCGGCTCCTCGGAGGACTCTTCGCTTTTGTCGGCGAAGTCCACGGAGTCCTCCTCCTCTTTCTTTTTGGCTTCGAGCTCCGCCTTGCGCTGCTTCTCCTCTTCTTCGAGGAGCTTTCGGTCCTCCTCCTCGTGCGCCTTGCGGACCGACGTCCACGGCGTCTTGGCCGGCTTCGCGTCCCAGTCGTTGAGCACCTCTTTGTTGGTGCGCTCGATCAGGTAGCGGACTATCACCTCCTTTTTGGCGGTCTGCGCCGGGACTTCCGCCAGGTTCAGCTGCGGGTTTTCCTCCCGAAACTTTCGTTTTTCGGCGAGCTTCGCGCCGGCTTCAAAAGTCTCTTTTTTAATCAGAGACTTCGAGGCCCAGGGTTCGGCCGTTAGTTCCTCGTGGTATGCGCCCAACCACAAGTGGAACCACATCAAGGTGGTGCCCTGTTCGGTTAGGGTTCCACCTTCCCCCACGAAGCGCGGGTCCTCCAGGTCTTTTTTGACCGTGTCGATGAATTCCGTTTCCGGAAGTTCACCGACCATCTGTCGGAGTGCTGCAATCCAGTCCTGGATGTTTGCGCAGAAGATGAGTTTATCCTCATACTGCGTCTTCTCCTCCAGCTGCTTTTGCAGCGCCTCCATGGCCTCCGCCATGGAGGGGTGAAACAGTGATCCGTCGATCAGTTTCAGAAGGGCTTTGCCCTTCTCGTCGACGTCCTCGCTCCCCACAGGATTTTTGCCTGTGTGGATGACGAGGTCTCCGACGCTTTTCAGGGAGGTCATTTTGTTTTTTGTTTTGCTGAAAACCAGAGTGCGGGGGCACTACTAGTCACTAGTTTCTAGATTGCGATTATACGCGCACAGAAAGTCCCTGGATTTTTGGGAAAAAGAAAAGTTTTTTGACCTGCCCAAGCTAGCTTTCAGCTTGAGGTTACGAAAATGTGCTGCCACAAGCGCCAAACCCTCGCGGCGATTTTTGCCCCGCGAGGGGATGGCGCGCCGCGCGCGCGGCGGAACTCGATTTTTACGAGCTCCCCAGCACCCCCCACTGGGCGCCACGCGCCTGCCCACCGCACCGCCGGAGGGCGCGTTGGCCCTCCCGCGGCCTACGCACGAGCGCTTTGGCCCGTGCGCCGGCAGCCCGCTCCGCTCCGCTCCGCTCTGCTCCGCTCTGCATGTGAACTCCGCCCCGTGGGTGTAGCATTAACGCTCTCACCCGACCGCACCCGAGCCTCCGCGGAGGCGCGAACCGTGGTTCGCCTTCGCCGAGATGCGCCATTGCATCGACCGGCGGCGTCGCGCGTGAGTGCATTTTTTGCACCGCACACGACGGGGTTCGCGGGGCCCGTTGCCCCCAACCCTCTCCCTAGTTGGTCCCTCAGCCGACATTTTTTGTCGACTGTCGTCCAGGAACCTTCCAGAGAGCGTATCTTTTCTCTCACCTAAGTTAACTCACCAGTTAGTATAATCACTTCCCCCGCAAGCTCCTCCAGTGCATAAATATGTGACGAGGGTCAGGATGCTCCGGCCTGGTTGTAGTAGTTGTACATTGACAGGCGCCAGGAGCCGAGCTTCATCCGTGAAACTTTCTGACCCGGGAGGCTCCTGTCACTGACCGAAGACGGGAGGCTTCTGGCTGGGACTTCCTCTGGGTTTTTTCCTTGTAGGTCTGCAGAGCACAGGGGCGTGGCGGGGCTGGCCTTCACAAGATGACGAATATTTTCTATCAAGCTGTAGAAAGCAACCTATCGATCTCAGTTTTTATTCGCAATTTCTTTCAGGTGACGGCACCGGCAGGGCGGAGAAGCTCGGCATCCTCCTTTTTGTCATACAACCCGGCGGAAGAGGAAGAAAGTACGTGGCCCATTACATCAAGAACATGGATGAGCCTGCCCTCCTTTTTCTCGGAGGGAACTGGATCTGCAACACCACCTGGGCTCAGCTCGTCGTCATTCCTGTCAACACATCACGAGACACGACCGCCACGAGGACAGCCAAAAAGTGCGCTGCTGGCGATGGTAAAGCCGGTGCCATCTGGTTCAGGACCAAAACGAGCGCCTTTAAGAACTACAAATTCAAAGCTACTTTATCGCTATCTTCCCATCTTTGCCTTTTTTGGTTTCTTTCCTAGCTTGTTAGACGAGCACTATCATCCCATTCGCCCCACGTGGAGTATGCTGAGAAGAGTTGTCTCCCATGCATGATTTCACAGGTTGAAATGTGGGAAGCCTTTCTAGAACAAGAGCAAGAGGCAACTTACTCAGCCAGCCATAGTGAAAAACTACTAGCGTTAACAAAAAAAGCAGCAGCAGCAGCAAAACCAGTAGAAAAGCCAAGAGGAGAGACTGGACAAAGCAGTAACGAAGCAGGCATTTACTTCGACATCCTGAATACTTAAGGAAGAACTTGTTTTCACGATGTCAACTTAGTATTTTCAACTTAATAAGTAGAAAGAAGATATAAGAGATATAATACGGCAGTGAAATAACTTTCAGTTACTTAATAAGTAGAAAGAAGATATAATAGATATAATACGACAGTGAAATAACTTTCAGTTATGTCGCTGTAAAGTTGAGAATCTGTAGTTGTCGTAAGAACCTGTAGTTGACTGACCGTTACGGATCATCTCAATTTACCTTCGCAAGGATATAATCGTAAGAACCTGTTGTAGTTGTAGTACTAGTAGTAGGAGGAGTAGCAGTAATAGTAGTAGTCGTCGTCGTAGTAGGTAGTACTAGTAGTCGTAGTAGTTGCGTCCTCAACAGTAGCACTACTTTCAACTTATAAGAAGCAGAAACTGATGAAACTCAAGACTGTATCATCTCACGTGGTCATACTCATTATAAGTTGACTCGGTAGTAGTAGGGTCTTCCTTCTCCTTGCTCATTCGTTTGACAACTCGTATCTACTTCACAAGACCAGTTGTGACCTCCATCTGCATATCAAGATCTTCTTTCTAAAGACAACAATCGGTTGGCCAGCTGGGCTACAGAGATAGCCTTTGGCGGTTCGGGTGCATCTTCTCCAAAGATCCGCATACGCTTGATTCCCAGCGGGTAACTCAAGTGGCGCTTCTCTTCATGTTAAGACTCATCTCTTCATTTCAAGATCAACATCCATACAAGTAGAAAGTAGTGCACGAATACTACCCGTAAGTCGTTTTTCTTTGTTTTGGCTCTTCAGTAGCCACTGAAGTCTGCTGGTTTATCTAGTGGACCAACATCTACCACATCGGATGGTAGGCCCCAACCTAACCTAACCTAACATGACGCCCTCTCTGGACAAGACAGAGAGGATCGCTCCCGTCTGGTTACCTAGTCAGAGATACAAACATCCTAGAGATCATGTAGATGTACTTCTTGTATCTACTATCACTCGATTCTTAGCTTATCCCGCCATGCAATACTTCTATCTACTATCATCTTAAGATGGAGGATGTGCTTAATATCTTAAGATGCAGGATTTTCAGATCTTAAGATGGAGGATGTCTCATCTATAGGAACAAGATGTACTGCCTAAGTAATAATATCTGAAGTTTATGATTATGCCTCAAGGCCCCCTCGCTAATCATAGCAGATTTCATGACCTGTTTTGAAGGTCATCCGAAGAAGTCAGGGACGGAGGACAACATCCATTAAGAGAAGATCGGATGACTTCTAAATGTCAAGTACAACAACTTCTCCTACAATGTGATGTGTACTAGAACCTGTAGGTGTACTTCAGCCAGCACATAATTACGGAAGTTATTTCAATCAGTTTATCGAATATGTCATCACGACGTAGCCCTTGGTCCTCTACTTGTTCACATGATGGACGAGGTACTACAAGAACAACAATTACGTGGTCTATACGAGAAGGCTTAGATGATTGAGTAGCTGAACTCGACTCCCTGTAGTTTTTATTACTAGAGAACGAAACTACTAGAAAAATATGCTCTTCTACAACTCGACGAGTCAAGTACAACCAAGTGATATCAAGCGATGAATACATCACTGACTTACACCAGGTCGTCTCTTCTAAAGTGATGTCGCATTTGCGGATTTGGTTAAGACTGCCAGACACACAGACGACAGCGAAGAAAAATCAATCCACGAGTTTTATTAAGGCTAGTATTACGTGTGCGTTAATAAGCTTGAGAGTACATTCTTTCATTCATCGATGATGTGTGATCCCTGCATTTGCTTTTAGATCCGACCTCCGGCATCTCGGTAGCTGCGTCGTCTAGACAGTACCAGTAGGACAAAAAATAGCACAATTTTATTTCTGCAGAGTGGCCGCATTCATTCGTTGACTCACCCATTCAGATGCCTAAACAAATGAAAAATTTTTAGTTGATTCTTTCACTCGTTATTTCTTGTTTTTTCTAGTTTCTTGGTCTAGCACTCTATCGAAATCGATGTAGAATGGATGAATATGTATTTTTAGATCGTCAGGGACGGGCTTTCTCCAGAAGGAACAAGATGTGAGTGATGAATGAAAGTGAGATAAAATAAAAACGAGAAGCGAGTACTTCTTCTAGATTTATTTAGAGCAACCTGCTCTAGTTGTATTCTCGTAGTACCGCACTCCGTATAGTAGTTGGAGCAGCCGGACAGCTCTAATACGATTGTCCCCGTCTCCGTGATGATACTAGTACTACGAATCAGCAGATTAAACAACGTTTCAACCCGGAGCCGATTTGCACTATTAAGGCTTCAACATTTTCTGATCAACAACCATCACGCTGTACAAGGATTTAGTACAGCGCCTTGTTTATCCAAATCCTCGTTGGTCTAAGAACCTCGTTAATTTTCCCTCGTACTAGTTCTACTTCTACTTTCTGAGAATAGTTCTACTAGTTCTACTTCTGCTAGTTCTACTTCTACTACTTCTACTACTTCTACTACTTCTACTACTTCTACTACTTCTACTACTTCTACTACTTCTACTACTTCTACTACTTCTACTACTTCTACTTCTGCTAGTTCTACTTCTACTAGTTCTACTTGTACTTTCTGTGAATAGTTCTACAACTAGTAACTAATTCTACTAGGTCTACTTCATCCATGGATGATGTATCAATCTATGTATAAGGTGAAGGAGTTCTACCACTTTGTTCTCACTTGTAGTTCAATCTATAGTGGACTTATATTATGAAGGTTAAAAAGGTATTTGCCCTTCTTTTCAGAAGGTAGAAAGAGGCTGCTAAAGTGACTTTCTTTCTACTTGACCATGTAGTTCCCGAGGTAACATGCCATGACAAGGATCGATCCCTCAACGACCTGAGTGATACTCTTCCACACCTGATCCACTTCGTCTATCGTCTCTATCCACCTCACCAAGCACCTCCTCAGAAGGGAGTCTTGACTACTTAAATTGACGACAAGCGATGAAACTACACTAACTAGGGAGGTAAAAAGTTATTTCTAAGACTATCAGAGAAATGGAGAGTACTCCCGGAGGAGGACGGCATTGGTTTCAGGAATACACGAGTCCGAATGCTCCAAGCGACGCTCAGGAATTACAACCCCATTTTCAAAAGTACTGTGCTGCCGAATGTCGTACTCTGGAGGCTGAGGCTGAGGCTAAGGCTAAGGCTAAGGCTAAGCCTAAGCCTAAGCCTAAGCCTGAGCCTGAGCCTAAGCCTAAGCCTAAGCCTAGGGATAAGCCTAAGCCTAATAAGCCTGTGGCCTATGTTAGGCTCTAGGTAAGTTGCCTAGGCCTATTATTAATAAGCCTCGTCCTGTGGTCAGGAGACTACAGGAGATGGAGATAGAGGCGTCTGTGTCAGGAGACGGAGATGGAGTTATGGTCAGCTTTTATCCATCTTTCACTTTATCGGCATCTTGGTACCTTTTTTTTTACCCTGTATTCTCATGGAATACAACAATGCCAAAGGGGTCAAGATGAGGGGACGGAGATGAATAGAAGTCGACCCTATTAGAGGAGGGCAAGGAGTGGAGATCATAGATAACCTCGTCTATCTAGATGGAGCGACGATAGTTAGCTTCGTCTGGAGGTGCCAAAGACGGTCGAACAGGATGGAGATGGGAGAAGGGTAGGTCGTGGGAAAGGTGGGTGAGACAACAACAACTACAATTATGGGTCGTGGGATCCGACTGGAGATCGGAGAAAGGTGAGATTGATTTACTCGCGAAAACTGAAAATATACGAGGAGTTACTGACTGAAATAAGGTACGTAGCTTTTAAAGGCTCCTCTTGCTTCCTTCAGTATCTCGGTCATTCCCGTCTGTTACTTGCTTCTTTCAGTTTATCGAATGAAAAAGAAACGCTGCAGACGTTGGATGCGAGTAAGACACAGACAGGGCTCGTCTTATGCTTATCCGCAGCAACCAATTATAGTACAAGAAGAACACTCGATGTTAGTATCAAGCATATTATTTTTTTGAACAAACTACACAATGATGTTATATATTCGTATCAAGCATACATTTTTGAACAAACTACACAATGATGTTATTCGTATTAAGCGTATTTTCACACGACACGTAGTCGTCTAGCAGCTACCTCCGACAGCGACATCAAATGTTATTCTTATCATGTTAGCACATCCAGATCGGCACCTACTGCAGCAAACGTTATTCTTATTACACACATTCATAAAGTTTTGACATGATTCATCAGCATAATATTTATATCAACCAGAATTAAGCATAAGCGAGAAGCAATTACATCAATATCAAATGGTATCCTAGTACGCACTTGTTGAAGAGCACCACATCGATGGACAATATGAACTACATCCCTAATCAACATGCATGGTACGAATTCGTTTTCCCCTTTCCTGGCGTGCCAATTTTCACTTCGATTTCCTGAAATATATGGCACTAGACGCACAAAAAAATATTGGCAGAGCCAGAGCAGCAAGATCAACATTTACAAAACAATACCAAGAACATTTCAATATTTACGAAACAGCATTATGTTTAAGAACTTTTCAATATTTAAAAAACAACATAATTAAGAACATTTCAATATTTGTAAACCATTCTTCTGCAACATGGACGACAAAACTTATCAGAACACTGTGTTAGAACATTGTATAATTACCTCAGCAAACTCATTCATTCATTAGATCATACGTAGTACATCAAATCAATATCAAGAGCAGAGGTAGAGATGTCAAGAAGAGCAGAACGAGAAACAAATAAGACTGTGACTCTCGCCTAGAACTAGATGAATACCTAATAACCTAATAAAAGCAGCATAAAGCGCGCAGTCCTTGGAGATTTCGCAAATTGTCTTTCTTGAGTTGACGCAGTCCTTGGAGATTTCGAAGATGGTCTTTCTTGAGTTGGAGAAATTTAATTGCACTAAGTAGTCCTCCAAATATGTAATAGTTATTGGAATTCACTCTTGTACTATATTTTTATTTCAAAAATTTGTAACTATGCACCAAAGTCCTCGCCGTAAGCCGTCTATGTATGTATCTAGCTGGTTCTTGTAGTTTCTAGTTCGTGCTGTTATATTTCCTGCATTCTTGTCATCCACCTTGGAGAGAAGCGATACGATGATATTTCCATTTTGGCTCAAGGCTGCGGCTGCGAGCATAACTAACAAACAGGGAGACCCAACCGCTTTTTTCGTGAATCGCTTAATAACATATACAAAAAATAACAACTAAGTTCAAAGCAAGACGCAATGCAATCAATCAATGTTCTGCTCAAAACACAAAAAAATATTACGAGTTCACCCTAGTCCTTGTCATCCACCTTGGAGAAAAGCGATACGATGATATTTCCATGTACTAGTATATGTTGATTGATGAAATGTATATGTTGATTGATGAAATAATATGACCTTTTCTTTTTCCTTTCCCACGTCGTCTGCCACGGCATTGCTGGTTGGTGGGGGGGATCATAATGATTGAAAACTGCTTCGCGCAGCGGAAATGTACCAGGAGGAAAAGTTGACCAAGACCGTAGAGCTAGAGTGAAAAATGTACTATGAGAGTGAGTGGAAAAATGAAGCCAGCGAGTGAGATGCATTAGAGTGAGCTAACTCAACTCTAACAAAGTGGTAAGTGACTACTTTTGACGTTAATATGAGGCCGGAGGACGATGATTGAACAATACTAGGAGGAGAGCTCCTTTCATCTAAAAGCTCCTTTCATCTAAATAAAGCTCCTTTCATCTAAATAAAGCTCCTTCATCTAAAAATCATCATTTTCGTCTTAATTTTTGGCTCTTTGAGATGAGAGGCGAGGAGTGCTAGAAACAGAAGAGCTTTCCTTGTTTTTGTGCCCCCAAAGTCGAGAGCTTCAAGAAAAACCAAATAACTTCAAGCGTAGATGTGTGTCGAAATGATGAATGACGACCGCGGTTGGAGTTGTAAAAAGGACGACTCGGGTGCTCCTCGGGGCTCTACTGCGTGAGCCAATCTACAGCAGAGGACTCACGACGGCTCGAGAAGAAGCCTGAACTTTTGTTGAACTAGCCGCCGGAAGAGTCTAGTTCGAACCAACAAGTTGCCGTCTGCTGGATTGGTTTAAACTCGTTGAACGACAGAAGTCAACATGTTAAGAATTTCCCCACTTGTTCTATCAACAATCTAAAGAGTAGACACTCTTGTCCTACTAGTAGCACGATGTTATTTGACGAACACGAAGGAGCAGGGCATCAACTACGGCATTTGGATTTTATTATAGGTCCTTCGTCTTGCGTATCCATGACCACTGTTGAGACTACTCATACTGATCAGTTTGTTCCTTCTATTAGAGAAGACTTTCACCACCTTCCCGTGCCCTTATCTTTCACACATGTTTTAAAAGAAAAACTAGTTGTGCTTTCGTCTCTGTCTCACATCTCCTGCTTCTAATATGTGCGTCGGCTTCGTCTACGCAAGCGAGGCAGCAGGTAAATGCGAGCCTCGCAGCTCTTATCTTATGAGGAACATATCAGATGAAAAATGAAATATAGCTGCGTCTTCGGGGACGCACGCTAGCAATAATGATGATAATTTCCTGTACTGATTGATAGAAAGAGGAACTTTACTACTGTAGACATCAAGAACTTCTAGCTCACTCTAGAACTATCACTCCCCTTAGCACAACAACCACCCAAATGAAGCTGCAGAATGGAAATGATGTTCTTGTATCTCCTACAAAGTATAAACCTTGATGCATGATGAACGTGGTGAACCGTCATCGCAGTTCGTGGAGCATCAGTACATTTGACAACATGACGTTAAAGAACATGATGGTCACCACACAAAGGTGAGCAAAAGGGAGAGAGCCTGGGAAGAAGTATGCTCAAAATTATTCATTGCAACCACGTCAAAGGAAATTGAACAAAACAAATAAAGCAAAATAATGCTACAACCCAAACACTTCCCCTCCCCCCCCACTTGTGCAAGCTTTAAACGTACCCCTGGATTGGGTTTACCGCCGCTACTACTACTACTACTACTACTACTACTACTACTACTACTACTACTACTACTACTACTACTACTACTACTACTACTACTACTACTACTACTACTACTACTACTACTACTACTACTACTACTACTACTACTACTACTACTACTACTACTACTACTACTACTATTATCCACCATGACCTTGACCGTGAGACATGACTCCTACCCACCTCTAATGAGACAAGCCACAGCCGGAGCAGGAGGGGGCGTGTGGAGCATGGCTATGCTTTTTCCTCTGGATACTCTGAAAACGTTAATACAAGCTTAAGACCCGAGAGTGATAGATTGGCTTCATTATACTGCAATTTTTTGTCTCTCCTCTCTGTTGACGTCGAGTGACTCTTCTAATACCCGGGAAAGACTCGCAGTCCGAAAACACTCGAGGTTTTCTTTTGAGGATTCTTTGTCAAAGTCTGGATGAGAATTAGAATTTAGTAAAGTTTTTCAGACTCTTGTAGTTGTACTGAGCAGGACGTAGAAGGCGTAGTCAAAACCGGGCAACCGATCCTCTTCATCTCCACTAGCGCCAATTCAGTCGTCACCTCTCAATCCTCAATAGCATCGTTAGCATTCAATCTTCACTAGAAGCATTCAATCTTCACTACCATTCAATCTTCACTACCATTCAACCTCTAGTACTTCGTTTTCATCCCTGCTCACAACTGAGGCCTTCCAGCAAGTGCGAGAGGAGGATGGGGCGCTTTCGCTTTATCGTGGCCTCGGTGCCAAGGCGTCTGAGACTGCGCTGAAAAATTTCATTTACTTCTATTTATGGTGAGACACAGCTACAATCAATCTAAAATTTTCATCATTCTCTTTATCTCTACAATTGTGAAGCAGCGTGAGAGTCAGACTGGATGTGACGAGAGTGAGTTTTCCCTCGGACATCCTAGTTTAGACTCTTCAAACAACACTCATTGCTACTTGTGGTGGGACTTCTGAGAGTTGTGAGTATGCTGTACGTAGTGTATGTTGTATTGTAGGTAGAAGTCTAATGAATCTTTATCTTATGTCTTCTTAGTTCTACTAAGTAGTTGTACTACTGCAACATCTTATTCTCTCTAATGCATGCCTACGAAATATTGGTCAAGATTGCCAAGGCAAGGGGGATGAAGATGACCACGCTGAATAACCTCATTTTATGCGCTAGAAGACCAAAATTCTAGACATCAAAGACCAAGATTTATAGTCGTGAATGCTCACCTCCTCGAGGCGAGCCAGCTCCTATCCTATCCTATCCTATCCTATCCTATCCTATCCTATCTGCTACCTTCATGGTCTGCACCTATAACCCTCCTGGAACGTGGTCTTCACTCAAGAACAAGCACTTCTTCACTGTTTTCAGCCTTGTTTTCCTTCTACTTCGTTTTCTTCCTTTCCTTCTTCCTCTTCCTTCTTCCTGCACACTAAATTCTAAGAAAAGTTGGTTACGTCGCAGGGGTTGCAAACATGGTGTGCATCATGCCACTCGAGGTCGTATCCACCAGGCTGCAAGTAAAACCAAATTCCTTCTGGAAAGCCACGCGGGAAATCGTATTTCATACCGTTAGGCGCTGCCCTACTTTCTTATTTTGTAGCTTTTTGGTGATGCTGGTGGTCGGTCTGAATGTTATGTTACCTCAAATAGTGCATACTGTTTCCGTATCAACAACGAAAAACTGATTTCTTTTTCCTCTTGTTCTTGTATTTTTTATTCGTATTATTCCTATCGTCTCCCTGCTCAAAATGTACACGACCAGATCGACGAGGAAGGCGCAGCTGGATTATATTCTGGTTTTAAGTTTAACGTGCTTCTGTGCCTAAATCCTGCAATAGTGAATACAGTTTTCGACATTATCAAGAAGCGACTTGTCGGAGCCAAGCCTGCGGGAAGCAAGTTCCTCACGCCACTGGAGGCGTTTGCGCTAGTTATGATATAGAGATAGAATGATTGAAATAGGACTTGTTCTACTACTTCTTTTTGCATCAGCACATATTCATCTTCAACTTATCGAATGCATCTGATGAACATGATCCGATGATGAATCCTTCTAATAAATTGTAAGTACAAGAACAAAGGCGGGCACTACTTAGTTGTACCTAAAAACATCAAGTACTTGACCTGAAAGATCTCCTTTCTCAACATCCGCTTCTAACTCCAGCGCCTTCGCAAAGTGTGTCGCTACCATCCTGACGTATCCATTGGTAAGGATAAAAACCGTTTTGCAGACTGGCCTCGCCAAGGAGAACGAGGAAAACTGCAAATCAGAGTCGCTATGGACTTTCTACTTCCGAGGATTGGGACCGAGTTTGGTACTCTTTGATGTGATTTTGTTGTAGTAGTGCAGGTTCTACAATGAATCCCTAGTTGTAGCGCAAGTTGAAGTCAATTGCAGACGATCTAAGTCTAACTCTAGCTCGTCGTTGACTTGCTGAAGAGACACATGAAGAAGTGCAAAAAAAAGAAATAAATTAAAACACTCTTCTACTGAGGGAAAGGGTTCCACATTAATTCATGCATCTAGACAACACCTCGCGAACAGGTACATGAATGAATGAATGAATATGAAGCTACAGCACCAACTACATCGATCATGACAATCTTCGTCTTCACCTGTTCATCCATTCCACCAAAGATCCTCCACCACTAGGCTCCCATCGATCACTTGCTCCGCCTACTATCTTCATACTGTTCTACTTGTGATTATAATTTACACAGGTAAAAACAGCATCTCAGGCAGCTCTGATGTATATGGCAAAGGAAAGGATAGCGGTAATTACCAAACTCCTGCTCAAATCCGCCGTCCATTTTGTACGACCTGAGGGCAGACGCTCAAAGATCAAGGTATTGGGTGGAAAGCCGCTGGCGTAAAGGAAGGTTCTGGGGAGCCGTGGTTGTTGTAGAAGGTGGACAGCTCCTAATGTTCAACAACATTATGAGCGAAGAAGTGCATGCCAACATTATGATCATCATATCATTACGATACAGATGATGGCACATTCATCGATTATATCTTCATATTCAGACAACTTCATGGCGCGTTTGCCAGTGCCGCCTGTGGGCCGTCTGTGGGTCCTCTGTGGATAGCCGTCTATCCTTCTGGTAATAAAGATTGTCACTCATGCGACTGCTCTCCGTTTTCCATCTGAGACCGCAATCAACTTAGAGTTTATTCAGGGTGTGTCGTGTTGAGGTTCATTCAAAATCAAAGGGGCACGTTCATGCTTGTGCCTGCATTTCATCCTCCATGGGGACCCGACGATGAAAGTTCAAATCTAAAGACTCCACGAGGGCAACCACTTCTAGTTCTAGGGTGGCTCAACCTCGTACTTATTTTCCACGCGTTGATCTTCATAATTCAACATCTGTTTTTCATTAAGTAGAATTGGTCCCCATGATGAATCTACTTCAAAAATCTTCCTGGACCTGGTGGTCCCTTAGTTTTTTCTTCACCAATGACCCACGAATCAAAATTTTTGCAAATCTACCAACGTGAATATAGACATGTCCTCTCCTCGTCCTGTGCTTTCACTTCTTGTTTTGAAGGGACTCAAACCGATCTTCATACAACTGCTCTTCATACAACCATCCCGATCTTGATGCCGGTTGGTGGGCCTCCTTTTATGCCTTGTTCACAAGTAGTCGTGCAAATGATGATGGTGCACAGGTCGGTGTTGATCTTTACAAGAATAATCCAAATCCTATGATCATTCTCATATCTAAAAATGTCCTCTTGCTCGTCTTCTTGTTCAGGTTATTATTTCTTGTCGTTTAAATGCAATTATAACGAAACAAGAACACAAATACCCCTATTAACAAGTAGAAAATAAAGAAAGTTGCCTCTATCTTACTGCGTTTGTGTGGTTGAAAGAAAATGCCGCCTGCAGCCTCTTGTGTGGGAGCAACTGATGAAGCCGAAACAACATCTGTGAAAAGAAGAGCTTGCACTTCTTCAACGGCCCCCCCTGCAGCTATAGAACAAGAAGATCTTCTAGATCTTTCGAAAAGTAGTGACAGTTAAGGCGTACAATAGTTCATCTTAAGAAGCATCTTTGGCCCCTTTTTTAAGGGGAAAACACGCCAAAGAAGCTTTTCAAGATGGATTTATAAGTAGCCTCTAAGACAGGGACAGCACATCTTCTACCTTGACAAGACCAGCTCCTCGAGCCGCAGTTTCATCCTACCTCGACGATAAAAAGACCGATACCAAGGATACCGCTACCGATATGACGAAGATCCAACAGAAGATCGCCATGGACGAGCAGCTGCAGGAGCAGTGGCCTTTTGTCTTGGAGCGCGTGAAGGCAAGTGTTGTCGCTTTGAATTAAGGCTCAATTTGAACTTTCAATGGTCACTCAAGAGCTTGAAGTTGAACCATTTTATTCATTGGGGTCACTCACCATTTTCATTTCATCAGCGGCTCTGAGTTCTAGGCTCTTTTTGTTTTCTATCCCTTGTAAAAAGAATATCATTTCCTTTGGTCTTCCTCGGTCTATCTGATCATTGGGGTCACCATTTGCACTGGGGTCGGTCACTCAGATCGAAGAGACGACTCACCATTTAGGTTGGGAGTCAGTGAGATCGAAGAGGCGACCTCCCCTTGAGAGGGAAATACAGGGGGGAAGGGAAAAGGGAAAGGGGAGAGCTTTGAAGGGGGTCTGCTCTTCCGTTCAGAGTCAGTGACCATTGAATGCTGCGCTTTAATTAAAGGTGACGAACTTGCGTAGTTTTTCTGGAGATGCACCTTCGACGAGCCGTGCTACTGGTTTCGTCGTAGCAGAAGATTTAATTAAGGCTTAGACCCTAATGATCCATCTTCTGAAGCATCTTAGATGACCTGTCCGATCATGATAAGGGGAAAAGTAATAGGTCCTCCAACAATAGATGAATCTTCCCTTGATCATGGATTAGGGTCGTGAGCTCCTCTAATTTGATCTTGACAAACCGCCACGTGACTGGTTCCGGTCCAGTTTGCGCCACTGCTCTATTCGACCAGAACGAAGAGATCCCTGTCGAGGTGGTTTACCGCGATCCTATCCACGATTTTGGCTTCTTTCGCTTCTCCAAACAAGACCTACGCTTCACCAAGGTCGACGCCATCCCCCTTCGGCCGGATCAACTGCGACCGGGCCAAGACATTCGTGTGATTGGCAATGACAGCGGCGAAAAAACGCAGATTCTAAGCGGTATCATCGGTCGCATCGACCGCAACTGTCCGTGCTACTCGCAGACCTGGATGCAGGATGAGAACACCTTTTACGTAGGCAGTGGATCAAACACGTCTGGTGGCTCCAGTGGCTCTCCAGTGATCAACAGTGAGGGAAACGCAGTCGCTCTCAATGCCGGAGGAGCCTTGTTGTCGGCGTCCGCGTACTACTTGCCGTTGAACCGCGTACAACGCGCTTTGAATATCTTGCTGCAAGATCATGGAGGAGCAGAAAATGCTGAGATTCCAAGAGTTATGGCTCATAAATCTAGAAGTAGACAATTTTTTTCAATGTGAAGCAAGCATACTATGCTCGAGGAACCGGAAATATTTGAGACGGTAGTAAGCCTCACACAAGTACTACTACTAGGTCGTCATCTTCATGCTTAGAAAAAAGTAGCCGTGGCTTATGGCTGGTAGCATTCTCCTAGATTCGAACTAAATAGTAAATTAAGATTTCATTATCATTTATTCTTTCAAAAAACGATCACCTCTAATCGGCGCACGATCGAAGCTGCCTTCAAGTTCTCCTACTTCGACGCCGTCCGCCGTCTCGGTGTCCCTGTCGAGACTGAGACTAAGGTGATTGCTCATCAGGAAAAAATCGATTCCCCGATCACTACGGGTATGCTCACTGTGGAATCCGTGATCCCTGAAGGCGCTGCTTTTGGAAAACTAGTTCCGGGAGACGTTCTAGTTTCAATTGATGGGAAAATCGTTGCCGATTTCTTCGCTCTGGAGGCTATCTTGGACGATAACGTTGGCAAAAGGCTGGAATTTGAGCTCTACCGAGGGAGACAACTGATCCACTTGAAGATCCAAGTGCGCAATCTGAACGACTACACGCCTGACCGCTTTGTCGAAGTTGGGGGCGGCGTCTTTCACTCGGTTCCTTACAGCTACTGCAAGGTGATGAACGTGCCGTCGAACAAAGGCGTGTGGTCTGCGGCACGTGGCTTTGTGCTGGGGAACAAAATTAACTCCTACGCAGTCCTGTACAAGGTGAACGAAGAAGAGATTCTCACCCTCTCCGACTTCGTCAGGTCCGTGAAGAAGTTACAACACCATGAACGCTTCAGCGTAACCTGGCACAAGCAAGTGCAAGGCGAGACCAGAACGCAGAAAACCGCAGGCATCTTGATGGAACGCCAGTTCATTGCTGGAGACGTAGTCACTTGGGTACGTGAACCGAAAAAACACGTGAAAGAACCGGATCAATGGCGTAAGCTGACCAAAAAAGAAGAGGAAATCGAATACAACATGTTGATCTTGAAAGAAGGCGAATCGTCGAACATCGACACATCCAAAGAGAAAATCGATATCCCAGAAGGATTGTCTGACCTCAAAAATTTCTGGACTGGAGGCGCAAACATGCAACGCTTTCCAGACTGGGCTAAAAAAGTCCTGCCTCTATTTTATGTCTTCAATCTTCTTGACCATCCTCTTGCTCATTTTTTTTTGAATTAGACTTCTTCTAATCGGTAGTCTTGATCGAGTACCGCACACCAGTTGGTCCGGAGATCCTGGAGCACAATAACCGCAGCGTTTCTGTCGGTACTGGCATGGTCATTGCGCAGGATGATAAGGAAGTTATCATTGCCTGTGACCGCGAGACGGTGCCCCAGCAAATGGGCTTGGTGCAGGTCGAATTCGCGAAGATTTGCAAAGTTTTTGGCACGATCAAGTTTGTGCACCCGTTTCACAACCTAGCTCTGCTCTCTGTGGCCAGGAAACGACTGGGCGATTACCCTTTGCCAGCGTCTCTTCCGTTGGCTCGTGAACGCTTGGCGCCAGGTGAGAACTGCAATTTTGTCGGGCTCACCGACAAGGGCGAATGTGTGGTGCAAGATACGACTCTGCTCAGCTATTTTACGCCGAACTACAAATTGATCTCACCACCGGCTTGGCGCGAGCGCAACGTCATCGGATATCACTTGATGGATGACCTTGCGGGGATCATTGGTGGCATTTTAGTCAATGACGATGCAGAGCTGATCGGCCTCTACTGTCACTTTATGTGCCAGTCGGATGACTACGACCGCTGTAAGGAATGGGAATATGCCATCTTGCCGGTTCGTGATTACATTGCGCCATTGTTGAAAATGGACAACATCTTGTTGGGGACCACGAGTAGTGATCAACACTCGGATTTTTCAGACGAGTCGCCGGGTTCGGGAAACGAGCAGGAGGCGAAAGACGAAAAGACTGGTGCAGAAGTTGAAGAAAACAAGGAGAAGTCACCGAAGAGAAGGAAAGTCATGTCCTCCGACCACTCAGGAACAGGAGAATCGTCCAAAAAGCAAGAGAAGAAGCAGAGTACTTTCAGTCTGCTTACTCACATTCCATCTTTGTCTTGTGAATTTCGTGCCATCAGTCTGTCCGAGGCTCCTCATCATGGTTTGAGCGCCTCTTGGATCACGAAACTGGTGGCGAACAGTGAAGCTAACACGCAAGCGTTGCTGATTGAACGCGTCACGAGTGGCGGATGTGCGGAGGTGCACGACCTTCGCGAGGGCGACCTCTTGGTCCAGGTGAACGAGGCGGTTGTGGTCACGCCATTGGACGTCGAACATGAACTTTTCAATTGGCAGAAAAGGATGGAAAACAGAGAAAAATACCTGCTTGTCAGAGACCACGATGATGAACAGAGGGATCCGACTAAAGGACCAAATGGGAATGCATATCATGGGGCCACATCCACTCCCACGACCACTTCTCACCATACTGCTCAACATCAACAGCACAAGTGTCGCATCATCCTCGTCCGTAGTGGAGAAGTCATCACGAAGGATGTTGTCCCGGATTTGCTTGGCTGTGACACTGCAGACCAATTGTGTATGTGGAATGGATTGCTGATGATCCCCACGCCAAAAGCAGTAAGAGAAAGGGGTATCAAACCGATTGTTGCTACTGGTACTACTGGTGTCTCAAGAGAAGACGACGATGAGGCTATGAAGAAAGAGAACAAGCAGGAAAAATCAACACAAGAACAACTAAAAGTTGTAGAACAACAACTGCTGCAAGTTGCTAGTACAACGACTCCGAAGCGGACCTCCACCATGAACGAAATTTTCGTCGCCCGCCTACTTCAGGGCTCTCCTGCGACTGCACAAGAGATGGAGGCTGGGTGTTTTCTTGAAAAAATTGATGAGCATTCTGTTGCAGACATGAGTTTTGATGAATTCGTGGAGTTCCTGAAGGCTCACTACTCCACTAAAGAGGGCACTGATGAGGAAGCAAGCGGAGAAGAAGAAATAGCTATTGCGATGGAAGGAGTCGTTGGTGGTGGTGATCATGCTAGTGGTGCAAAGAAGTCGTCAAAATCGACTTCTGCTGTCAACAACAACATGAAACCTACCGTACAAGTACATGTACAACATCAAGAACCTCAAAGACAAGGCGTAGTTGCAAAAGGTGCTGTAGAAATGCACGGTGGAGGTACTGCTGGAAATGGAGGTGCTGCTCTTAGTTGTACTACATCAACATCCTACAATGCTCGCTTCACCCGCATTATGGTGAGGGATTTGGAGGGCAGAGAAAGCGCGAAGACACTGCTACGAAACGACAAGTTCTTTCCGGCGATGCGCATTAGAAAAGTGAAGGATTCTGAAGACAATAGTTACGAGCGGGAGCGGCTCTAGGTCTCATCTAGGTCTAAGTGATGGAAGGATCTAGAAAAGTAGTAGCAAGAAGCGAGCCGCCATGAAGGTACGCACTCTGAAGAACAACAAGAATATTAGTTTCAAATGAGTGGTCAGCATCAAAATCATCGAAAAGTACCACATGAGAGATTTCATCAACTACCGCAATGTAGTTCTTGCAACATTAGTTTCATCGTGAATGAACATGTTCATCATCAGTGGTCTGTCACTAGGTGATAATGGCCTACAAATTCACGCTATTGGTGTTTCGCCGCAAGCGCAACACCGTAAAGACTTCTACTTCAGTGGTTTGTTGTGTTTGTTGCCAGCCCACGTCGTGAGTAAGTAAGTATCTCCTCGCGCATGTTGAATCTGAATGTTATTAAAGGGTCCGTCTAGTAGTTGGTGAGTTTCACCTCCTCCAAAGCTACGGCTCGCTTAGGCAACGCGGAACACAGAGGCGATAGTAAGTACATTATACATAGGTGTTCTGCCAGTTCCAGTTCCACAGAGACCCTAGTAGTTAAGCTTAAGGTCGTCGTCGTTCACTTTCACGAGACCGACTCCGACTTCAGCATACATTTAGACCACGTCGACGTGTACTCCTTCCACAACCAGAATTTTGAACCGGATCATCCTGTGAACACTATTTTTACGAGAATTATGAAACCGGAGTAAACATAGAGACGGATCATGATAAGGACTGTATTGGATCACAGGAGTACGTCTTGGAGTTTGTTGCAGACAAGGAACAACTACAGCAGCATGTTGCTCACGCAGTGCGATAAGCAACAACGATTGCTACCCTGCCGATCTAAAAAAGTAATACAGCTCCAAAGAGGTGCTCAATCTCAAAGATCATTCTACGATCCACATCCAGTCGCGCATTGAAAGTGAATTTCAATTTGGAAGATGAAGATCTTCGGAAACCCTTTGCTTGTCAGATCTATTACTTCCACCTACTACTTCCACAAAGACACAACTGAAGCAGCACAGGACAATGAGATCCAATTAGTACACAGCGATAAATTATATAGACAAAAAAAATTGGAGAGAACAACATCGGACCGATCTTGCTTGACGAGTTCCTTCTCCGTTGAAGTCATCGCTTTGCTCTTCAAGTGCTACCACGACAATGCATTTTTATACGTATAGTATCAACACGACTTTGCTCTTCCGCTACTACAATGGACAAATAATGAGGCTACTTCCAAATTCCAAATTCCAGGTTGTGGTGAGCACGCTTTATTTTTTTGGTATTTTTTGAGTTCTTCTTGAAGGAGCTGCAGCAACGACCAAGCTACTTCTCTGACCGTGAAGATTTTTTTTTCGATAGTTTTATCTTGTTCTTCTTGTTTTCGTTCCCCGACGTAACTCTAAAATAAACTTCTTGCATCTTGATGATCTTAGAGAAAGTGATTGAGCATTCTTACATCAGAATCTCTTGCTCTAATTTCTTTGCAAAAGACTAGAACTTACTAAGGGACCATCAAGCACGACAAGAAGCAATAAGAAACACTCAAACCGAGTCAAAAAGGTGGCGAACTTGAAGGCGTCGCTTGCTTCCCTTCTTCATCGTTGGTTTGTTGTCTCCCTAGCTTTCTTGCCTGAACAGCTTGGTTGTTCACTTTCCACGTTGCTCACATTGCCCGAACACCCATACCTACAAAAGAAGATCTTGGACCTACCACGACCCAATTCTTCCTTTTCGACTTCCCTTGTTGCACCACGAACGACGCCGGACAACTACTCGAAGGGTGCTTTTACATCAGTGCACGAAAACCGTCTAAAGATATTAGTCTTCAACCGAACAAGTACTACGAACGTAGTGCAGACAAGAAGAAGAACGAAATTCTTTAATTACTAGTTGCAGCAGTACGTGTAGTACGTGCTCCACTTTATTTCTCTTCATCTGGAACTGGATGTGGTGATGCCGTCTCCCGCGGTTTTGCTTGCTGACGACATCACTGCGGAATTGACTAAGGGATTGAACAGGATGGCTTCAGACGGTCCTGAGGAAACTACAAAAGCTTCGCTGGAAGAAGAACTGCGAACCCTCCAGGAAAAAACTGACGAGGAGAAAGCACGACATGCCGAAATACTGCGGAAGAAGCTCTCAGCAGTAGCAGATTTGGAGGCGAAAAGCGGTGGGAGCGCAGCGGAAATGGACGGCGCAGGAAGTGGGGGAGGAGGTACTATTTTCACCATCTCAACAGTCGAGGACTTTTCGCTTTCTTCTACTTGGAAGTGAGTAGACAACATAGTTGGTTCAGGAACTCTCATGCATGTTCTGCTTCATTTGATGTATCATGGAGGTGCAGGGACGGATAGAAGTCAGGAATAGGCTATCGTGCTATCGTGACATTCATCTCTTAACCATTAAAATATCGTGTGAAAAATTTCGAATGTTCGAGGCTCTCTTTCACCAGCGTGACGAGACCCTCACCCACGCTCTTCTACGCATCCTCACGCTCACGCTCACAACTTCTACAGGTGGCACCTGCCTCTCCGTGCAAATTGCTGAGAAGAAAGAGGCAGTTTCAAAGCTTCGCGAGGAAGAGAGTGGCAACCTCGCGAGACTCCAAGGGTTGCAGGAGGCTAAGGCAAAAGAACAGGAAGACAGAGACAAGAGGATCAAGGAGCTCGAAGAGAGTGAAAAGCAACTCGCCAGCGAAGCACAACAGGCACAGAAGCAATTGAAGTCCTTACTCGAAAGAAATCACAGGGAGGAGAAGGAATTGGTAAGTAGATTATACTAGTTTATTTGTTTTTGTATGATACTACCTCTACTCTCTGTCTCTCACCGCAGGGCTGACCATGGTATTTGTCCTTCTTCGCTTTTTCACTTATTTCACTTTCAGTTGACTAGTATCTTCTATAAAGTAGGATCGTGCAGTTGATCGTGATGCTGTATGTTCTCGACCTGTAGTTTCCTCAACATGTTGTTCGAGTTCGACTTCTTACTATCGTACCATCCCTGCGACTACAGGCCGCGACAGTCACGAAGTTAGAGCAACGTTTGACAAAGCAGACGGAAGAAACTGCCAACAAGTTAAAGGTTGCTCAGTTGGAAGCAGGGGTCTTGCCGTTACAACAAAAAGTCGATAAACTTACGACGGATATCGAAGGCATCAAGGCTGAGCATGAAAAGAGTACTACCATGCATATTTTAGCAACTTTATTTGTGTTTTTACGTATAATTTATGATACTGCATGTTCATGCTGTTGATATGAATGTTGTGATTGTGCTGGACCATTCGAACGCAGACTGTTAGGCCGCGTTTAGTTTCTCGGCGAGAAACACTTGAGCCAGGTACAGACTGCACAAATGCACTCACAGCCTGAGACTAATGATCTCTGGCTGCTTTGATCCCTGTGGATATTCGTTGGGATTGCAAGGAGGAAGTCGCAGCTTCTTCATTGGGATATCATGACGCACGGGGAAAGCTTTCATATGCATCATATGGGAACGCTTATGCTATCATCATTGACTCGTACGATCATCATGCATCGGCATTCATCATTGGTCAGAACTGGCCAGACGTTATGGACCTGATTACAGTTATGAAACATTCATCATTTCTGCTATCTGATTACGTTGAAGGCCCTTTGCCTGTTGATCGTTGACCTTGGAACTATATGCATTTAGGTCTGTCGGTTATCTTTGCGATCTTTCTTGTGTTGCTTTGTCCTTGACTGTGTTGGGAGGCTTGAGCCACAAACGAGAGAGAGAGAGGAGAAGCCGAAGACACCCGCGCGACGGTAAACCCGTCGGGCGTTTGGATAGTGCTCCGGTAACCTTTTGCCTGGCGATCTTGGTCATTTCGTTGATCTTTATCCTTGTGATCTTTGTGAATCTTCTAGGGTTATGACCTTGGCCAACGGATTGAAGTGCACAGTTGCAATGGTGGGCCGATGACTTAAGCCCCATGAAAACTAATCTTTCCTCGTTCTTCTATTGAAATTACAGAGGCTGCCGTTCTTGTGGAGACAAAGGAGCTCTTGCATCGACTTCAGTTACAGCTTGAGCAGGAACAGAGCTCCATAAATGAGCTCGTGGAATCAGAGGAGGAGAAGGTATTCTATTACTTAAGGTGCAACTTTCTTGAGCTTGAGTAGGATCAGGAAAAATTTCGTACTCGAAGAATGATTTTTGAAATTCTACTAAAATTATCACAGGGAACAAGTGAGTACTTACTTGTGTGGGATGATGAGATACTCCCCGCTCATCATCTGAAACTTAATCCTCCTCCCAATACGAATACAACTACCAGATCAAGTCCTTGAAGCAAGCTGGTGACGACGCACAGAAAGAGGCTAATGATATTACCAATAAGACGAACCAAAAAATCGATGAATCCACGCAGACCAAAAACGAAATACAACAGGCTGAGTTGGTATTACTTAACTTCCCTTTTTTTGTCTAAGGTCTACCTGATTAGCTAACCTCTCTTTACGTAAGAATACTACCCCTGATACTGATTTTTACCTACCACCTCCAGTTTTTGTTTTGTCTCCTGTTGCAATACCACTACTCGTGCGACTCGTTGTTACATGATTTTGATTTCAACATATCCTCCAACTACAACTACAACTACAACAAATTTCAAACCATGATCAACAGGCGAAGAACGGCATCCATACCGAAAAGGAAGCTTTAGAGCAAAAGCGTGACAGCTTGGAGACTACCTTGAAGGAGTCTAAAGACCAAACCGTAGAGCTGAACCGAGAGAAGATCCGCATGGAGAACGAAATCAAGAAAATCGAGAATAACCTCAAGGATTCTCTGAATGAAGAAAAGCGCAGAGCGGAAACCATGCAGAAAAGGAGGGAACAGGTATAAGTTAGTAGATTACTTAGTTACTCCCATCGTCATCGTCTACAAGAATCTATGTGATGAACTTCACTACACCTTCATTTAGCAGGCCATAAAATTGCACTAGCCATTTCTTATCCTTTGGTCTCCTAGTACTCACGTTTGATCCACGCATCTGATTCACCTTTTCGAAATCCTTCCTCAACCAAAATGAATCAGTTGGAAGCCGAGTTGGAGAAGAAGAAAGAGGCTGTAAAGCGTGATGAGAGCATGTTTCAATCGCAGATGGAACAGGAAGTGGCTAAAGCACGCAAACAGCAGCAGGAGAAATCTGTGGAGTTATGAAAAAAGAAACCTGTTGTTGCTAGTAGACGTAGACCTACTCTTCATAGTCAACTTGTTGTGTAAGTATCTCTTAATTATTATGTGATGCAAAAAAGTACCCCCATGATGCCTGCAGATAGAAACGCATAATAAAAACGACTCCTAGAAGACAAGACACGTCGTCTTTAAAAATATTTATTTCACAGAAGATAGTTTGTTTAGTTAGTGATACTTCTTCTTGTCCAATTAGGAGCATGGTCTGTCCTTGAACACCACCAGTTGAGGATCCCTAGTACCCAAATCCTCTAAGTAGTAGTTGATGTCGTAGTACCAAAATCCTCCAAGTAGTAGTAGTAGTAGTAGTACTCTCAAGATGAACAAGAACAACTAGTACACCTCCCAAAATTCTCTAATCTTTGAAAGGGAAGAAGCGCAGCGTGGATTGGACGAAATCAAGACTGATAATGAGCAGTTGAAGCTGAAGATCAAGGCGATGGAAAAAGCCTTGGCAACCGAGAAGAAGAAGCTCTCTACTGCGAAAAGGACGAGTGGGGCATGAAGATCTTGATCATGCTCATTTTTCTAATGATCATGATCATTTTTCTACGTGAAAAAGGAAGAACGTGGAAAAGATGATGGAGGAGAAGGAATAGGCGGAAAAGATGATGGAGAAACAAAGGACAAGAATTATGCTCAGCTAGTTTCCATCATTCTCGGCAACATTTAGTGTCCCCTTCTCCCTTGTAATATTCTCGTGACATCATACAAGGTATTAAAAGGGGTCAACAAGATGAGCAGGGGACGACCGAGATGCATTCTAGCACACGCTAAAAGGAGCAAACAAAGGATTCCGAGAGAAACAAAGGATTCCGAGAGTGCTCATTTTTTTGCTTTTACCAAATTTATACTCAAAAAGTAGCGGCCAGAAAAAGATTATGGCACTATAATCAATCTATTATTCATCCTGCAGCTACAGATGTCGAACACATTGATGTCATTGATTATCGACGACCTTAGCCTTCGCTTCTCCATGAACTGAGTTTTGAGATATTAGCATCAGTATCGAAGAATAAATGAAAGAAGTTTACAGCAGCAATCTTAATGTTTTGATTACTTAGCGACGTTGGAAACCACATGAATACTTACTACTTGATGTCTTTGTCCTCCTTGAGTCTAATGTTAAAAGAAGGGACGACTTCAAGACTAATTTTTTTTGTACTACACATCACAAAAGCAAATTTGATCATTTACATTCACTTCACCTAGTGGTTCTGGAAGTCATTACTCACAAAAGTACGATGTTTGTAGAAGACGTTGATGATGTTACCAATGATATTACACAAACAGGAGGTACTTCTTAACGTGCCCGTTATCGATCATATTAAGCAACATCAAACAAGATGAACTCATGAACACCCGCCTCGCCCCTCCTGTCTCTATTCGAGCTTTAGGGTGGTTCATAATCTAGTTCTATGATGTGAATCTTTTGCTGACATCCTCGACCCAATACTTCTAGAATATTATTAAGCCCATAGAATTTATACTTATTTAGTTGTTACCCTCTAGAACAACCCGGAGTGGTCCGAAGTAAATGACGGCGTAGTTACTTCCTCCGGTTTTGATCTAGGTTCCATCTTTGCCAGGCTCTTCAGTAGCCGCTGAAATCTGCCACATCGGATGGTAGATCCCAACCTAACCTAACCTTTTTTTACTAGACGTGGTGCTTGTAGTTCTCGATGTTGTCTATAAAAATGACTACTGGTTATGAGGTACCGTCATGTCCTCCCTGGTTCAAAAATCGATGTCAACATATATGAAGGTAAAAATCTTCAACATAGCTTGTTTTTAGGAGCATGGCGGCTATCTTCATCACGGTGCGGTTACGAGGATCGACGTGCAACAGTATTTTTCACTCGTCATGATCTGTACAACCTCGTCGCGACAACTTCCCACCGACAACATTCACATCTTCCAAATGATAGGCCTCCTGCTATTAATAAGTGGGAATATCTTCGGCATCTGCACCGTATTGTCGCGCAGCCGTTTGTTGCGCCACAGGTTACCTGATCTATATTCCGCATCACTGTGCGGTTACGAGGATCGTGCAATAGCGTGTACGAGGACACTAAAAAGCTCTACTTTACAATGATGATGATGATGTTGTATTACTACAACAGTAAGATGATCTTCCAGAAAAAAGAATTATACTCGCGATGAAAAAATCGGAAATTCAACACGATAAGATCACTTTCGCGGCTGCTCTAGGATCAAATAACAAAAGCCGTGGCAGATTGCTCCGCGGCTTGCATCATTTACTTTGCGAGAAAATGAAAATCAGCATTGCTACCTCTAAGAATTCCATCACTGACTTCATCACAGGTTATGGTCATTCGCTGTTTTTCTTTCACTAATTGAATGCCAATCTTGAACTGCTATGTGCTTGATCTTCTCATCTTGATCGAGACTGGTTGCTGCTCGTTTACTACTTGGTTCCCTTTAATAAACGTCTACCATTTAGGTTTTCTTCATCATATTTGTTAGTTCCATCAAGTTTTAGAACGAGAACCGTATTTGACCCAATACGCATCAGTTTAGCACAGTCTTTCTTGCTCCTTTTACTCCTTCATTGTTTTCATGGTTCTATTTTTGACTTCAACTTCAACGTTGTTCTTCTTTTTTCTTGATTGCTGTAGAATCTAGAATTTAATAGTCGTAGTCCTAGTCCTAGTCACGTGTTTACTACAAAAAAACAAATCTACAACCATCCACCAAAAGATAATTCTTTTCTGTCTTTTTCTTGACTAGAATAGATACTAGCTAGTACAAGAACAAGATGGCAGCTGTGGTCCAGAACGGTACTGTAGAGCATGCGAATGGCAATGGGGCCATTTCCGCTGACTTGGATGCCATTCGTCAGAAGCTCGATGCCCTGCGACAGGCGCAGGCTGACGAAGCGGAAGCTTTTCTTAAGGTATGTTGATCTATGCTTTTTTTACTGGATTATTCCTAGGCCTTTGACTAGTAAACAGTACCAACATAGATGAATGTATATTAGAATTAGACTGTCGTCGTTGCATGAGAACTTGTGCTAACAACAATACTAGCTAGAGCTATGATATCAGTTTGTTAACTCCATTCCAGTACCACCTCTTCCAGTACCACCTCTTCCAGTACCACCTCTTCCAGTGCCACCTCTTCCAGTACCACCTCTTCCAGTACCACCTCGTCCCCCACCTCAAAACCAACAGGAAAGCGATTCCTTAGACGAGAAATGCCAGCAATTACAGTTTGAGCAAGAGGCAGCAGGTCGCGATCAGGAGCGTTTGCGCCAAGAGCTCGAGAAGGTTCAAGAGGAGTTAAAAACCGCTGAAAGAGCAGCGTCTGTCACGCGACGCTTGTTGGAGAACGAAGCGAAAACGTCTGCCAGCGAGCGAGAGGAAAAAATGATCGCCAGGTACAACTTCTAAAACTAAAAACATGATTTCCCTTCGATCATTTTTGAAGTTCTCTCCTTCATCATCCATAATTGAAGTTTCTCAGTCGTGAATACTCATTATAGATACTCAGTCATCACAATGTCATAACTGACGACTGAGTATCTTCTATAGTGAGCACTTGCTTCACACTGACAGGCTTCCAATAGTACGAACTTCGGACTGCTTCGTCTACCTCGTGGACTGTGTTTCTCACTGGTTCTCTATATAATGAGCTGATCAGGAAGATAAATCTACTCGAAAACTGAAAATAACCGAGTTACTGACTGAAATAAGGGAGGTAGCTTTGACAGGGCTACCCTTCCTTGTTCAGTATCTCGCTTATTTTAAGTAGTTACTCGCTTATTTCAGTTTTTCGAGTACTCAAATGTCGTGCGAAGAATCAATGGATCCATCCTGGTCTTCCCTTCCCCCACTAGAAATTTCCCCTTTTCTCGTCTACTTGAAAAATTGAAAGATTTATGTTGAAGATTCAAATGTAGCTCAATCAGAATCATCTCCTTGTCTCAACTTGTTTACCTCTACTAGGTTGGAAAGCGAGCGCCAGAAGGGCGAGGAAGAAAGAAAACTCGCCGAAAATAAGGTGGAAGAAGAGCGCACGCGCTTTGAAGCGGCTAAGGAGGAATTGGCGTCACAAATCGAGGCTTTGGAGACTCAGATGAAAGAAGAGGCAGAACAAGCTGATGCAAAGCTCAAGGACTTCCAAGCCGCATCGCGTACGGAGAAAGAGAATCTCCAAAAGAAATTGAACGAGCTTAGGGATGAAGATAGCTTGGTATTTGGAATTTTTATTTTTAGTTTGTTTGTGTCGTAGTCGTAGTCCTCCTCGCATGGTGTTCTTGATCTGATGAACAAACTCTTTCATTTATTAGAAGGTACTCACAACTGAAACCCTCTAGCAACAACTCATCTCATACAACGCACTTGTTCGACAAACACTCATCAAATGAAACCCATTCTCATGATGATCTTGAAACATCTAGATCCGTGCGAATTTCTTGGAAGTCTCTGACGCCCTAAAGACCAGCGAGAGTGGTGTCACTTCCTTGCAAGCTGACGTGGAAGGTAAGAAGGAGGAACTAGGAATGACCGAGTCCGAGTACGTGCGAAAGGTAGGACGTGCCAAGGAGGACTCCACGTTTTTACTCACGGAGCTTGCAAGGGTCAAGTTAGAATCCGATCGCAAGAAGGCTCAATTAGAAGGCTTGCATCTCGAAAAGATCCTCGACGATTTGAATAGGGTACGAATGCTCCTGATTTTTCTGATGATGAAGGTTGTTAATATTCACAGACTCCAACATTGTGCATTTTGCGGTCCTTAGGGTAGTTATTCACAGACAACAAGTACTCAACCTCAACTTCATCTAGACAAACAACTCTCATCTTCGCCTAGACTAGAGGATTCATCACCTTGATGATCGATCCTACAACAGACTCGCGAAGCCGGGGAGCAGGAGGTACGTAAACTGAAACTCCTCGTTGAGACTTTAGAGCGGGACGTTACCGAGGCAGCTTTGGTGAAAGAAAAGGCAACTGAGGACCATGCCGCAATGTCCAAGGTGTACAGCAGCAAGAAGGAGGAGATCTTGGCAGAGACGGAAGGTTGCCGCGAAGCTCGTTTAGCAGATGAAAAAAGGGTTGCAGAATTGAAGAAGGAACTCCAAGAGCTCAGTGATAAGTCGTGGGGGATGCACACAAAATATGCGGAAAAAATGGAGGAAATGCTCAAAGGAGGAGTCAGTTCATCTTATGACTGCTCGAACAAGACTCAAAAACATTGTTTGAATTAGAGACACCTTGATCTAATAAAAACGGACCTCACTGACTACATTTTTTTTACTTTCACTTTCATACTACGTGGTTCACTTTCACCATTTCAACACTGCTCCTTATTGTAGATCGATTAAATAGATGTTGATGTAGATCCATTCGACCCGTTGAGCCTACTTTCTGACTGACCTCTCTAATGGATCCAAGTTACTGGTGATGAACAGGGAGCAACTTCGTCCGGAGGAAAAAAGAAGAAAAAAGCGGCCGCAGCTTCTAACGCACCACAGATAGCTTTGTCAGAGGAACAGGTAGCTTTTACTTAGTTTTATTTCGTTTCTTCACATCTGCTGCATCTCGATCTCGTTGACAACTTCTTGCAGAAAACTTCCTTTAGGGTTTAGGGTTACCTGTTGATTTCTCATCAATCAAAACACAAACAGAAAAAGCTTGCCCATTTGGAGAATGAACGAACTAAGGAGAAGGAACAGTCAGAGCAGCTAACTGCCAGACTAAATGTCCTCGACAAAGAACTAAGAGCCGAAAAGAAGAAGCGTGAAAAAGCAGAAAAGCTGAGTCACCAAGGAGGTGGCGCTAACAAGAATAAGGGCAAGACTCAGAAGGACCAGCAGGCAGCACGATATGCAGAGGAAAACCTCAAAATCGAATCATCGTCAGGAGGATTCTATCGCTACGCGAAAAGCCTGTGCCCAAAATGGATTAAAAAGTACTTCAACTTCAACACGTCAGCGATCTTGATAGTGAGTTTCTCTTTGATTCCGTCACCATTGCCTGCTTAAACGATAGCCTTCCTAAACATCAAGTATCAAACAACGTCTTAATTTCAGCACTCCTCCTTGGTAGTTGGATCTTGTTTTTCCTACGCTCTCTACTCCTATAATCCCTCCCCCAATACTCTCTCTCACCAGGAGCCAAAGTCAAACTGCGACATTAGTCGTGATATGCAGTTCCGTTTTAGCGGTTTTGGCTTTCTGCGATCGCGATGGCTTTCAACGGCGGTTAAGGTGAGCGAGCCCTTGTTCTCGATATCTGGAGGAGCACATTTGAAGAAGATATGATCATTCATTCCTTCACTCAGTCACGCTACCCTCCTACGACAAGTTGGAAGGCAACCGATTTTCCTGCTAAATGGGATGCGAAGAACAACTACATTTAATAAATTTACAACATGTTGATGTAGTACGACAACTTCTTCTGGTTGGAGAGGAGATGGACTTCTTTCTGTCATCTATTTTCTACACCGACAACGAGGACTATTATGTTGGCGACCCCTCCTGCCTCTACTACTTGATGTCATACCTGGTAAAACTATTGTATCTAGTATCTAGTATCTTTCTAAGACTTAGCATCTTGTTGTATTACAACTTAAATGATTCTCGTTATCCTCGTTAAAGAAATTATCTTCACAAAAATATCTTCACAACATCTTCACATCAACTGTACATCAAATATTAAGCACATTATAACATCACCGATCTACGACTAATGTTTATGTTACAACCGTTTACCCTTTTTTTTTCCACTTCTGCCAACAGAAGATGATGAGCTCTTCCTGATAAATGCTTGAGTCATACAGTTTTTCCACCAATATGTTATATGTACAACATCTAATATCTAAAAATAGAGGAAGTAAACGAACAACTTTGCTCGGAGATGTCATAATTAAAGTAGGACATTAAAAGAAGTAGAGCAACTACAACTAGATGAACACGCACTGCTGTTGTTGGTTGTTCCTCCCCCTTACTGAAGCAATGACTCAGCTGGGGGCATAGTGAGTCTTTCTACTCGTCTCCTTTTGCTAGAAGTCTCTCCATGTACTATGCTCAAAGTCTTCTTCTTCCCTGAAGACTTCCTCGACGTTTGTTCAAAATGCTTTCCACCTGCTAATACTTCCTATTTATAAGTACTATGGTAGATGACAAGTACTAGACATGTTCATGTAGGATTGGAAGATATCTAGATCTACGATAATGATCATGATTTCTTACCAGAGCAGCTCTAGACTCATGTGCCTGTGTACATAGCGGTAGCATGATGATGTATCTTGTAACAAGGGTAAGCGAAAGCGATCATAAAAACCCTCTCTATCCTTTCGCTGTGGAAGATGAAATAGAGTGTTGTGCGATCTGAATTTGAAACTACAACGACGAACACGTAGGTCAACTACTTCTACTTTCAACCTGTGAAGAAAGTTGCTGGAGTTGCCTTGATATTATTCAGTGTCCTCTTGGTCTCTTCACTACATTTATGGTGGGAGGAAAACTGCCTCAATTATTGTCGACAGCTTATGCGCGGCGACGTAGCAACGACGTTCGTGGATACGTGATTGTGTTTGTTCAAGAATTTGCACCCCGGTATGCACGGTTTCCTTGCTCCCCCGGTATGTAAGTTTTTAAATGGGGTTATTTAAGTAGTTGAATGGGAGGCAGCATGTAGTCCTAGTCCTATGGAAAAATAAAAAACACCTAGCAACTTGGCATGAGTGAGGCTCTTGAGCTTGAATGGCTGCTCCTGGTATCAACATGTATCATTTTTTTTTTCCATAGGACTACATGCTGCCTCCCATTCAACTACTTAAAAAAAAAGACTCACTTAAAAACTTGTGGAGTTCCAAGAAGATCTCCACAGAAGCAGCTTTCTAGTTCTTCCTAGAGTCACCAACTCAACATCAGCATGTACAAGATCATTTGATACGAGATCCACGATGCAAAACAAGATCCTCATTACTACGACTAAGCTCCTTCAGCAAGAGATAGATCTTTATTGGTTTTTCTGAAACCAACGATATCCGCAGGCGCACCTCGCGGACCACAACCTAACCTAACCTAACCTAGTGCACAGTATTATAAGGAGGTAACCGGACTCCACCTGCCGCCGGTTTGCGAACCGGATAAAGCTGAGGCCGCTCTTTCAGTAGCCCCAGGAAAAAGAAACTTTTTCCTTTTCGGAAATCTCCAAATCCAAATCCAAAGTTAAAAAGTGTATCACGGAACTTTTGTACCCTAGTAAACAAGTTGAGATACAATACTTAAAAAGTGGAGATCTGCAATCGGACTCTTGAAGATTATATTCATAAATTTGACAAATTATACAGGTTGTGTACGGACAAGGAGCGAGGTGGGACAAGGGTCTGGGGGCCCTGGAGACGCCCTATTAACCTACTAGAGGAGACAGTATCATCAGATGCATCTCGATGGTACATTAAGTAATAAGAACTTATATTTTATTTTGATTTCACTCGAATGACGAGAAACAAACAGGAAAAAATGAAGGTGCTCGCAAATAAGTCGGAGAACAACAAAAGCGCGCGCCATGGTGCCAAGACCGTGGTGAAAAAAGTAATAAAGGATGGGACCGGGTGCTGCCAAACAAAATTCTCTTTTCGTACAACGCTTTCAAACAGAAAGAGGAAAATTACCAGCACCAGTACCACGTCGACGACAAGTACAACAAGTACAAGCAGCACCACGTCGACTAGTACCTATACGACCAGCACTACTTCTCCTTCTCCAAGAACACCCTCTAACACGACCACTCAACATCTCCCAAATAGATTTGTCCTTCGTCCAGCTTTGATGGAGGATTTTGAGGGTATCAAGAGATTGGAGCGCAGAGTGTTTAAGCATCCTTGCGCCGACTGGGAGATTAAGTATTACCTGAACCTTACACCACGTCAAGCAGAGAATTGGGTGATTGAGGACACTTCTGGTACAACTTCTGGTTCTGAATCCTTATCAACCGTTTCGTCCTCAACATCCTCATCTTCTGGAGTGGTTGCTTTTCTGTTTGCAGAGCGCAAGGTTACACGAGTGACAAAGCACGGAAGAGCGGCTACTTTTGGACATTCTAGAATGATGCCAAAAGCAACTTCCAAGAGTCTCAGAATGCTGCCAAGCCTTTTGCGCCAACTCGGTATTGCCTGTGTCCATAAACGTGGGATCAAGGGAGCTTCTACAAAAGTGGCGCGTAAGGAAAAGGATTCTTCTGCTAAAATAAATGGAAAAATTGTAATTGCCTCGAACAAATGCAAGGCTTCTCAAGCTCAACATGACGAAGAAGACCGCGGCCTAAGCCACATCTATTGGAGCGTACAGGATTTTGCGGTAGCTCCGGAATATCAAGGTGGCCAATGTGGCTTTTCTCTTGGCAAGATTCTGCTTCAGCATTTGCTAAGACGCGTCAGAATTCGTCCTTTAGTGTCTCCAGAAACAGAGAATCAACACTTCGACTTTGCCGACTTGGGTACAACAACCCGCAGGAGCGGGACTGGAGACAAGAAGGGACCACGTCGTGAGGTACGCCTTGAGACCTGTGAGAAGTGGACTCATGTCCGACGCTTTTATGAGACCTTTGGCTTCAAGGAGTCTGGCAAATGGAATGCCTACTACGGAAAAGCAGCGGCTATAAGATATAAATTGTGGCTTTGAAGAACAAGCTGGTGCCGGAGACGGTCATCACCATCAGACGCATGATTTTCTACAATCGCAAAGGGGGCGGCGGCGGGGATGAGAAGATTGAGAATCTTTTTTCCAGATGGATGGATGCTGCGGCATTCAAGTAACCATCGACTATCAGAAATTTGAACAACTACATGACATTTACAACTTCTACGCTTAGAAGTACGGAAACAAATCAGTTCCGTTTCATCTAATCACGCTATTGAAATTCACACACAATAATGATTGAATACAATTTAATGATTTTCGATTTTCTATCCTCCAACTGCCTAGCACCGCGACAGCGACTGCACGACTTACGATCTATCCCCCTCAACGTTATTCCTTTATTTTCGCGCAAACGACATTGAATTACCTTGACCACGCCGTATTTGTACTCGCTTATTCGAAATCGATCCATCCAGCACCAAAAGGATAAAAGATGTATTGCATTGGCTCGCCGCTCGCACATTATGATCTATGATGAAAAGAACGTCATGCTTGTTGAACAGATCTTTTTATTCTCTCGCCCTCGTGAATTCTGATACAACAGCACTTTAGAGGGCACGAAGATGCGACGACATGCTCTCTGTGTTCGCGTTTCTGATCGTTAGTCCACCCTAGTAAGAAGCAGGTTCCAACAATTGAAGCAAAAATCGAAAATAGATCATTCAGGATCCTGTCGATCAACACGTCGATCTTCCGAGCCTCAATGATCATGCAGGACCGACAGGTTGATCAACACTGATGGAAAAAGTAGTACGTCCGATCTACTTCACATTGCCCACTCAGTGGAGTCAACTCAGTGTTTAAAAGGGAGGCAGCGTATGATGGTCCTAACGCAAAAATAAAAAACGCAGATTTTGAAGCGAGCACTTGACTGATTGACTAGCAATGAACAGTTCCTCCTCCAGAAAAATCAACACGCAGGTCCTTGTTATAAAAAGAGACGGAAATAATTATACGGACAAGCGTTGTAAGTAGTACAAGCTGTGCCTTAGCCTTACTTCTAATATTGGTCGTCTACTACTTTCCGACGACAGTAGATGTTGTAGATCATCTGGTTGGTCGTGGTTAGGTTACCGCTCTGGACGGACCTCGCATGTTGTTCTCTCACTACTTGATTTGTCTAAGCTCATTATAAGCAGAACTTATAGAAATACGAAAAAGATGGAGAACCGACCAATACGGCACGCAGATAACCCGGTGGTTTTTTTCGATATTGGCGTTGGTGGCCACGCTATCGGAAGGATAAAGTTGGAGCTCTTCAGGGATGTGGCGCCGAAAACAGTGGAAAATTTCCGACAGCTTTGTACTGGAGAGTTCAAGCTCAGCAAAGTGCCAATAGGATACAAAAACTGCGTTTTCCACAGAGTCATCAAGGACTTTATGGTACTTGCTTGTGAAGATTCTTGCAATATGTATCTCCTGGTGTGTGGGAGGGCGGTAAGTACTCTCGTCGACCACGACTAGCATGCACTGCGGCAGACGAGGGTCGTCTACTAGTACAACAAAAACTCTAGCACCTGCACAGTGTCACAAAAAAAAAGCCAATGAAATCCTCCTGTCAGCTCCAACCAAAATCCTTACTCCTTATCCTCGTCCAAACTACAATCATGATCGACAGATACAAGGCGGCGACTTCGTAAAAGGCGACGGACAAGGATCACTCTCAATATTCGGAGAGAAGTTTCCAGACGAAAACTTTACCCTGAAGCATGACCAAGCTGGACTCCTCTGTATGGCAAACAATGGACCGAATAGTATTGCATTTTTTGATACGGGTAGGTAAAAAATAGTGGACCTGGACGATAATTACGATGGTTATGGAACAAGCACTCTTTTTGTTCTTGCTTGACTAGTACTTCTACTTCGTTAAAACTACAATAAATACCATCTTAATGTTAATTACATACACCATCTTCCAGTTCCATCTTCACTTTTCATCATACTCCATCTTCTTCCAGTTCCATCACCTTTCCTGAAACAAAGCACAGTCTTCCATCTTTACTTCTCATGAAACACCACAGGTAACGGTTGTCAGTTCTATATCACTTGCAATAAGGCAGATTGGCTAGACGGCAAGCATGTAGTATTCGGCAAGGTACTCGATCAAGCGTCAATGCATGTCGTTCGGAAAATAGAAAACGTCGCAGTTGGTGGAGGACACACACCTCGGCTTAACGTAGTCATCACTGAATGCGGAGAACTTTAATCTACTTATAACGTTTGAAGATGAACAGATCTTCCAAAAATGTAGAAGTAGTAGTTGATGATGAAAAACATGATCATGAAATCAACTACTTGAACAATCACATTATATCCTTCTCCTTATGTTTCCCTTTCAACATACGCATTCACCCTCTTCGTGGGGACTCACGCGGACGATGATGTTAAGCCATGATCAACTTACCCCTGTTTCACATTCATCAAGACATGGATGAAAAATGTCCAAAACAAAACGAAATGACCGTACTGCTAGGTACTGGTCTACGAGCAAGCCCCTACCCTTCTTGTGGCGATCTCATGCGGATGCCAACCGTGGCAAAGTTTTTGTGGTTAGTTCATAGAGAGATGAACAAGTGCTGCACGAGAAGTAGAGCTACTTTGGTGGTGCCCCACGAAGATGAGAGAAAGTAAATGCGAAAAACGCCCTCAACCTTATTCTGTTCTTGAAGAGAGAAGAAAAATAAGCGGCGTCTGAAAAAAGTGTTTAGTACTTACCTCCACTAGCATGACTACATCAAAACCTTTTATACCAGCACCACATCATGCAACAAGCGGCCGGATTACGATTACAGGAGCAACACGCAGCATTAAATCGCCAACAAGTACAACAAGTCGTAGAGCCGCTGCAGCTGCAGGAGCAACAGCAAGAACTACTACTACATCCCCAGGCGGCGGCCTTCGTACAGCAACAGCAACATCATCAAGCGGCCCTGTTGCAAGAGCAACTACAGCAGCGAATACAGCTACAACAGCAGGAGGAACAAGCAGTTCTAGCGCAACAGCAGCAGCATCGGCATCAGCGCGCAGTATTACACTTGCATCAACAGCATCAGCAAGCCGCATTATTGCAGCAAGCAGCGCTGCCACACCAAGGTCAGGCCTGTTTGCAGCAGCAACAACCCCATGCATTAAGGTTTTGTTTTCTTCACACATAGTACTACAACTTGGCCAGGAACTTAATCTAAGACTCTGGTCTAATACACTTCCTTGCTCGTGATCACTAGTACATCATTGCTTTACAACATCACGTACACGACGACGACCAGAGTAAACATCCACCAACACTGATTTCGATCTCAATCCGCGTCCATTTTAATCCCCTATTTTCATTCTGTGCAACGGTGCAGCAAGCGACAGTACAGCAGGCAGCAGAGCAGCAGGCAAGAACAGTCCTCCAACAGGCAGCAGTCCTCCAACAGGCAACAGTCCTCCAACAGGCAGCAGAGCAGCAGTTGCAGTTGGAGCAAGGTTCGCTTTTCATGTGTCAGGGACACATGACTCTCGCAGAACAATGCTTTTTATGATCATGATGTAATTGGAAGGAATGTTTATTGTTGTGCAGGAGTGATCATTTCTTAAGAACAAACACAAAGCAGTTGTCTCCAATCCTCGGCTTTCATATTCTTTGCAGTTGGCGCATACGTCTGCTGAGGCGTGCAACAATCTCGGCGTCCTTTACCATCGCGAGCTTTGTGACGTGAAACTGGCCTTGCAGTACTATGAACGGGGGATGGCTTTAGAAAAGATGAACAAGTATTAAACGAGTAGTCCTTCAAGAACATGACATCACATGTCGATGTCAACATGCTTCTGCTTACTGTACGCCACAAATACACGAATATGTCAAGTAGCAAAACTATAACAACTTGAAGTGAACGTTAGCGTTACGTTTCAGTGTGAAAATTTTTCTTGTGGGGCTTTAATGATGTTCATGTTGTCAATCGGATTCGATCGAATCCGATTCCAAAAAGCTTCATCCAGCATGCTGAGTCCTCTCGTTTTGGTCGTACTCGTAGTCCGTCTCTTCATCATGGACATGAAAGCGAAAGAAGAAGTAAAAGACCTAGACCTGTACTAAGGTGAGTACATAGTCATAGAAGATCGGTCTCTTTAGTTTTTCTGTTGTGTCGGTTACACCTGGCGTGATGATATGGCGTATCTTCTACACTCGGTGAAAGTGTCAAATTGAAGTAGATCGGTTCTAGTACACCATGATGTTGACACCATGTGTAAATAGAACACTCTTGCTCTTCCGGCGCCACCTCCACCTATCCCTGCGCTCCGCAACTACACTGTCCGTGAGGAGCTCGTCCCCAAATACTTCCATGATGATAAGAATATCCTACAACTAGTAGTTGTTCTCTGTGGTGCTAACTCTACTTCATGAAGATTCTATTAAAACACGACATTTTTCAACAGAAGAAACACTTTTTTCACAGCAACATAAAGAAAGTAGAAGGTAGGCACCGTTCCTACCACGGCATCAATTACTCTATTGGACATCGTCCCTTAGTGTCATTTCCCGGTCGTGGTACTTCTACAGGTCACCCACCTGTGGAAAGCGAATCAACTCCTATCCTATCCCATAAAAAAACGTCAACATTCTCGAGATGAAAGCAACTAGATGGACTACATCAGATTTTTAGATCACTCGATAATTAGACAGGAGCTAGAAGCTAAAAAGAGGTACAGCTTTTCTTCATTCTGCGTATAGAAGTATCGCAAATATGTTGAACGACAAATCTTCGGTTCATCTTTTCGAGGAGAACACTAATCGATAGAAAAACTGGACTATCGGTATCTGCATCCGTCGGAAAATCGGAAAAAACGTTTACCGAAACACGCCGCACCTCTCTCCCTTCGTCGTGACAAGAAAAGATGAGTCGTCCTTCTCCCCTCAAAGGCAAAGCGTTTCGACTTGTAGATGTCTACTTATTCTACTAAGTCGTGAAAAATCGAAGTTGTAGGTATAGCACGCTAGTATAACAGGTCGCAATCGTGTACAACGGGTAGGTGAACGAGCTCATATGTGGAGATGGAAAAGGGAAGTACTAGAGTGTACTTAGTTGTAATGAATCCCTTTTTTATTCATCTTTTTTTAAAAAGATAAGAGATCGATAAAAAGATTGTTCTTCTATCTTGGCAGGAAAAATACAGAACCAAACAAAATGGGTCGTTCGTCGAAGGCCGATCTTGCGGCAAAAGGCTCTGAAGAGGGAGGAGCGACCGCAAGTGGAGCAGCGAAGAATGATAAAGTTATGAGTTGCACTTGTACTGCTGATGCATTAGTGAGGTTCGTAAGCTAAGGACGGAGAGAAGTTATAAAACGCAATAAATATTGATTCTACTTACCAAGGAAAAGGATTACTACGACTGCGTCAGGAAGGTCCCGCGTGAACATAATAATGATAATGCTCTAGTACAACGTCTAATCAGGAAAGTGCGGGCGCAGCACCCAAGATGAAAGGGCGTAAGAGACGAAGAGGAGCCAGGGTTCGACAGAAAATTAATATCTGTTGGTTCCGAAGAAATCTGCGTGTCTATCACGACAATCCGGCTCTGATCAAGGCAATGTCGGGCGATCTGCCTTTGCTGTGCATGTACTGCTTGACGCCCTACATGCTACCTTCGAGGCACCGAAAGCGAAAACGACAATTTTATCAAGGCATTACGGCTAGCGCCGCGGCTAGAAGTATAAACACTTTTACAGTACTACTTCCACGTGATGACCACAGCCACTGCCACACGGAAGTAGAAGCTTAGGTATATCGTGTTCTATATCTATGAGGTGAAACACGATAATATCTAACCAACCTTCTCACCAATGTTCGTCCAGCTAGTAGTAGTACTTTGATTCGAGGAGCATGACCATGAGGATACTTCTACATAGTACATGTACAAGAACAAGCTAGCTGTTGTATACAGAAATACTAAACACCAGCAAGCGGAGGCTGTACTAATTATAGTCAATACTCTTACATCAAGGGGAACCGCTTTTAATTATCAAATCTCATACTAAATAACAGCGAGCGTCTGCGTCTTGTTTTTTTTTCTAATCTGACTGGGGTAGTCGCGGAGCACGAAAGGAATGCCTGTGGAGTGCAGTATTTCAACTTCCTACTGCAGAGCTTGCGAGAAGTGCAGACAAGTCTGCAGAGGATGGGTCAAGATCTCTACGTATTTGAGGGGCATAGAGAAAGTGACATTTTTCGCTTCCTCTTCGACGAATTCGAAGTGCATTATGGCAAGAATTTTTTGGCTGTAAGTAGAAATTTTGAGCCTTGAAACGAAACTTGCCCCTGTGGGGGGCTGGATAAAGCTGAGGCCGCTCTTTCAGTAGCCCCAGGATACAAAAAAAAAAAGAAACTTTTTCTGAAATCTCCAAATCCAAATCCAAATCGTGCTTAGTTGTCTAAGAGAAGAACCGAACCGCAGCTAATCTGATTTTTATGCGAATGATTAGCATGATTAGCCTATCACTTCTCCGTCTACTTGTTGAGCACTTCTTAATAAGGCTGCATGTCCCCGTCTAAGACCCAAACGTGTTTATGGAGCAAGATTTAGAGCCTTACGGTTTGAACCGGGATGATGTGGTCACGAATATGGCAGCCAGCGGTGGCACCAATGTTATCTCCTATGCCTCCAACATGCTGTGGGATGTCCGCGATGTGCTTCTAGTAGAGAGGGTAGGAGTAGAGGAGGACGAAGATGACCTGAAAAAGGCAACGCTCCCGTCTGGCGAAGCAATCTACACAACGACAGGAGGAGCATCGTCCTCCTCTAGTGGAGGAGCACTCGGAGGTTTTAACTTTTTATGAAGGACTAATTGGAGATCGACATTGTACTAGAATCAACAGGAACAGGGTAGGTTAAAGGTGCTTTTGTTACCGTTTGTTATGGCTCTCCTAAGGGGGACAGTGATAGAATAAACGGGATTTAAACGGACACCAAAAACCTACCTCTAATAGAAGTCAGAAGTATAGTATTGATGGATCTCGTCGGGTGCGGGTTCCCTCGTCACAAAGAGACAATAACTTAGAAGTTCTTCCACCGAATATTCAACCGACATTAGCCGCACCCACGAGCTTGAGTAGCGAATGCCGCATGGTTAGAAAACTTGAACACCGCACTATCATGCTAAGTACATTTTTCTCTTCATAGAAAGACGCAGACGACGGTCTGGTGACGGGTGATGTGCCAGCGCCAACAGCAACGGGGAAGGACGCACCGATCTCGATTCCGCCTTTATGGCAACGTGATGTCTCTCGTCATACACATACTACTAGATTATTTCATCTTGATGTTGACCGCGTTTACTTCTTGAGAGTAGAACTTGCACTTGAAAAGAAGAGTGACCACTCTATTAGAGCAAAGCTAAAAATCTTGATTAGAACTTCCTCTTCCACTTGAAAAGCAGACTGACTTCTCTATTAGAGCAAAGGTAACAATGTAATGTGGTCAACAAGGGTCGTGTTAATGGGATTATTAAAATCTGTTTACCTCCTGATCATTTAAATTAAAGGACGTCCAAACACCTCTTGTTAGGCACATTCATTCATTCATTCATTCATTCATTCATTCATTCATCTCCAGCACCTTCCTCTAACCTCTATGATCCTCCCAGAGAGTTTCGACAAGTGGCGAGATCTGGTAGCAGAAGCAGGGGACCCACAAAGGCCAGCCAAGTGGTTTAGTGGGAGCAAAGATCCTACCAAGTGGGCTGAGTGGGACACGTGTTTAGGCAAAAAGCCAACAAGGGTGGAAGATTAGTACTAAATTTTTTTCGTTTCTTTTTCTTGAACCATCTTGAAGTAGAATTCTTGAAGTAGAATTCTTGAACCAAGAAACGTTCAGCATCAGTGACCATTGAGTGCTGAGCTTTAATTGAAGTAGAATTCAACCATCAAATTCTTGAAGTGTGGAAGATTTTAATTGTAGTACATCATCAATGAATGAACCATCTTGAAGTAGAATTCTTGAAGTAGAATGAAAGTGATACAATTACAAGGTGTCGAAGAGTGGAGCTGCAAGTGGAAGATTTTAATTGTAGTACTACCTCTCGTGGTTTTGCCCTGCTCATCAACTCTCCTCCACCACCCCCAGTCACCGCGCCGAGTTTGCCTTTGCCCAGAAAACCGTGCCAGCAGTTCCTGCAGATCTTGATACAGAACCTTTCGCGTCCATGGCGTCCAACAAAGTCCCTACTCTCAAAGATTTAACACTGTCAAAGCAAGATGAAGTTCCTGCTTCGGATGTCAAATATTATGAAGATGCGGTGTAATGTTACTGACGAGTATACATATTTATCCAACTACAAAAATTACAAGTAGTAGAAGATGACCTGTAGTTTTCAGATTGTATGGTAGTTCTGGTATTTGGTAACCTGAATTTGGTCATAAGGGAAAACAAGAAGATAACCCTTGTGATCAAATCCAGGCTACCCAATACCGGAGCCATTCACAGATGCAAGACTATTATCAGGCAGGCTACTCCTGCTAGTCTTACTACAAAAAATGAGGAGCTCGACGCTGTCTTTCTCAATTGTTCGGGTTTGTTTTAGACCTCGAACTTAGTCGGTTGCAGCACAATAAGAATAGCTAAAAACTAACGCCTATTGTTCAAGAATGTGAAAGCGGAAAAAAAAAACTGCCGCATCTCGTCAACATCAGATAACAACTATATCCATGTAGAGAAGTTTTATCGTTACCTCAAGTAGAGCATGCTGCTATTTTTATCATCTTCTAACACCCCCGCGGGGGAGAACAGGAAGCACTTCGAAGGCTTGACTTTTTGGTGAAGAAAGGCAAGACAAAAATCCTCGACTACGATTCGGAAACAATGAATCCGATGATGATGTACTAACTTGTTACAATAACACATTTACAACATCACGAACTGTGAACATTTTGTTTGGGTCTACTTACTCTGCCTGGTTCGTTGTATACGAAATTTGTTACCAGTACCTCGCTTGCAGTGTCTTTAGTGGGTCCTAGGAAGTCGAGTCAGCAGCTTCTGCCTCTATCGCAATCGTTATCGTGTACACAGACATCATTGATATTAATTAGCACTTCTTCTTGTAGTCAAAATTAAAAATCTACTCCATCTTCTACCCCTTCATAATCAACTACAGAGACCGAGAGTTTAATTTTTGGCCTACGACGCTTGGTGTATCAGCATACATAGCGCATGGGTGTCTCTCTGTGCGCACTCTGTATTCGGAGGTGAAGAAGCTGTTCGATGCTAGCGACAAAGATTTTGATTATGACGCGGATATTTGTTGAGGATGAGTTTTTGTAGTTGACTACATGTTGTTGATTTCAATACTTCTACAGCTTGTGTTGTGGTACTAGTGGTCTACTTGTGGTAGTACGTTAACTACAGAAGCCGAAGAACGCTATCAATCACCTCCTGCTCTAATCCCCGAAATCTGAGGTCATCAAAAACCTCATGTGGCGCGACTATTTCTATACGTGCGGTTTCACTGTGGAAAATTTTGGGCAATTGCATAAGAACCAAGTCGTCCGACAGATACCATGGGAAAATGACGCCGACTACATGCGCCGATTTGAGATGGGACGAACTGGATATCCATTTCTAGACTTATGAATCCCCTCGAGAAGGCAGGTAAAACTGTGGACGGCGGACCTAATCCTAGTCCTATCTACTAGATGACCACATCGTCACCAGAGCTCCTGCAGCTATTCTGGCACTATACTACTTATTTGGTTTTGTATTAAATGTTTCTAGATAGTTGTCCCCGTATTAAGCGAAACTTCTATAGTAGGCTGTCATCATGTATTGAGCTTTGAAGGTTCTTGTTCTTCCTCTAAGAGGAGCGATCATGAATCAACTACGTGCAGAAGGATGGGTGCCAGGCGTTTTGCGTCAAATCGCGTGCTGCTTCTTCACGCGAGGAAATTTATACCAGTCATGGGAAAAAGGAAGGGATATTTTCGCAAAATACGCTGTCGATCACGATTGGGCTTTGCAGTTATGTGATGTGCTTTTCTTTGTTCAAGTAAAAGTCAGTTGTCATGGTCTCCCCACCAACTAAAGAAGATTTGATGTCGTAATTGTAGTGATTCCTATCTCCGTCCGACGCACGAGTACTGTGTTGTACTGTAACGAAGATCCTTACTCTCACGCCCAGAAAGATGAGAGCAGGATGCTCATCCTCATCTTCTTCTTCTCTAGTTGTATGGAGGATCTTCATCGTCCTCATTCTCATGATTTTGCTGCTCGTGCTCTAAGACCAACAGGAGGATGGATGATGTCATCGTGCGCAGCCTTCGATGACAAGTTTGGCAACGTCTATGACCCTGCAGAAATAGGAAAAACGTTCGATAAGATGGGCAGATACGTCACGTATTTACAATGATTTCGATTTCGACGCTCATCTCAAGAAATCACGCTGTCCCCTGCTAAGGTCAGCTTCGTTGCTAATGCAAGACTTGACGTTTCTCGTTTGCACAGCCAAGGCTTTCATCCGAAATTGAACCAACGCTTGCCAGAAAATGAATTTGAAAAAGATGAGATATAATCGAAAATTTTTGGATTCAACAAGAAACTTTTTGAATTAGAAATTTTCAAAGACGCGCACAGCAACGCTCACCAGAAAATGAATTTGAAAAAGATGAGATATAATCGAAAATTTTTGGATTCAAGAAGAAACTTTTTGAATTCGAAATTTTCAAAAACGCGCACAGCAACGCTCGCCAGAAAATGAATTTGAAAAAGATGGGATATAATCGAAAATTTTTGGATTCAAGAAGAAACTTTTTGAATTCGAAACTTTCAAAAACGCGCACAGCAACGCTCGCCACAAAATGAATTTGAAAAAGATGAGATATAATCGAAAATTTTTGGATTCAAGAAGAAACTTTTTGAATTCGGAACTTTCAAAAACGCGTACAGCAACGCTCGCCAGAAAATGGATTTCAAAAAATGAGATAGAATCAAAAATTTTTGGATTCAAGAAGAAATCCTGCTGAATTCGAAACTTTCAAAGAAAAGAATAAGGTTTTAGCAACATGTCATGCTTTTTTGATATAAGATGCTTACTTTTATCAAGAAAATAGAATAAATTACTGAAGCAAGAAAGTTGTATGGTACTGTTAGTTGCAAAATGACATCTCAAAAATTATCAGGTTCTTCGTGCCGAAATTGCGGAATATGCCTGATAAATACCTCTACCAACCATGGAATGCATCGGAGGCTGTGCAGGAACAAGCAGGTTGCATTATCGGTTCCGATTACCCTTCTATCTTATGGTAACCAAGATAAAAGTTGTAGAAGTTGTCCTGCTCCTGGTCAGCTATTCCTTTTTTTATCTTAGTTCTTCTCTCTGGAAGTAGGTACTTAATCCTCCCTGCTAGTGTCCTCAATCGATAGTGGTCTCGCGGCGCACGTCGAAATTCTTTTTATTTTTTTCCGCAGTTTCATTCTTTGTGTGTGAATGTTGTGTAATGAGTCTGCTGCTGCATGCTAGTATAATGGTAATTGTTCTTGCTTCAACTTGGTAAAAATGGTATGGTTAGTGTCAAAGCTAGTGGTCTGGTATAGTTCAAGTGTTGGTCTTCATCCTTGTTCCGGATAGTCTATAGTGGTCTAAATCAGCTTCTAGTCTTCTCTTCTAATGAAAATCTGCAAGCATTCCGAGACTGCAAAGATAAACTACGATCTTACGCGCAGGGTGTTTCAACAAGGGAAGAAACCAAACTGGAGCATACGAAGGGAAGCCGCGGAGTACCTTTTTTTTCAGAGCAATAAGTATGGCAGTAAAATAAGTATGGTCGTGCGTCTTCTAGGCTGATTATTCTGACGAGGACCATAATTCTTTCTCTCGTCTTCTAATATCGAGAGGAAGTGATACTCGAGCTAATGGGTGGTGGAAAGGCAGCTGCCTCTTCTAGCGGTGCGCCGGATGCAAAGAAGCAAAAAGTCGCTGGTGCTGCCAAGACCACTGTTATGCATGGGTTTCACAGTGATTGTTCGGAGTGTAGTACAACTAGAAGATTATTTCGTCGCCCCTGTACTTACAAGTACTACATGTACAACTACTTACTCCCCTGTACAAGTAGATGTACAACTACTTACTCCCCTGTACAAGTACATGTACAACTACTTACTCCCCTGTACAAGTACATGTACAACTACTTCCTCTATGGTGAGTACTTCCTCAATATTCATTGACACCCTCTTCATGCAGCAACATCTTCTCTTCATCGTGGTGTTCCTTACATCTATGTAATCTAGTGACTCTACTAGTTAGAAGCGAGGTGATCTACAACTCATGATACAACATGGTCCTCCACTCTACTACTTTTTCTAAGCATACTTCCTCATCGTCTACTGGAGGACCCGGCAGCCCAAAGAAGCCGGTGCCAAAGGAGTTCCTAGAAAATGACTTGCTTTTTGGCGACGAACGAAATCCCAAGAAAGTCTTCGGCCGTATGCCTCCCAAGCGAAGCCCAAGGAGAGCTGCAGGCGGCAGTGGGGACGCAGCTCAAAGTGCAGCTGGTATTTCATCTTTTTAGAGAGGATTCATTTGTACCATGAGGACCAGAGTCTATGGTAGAGATACTAGAAATTGTTCTTCTCTTCCTTCTTCTAATAAATTATACAACTGTTAGAAGTACTGTCCCTCCCACTTACAATTGCAATCATGTACTTCACAGATGACATCAAAAAGAAATTTGGTGGTTCGGAAATTGACCTGCAGAAAGCCTTAGCAAAAGACGCAGCTGCTTCCACGAACAAGATGAAGAAAAAGCGCGCTAACGACGAAGAAGACGACTTGCTAGCTGATGATGATGCAAATTACGGCCCGTCGATAATTGCTTCATTTCACTCTATGCTGGAAGGACGAGGACGAGGATAGCAACTAGTTCTAGTTCTACCAGTGACAAACATTTACATTTAATACTTCTAGTACTACTAGTACTGAAGATCTACTTTCTGTTTTTGTCGAAACAAGAGGGATACTGATCATAGAATGACCTCCTTCTAACAACTCACCGGCCCAAAAACGAAGAAGGGAAAGACGACAGGAGCCACGAAAATGGGTAAAAAGCAAGTAGCTACAAGTGGGAAGGAGGCAGCAAAGAACAGTAAAAGTTCATCTACGAAGGCTGCTGCTGTTGCATCTTCAAGTACTAGTAGCACTGATAAAGCCTCCACCGGTGTTACTATTCCGTCAAGTAGTAAAGGACCACTAGCTGCTATAGGTGGTCCTGCTTTTGTCGAGGTAGATGACGGAGTGACCGACGAAGCCGATGCAGAAGCAGCAGCTTTGATAGTGAAGGCGACAGAGTTGGACAACCATCTTCTTCCGAACAAAAGTGAGCAAGATGGAGGTACATCAACTGGTGCAACGAGTAGCAAGGCCAAGGCTAGTGCAATCTTTCCGTCCTCATCTGCAAACCTGATAATGTCAGGCGGAGCAAACAGAATAGACACATCAAAGGGGCCTAGACCAGGAGGAACATCTTCAAGTACTAAAGCAGGAGGTACTGGAGCTACAACTAGATTTAAGGCTTCTGCACCTAGATTCTAATCCATCTCACTCTAAATATAGACATCCCTCAAGCATATCTATGCACCCCAAGACAAGGGAGATACTGACGCATATGCTTGAGGAATTTCCACAGGGAAGATGAATCAGGAAGAGGTCTAATAGATCAGGTAGTCAACCGAGAAATGCATCCTCTGGCGATAGTCCTAAACCTAAAGCTACTAGTGTGATGAAGAAAGCTGTTGATGCTAAAGGAGCATCATCCTCGTCGAGCTCTTCAGGAGCAGCTGCCTCCAAGAAGAACACGAAAATGAATGCTGCAAAGGCACAAGCAAGCCCGAAAGGGAAAGCAGCAAGTCCGAAAGACGCACCTGCACCAGGATCAAAAAAGCCCGCGATGAAGAAACAATAGATGAAAATCCCGGAAACAGTTGTGTTGACTAGTTCAAAGTAGACCCAATCATTTTGATGCTATCTCAGCCCTAGAAGTTACCGTTACAGTATTTGTACTGAAGAATTGAATGGAGCAAGAAGTGCTGCTATACAGACGTCCTCTGAAGAAAAACTCTAGTGATGATGATGAGCACCGAAGATTAGCATCCAAGTAAATCTTTCTTAAGAACCTTATCGTTATTGGACAACTAATCGCTCACGACCTATCCAAGTATAAAAGTGATGTTGAACAATAGATATAGAGACTCATACTTACAACATGGAATCGAGGACTAAAGATTCATACTTAGAGTCGAACAACAGGAAATCGAGGACTAAAGATTCTTCGCGACACAAGATTTCAAGTAATGAGTTGTAGCGCGGTCCTCGACCCCTTACGAGTCCGTCCGCGATATGAAATTCATATGCTAAATGTTGTACTGTCAAAACATCAAGAGCACTCAAATTCAATTGATTTTCATCATAGATGAAAGGAACAATGTTCGACGATAAAGAACAACATAAAGAACTTTCAGAAGCAGGACAACTAGAAGGCACAAGCTCGTCGTGTGGATATTTGAATTAGACACGACAACTTCACAGGTTTTGAAAAGATCCATTTACAGTGACGTCGGTCCTATGTCAAAAGAGATCAGATGGCTTCTGGAGGTTCTGCGTGTTACAGTGTACTTATGATCTTCAAGATGAAGAAGAAGAAGAGATCGACCCAACGAGGAAGCAGTTGACAGATCAATTTGATGAGTTCGTTGAAGAACTGAAGATCATGGTCGTGCGCAATACTAGGGCAGAATAAAGCTGAAGACCTGGGTCAGCGCCAGAGGACGATCTTATATCCAATTGTGATCAACATGACATAGAGCTTCACTTGTTTTATCAAATCACGATCACTCTCACTCTACTAGAAAAAAACACAGACAGGTGTATTTCTATTTGCTCTAGTACTTTGTTTAGCGCAGGAGCTAGTATTCGTTTTCGTATTTTTCTCAACTAGTAGCAACGAACACGAGCACGACGAGCATCAACTGCAAATAAAATGGGAAAATCTCGTAAGCGTCTCCGCGATGTGGACGTTGCAGAACAGGAAGGCGCTCGCCCCAGGAAAGCTGACTACCGGCAACGCGCTCACTGCAACCCTCTGAGCGACTTTTTGCTGCCAGCGCCTATCTCTCCTGCGCACATTGACTGGAGTCTGCACTATCCAGACCTCTCACTTCGCGCAGGACCATTGGGAGTGGAACTAGAGCCTTCGAAGGAGCAGGATAAGAAAACTCTTTCTGGAGAAGCACAAGAAGCTGCTTCCTCTGAGGATGCGGTAAAGAAGCAGCGAAAAGTAGATGAAGATCACGAGAAGATTTCTTCATCAGATCTCGTTGTACCTGGAGTAGAAGAGCTGCTGCTGGAGGAGCAGGAAGGGGCATCGGCTGTCGATGACAACAAAGCCTTCTCGTCAACAAAGCGGCTGTTCCTCAACACTTCCAGTTTCCCTCTCTCCTATCCAGAGGTGGCACTCGCCGCACCGACTATGAAACCCACTTTCGGAGTCGATTTCATCGACGTCGGGTGTGGCTTTGGGGGCTTGACTGTTGCCCTGGCAGAAGAATTTCCAGAAAAAAATGTTTTAGGTTTGGAAATCCGTGAACAAGTGACTAATTACGTTGGTTTGAGGATTCTGGCAAAGAGAGATGCGTGGAAGAAAGACAAGGTGAAGAAGATCTCTTCAACGAGTCGTGTGACGGAGGTAGAAGATGAGGCGAGTGGTGCTGGAGTTGTAGGTGTTGGTGTGACTACAACATTTACTTCTTCTTGTTCAAAAGGTGGAGCTGCAGAAGTGGAAGCACAAAAAGAACAAGAATCCGGTGTAGAAGCTGGATCATCAACATTAGAACAACAAGCTCGACGTCCTGTCATAGCATCATCTACTTCAACAATCCCTTTAAGAATTCTTGACAACAAGCAAGAACAGCAACTGCACCAGGACCAAGAAAAAGTAGACGAGCTGCATCATTTTTTCAATGCTGCTGTTATGCGTACGAACGCTATGAAGACTTTTCCCAATTATTTTCGGAAGGGCGAACTCTCCAAACTCTTTTTCTGTTTCCCTGACCCTCACTTCAAGAAGAAGACCCACCGTCGCCGCATCGTCAACGATTCTCTCCTCAGTGTGTACAGCTACTGTCTCCGTCCCAACGGACGAATCTACTGCATCACCGACGTCAAAGACTTGTACGAGTGGATGTACGACTGCTTGGCACGTCATCCTGGCTTTCAGGAGATTTTTACTCACGACACCATTCCGAGGGAAAAGGCGGAGAAGGAAGACGTCTGCGTCAAATTGATTCACGAAGCGACGGAAGAAGGGCATAAGGTGAAAAATCTTGGACGCTTCGGGAAAATCATGTACTACTGCGTCTTTGAGAAAAAGTAACTGAGTCAAGTACTGAAAATAACCGAGTTACTGACTGAAATAAGGGAGGCAGCTTTGACAGGGCTACTTGTCCTTGTTCAGTATCTCGCTTATTTTATGTAGTTACTCGCTTATTTCAGTTTATCGAAATTATCGACCACCACTCTCTCTCTTCACGTCGAAGTCAGAGAAGGCTTAGAGGCAAGTTACACCCATCACGACCTCGGGGAATTCTTGTCCTCATGGTTCGCCCAAAAAGATCAAGATGAACCTGCGCATTTTACTTTCCTCAGAAGAGGTCACACATCAACATTGAGGAAACAAGAACCCAATGACTCAACATTTGTTTTTCAATATAACGCCAGATTTTTAAGTTAAATGCACATCAAAGATTGTCGTCGCCGGAATAAGATTGTAACCACCTGCTCCCATTTAATCATCATGTTCTTCATGAAGACTTGTGATAGTCGTGCTGGGGCGAGATGGATCGGGGCTTGTAGTTGATCGGTCGTGTTGTACTTGGAAATTATTCAAATCGTCGCCGTGGTTGATCTGTGGTCGACCAAGAAGGCCTACTGGGTGAGACGCACCTCCAAGGAGAATCATCAAAATGGAGCTGGCACATCTATGCTGAGAAGTGGTGGTTCGTTCCGTAGTCGCAGTTTGAAATGATATTGTTTTCATTTTTCATCCACTTGAATCTACTTTGATTTTTTTATTTTTGTAGATACTTTTTTGGAATACGATTACGAGTAGTTTCATCTTTTCTGGGGACTCTTTTTCATATGGCAAGATTGATTTATGCTATGTCTCAGCACACAAGTATAGGCAATTGCAACTACTTGCTTTCTGAAGGTTCAATACATGAAGATAAGATATCATTTCGATCTGTGGTAGAAGGGGTTTCGGAAAAGAAGAAGCTATTTTCTCAAGTTATTTTTGTCAATCACTGTGTCTAATGCCATCCAAGATGAAGAATCCTCTTCTTTCTTGAGATGCAGATGTCAGTTCGAAAATATATAATAATTATCAGAATGCAGGCACAGGCTATGTGGAGGACGAGGAAGTCGTTTGCTTTCGAGCTTGAATGTCCTGCTCGGGCACCACCGAGCATACTGACGGGTTTTTGACTGGCTTTGTTCCGTCCCGTATATCCTGCTCATACTAACTTGCCTGCCCTATTTAATTAAATGGATAGGAGCCAGCTGTACTACCTGTAGTACGCATAGTACTGGGTGCGCTGAGGAACGCTCCATCTTCCTCCAGAAGATACTGCTAGAGGTCGTACAACGTCAACGCTGTCAACACTACACGCTGGACAACGCGCACCCACCGCGGTGGAAGAATTGAATATCACGAGGATAGTTACGCACGACCACGTCTTCATCGCAAGTAGTCGAGGGAAGGCGTGGAACTACAGGAGCTTCTGCAATCTGGCGGCTTTAGCTTAACAACGAACGCAGCGAACTCGCCCACGTCCACTTGGTGCACAAGAATACGACGAAAACCACTAAGACTTACTTGTCTTTCACCGAGACCGAGTAGTCCCCTCACGCTTCGGCTGACTAATCAAACAAGATGACGCGTTCAGGGGATGCTTTGGCGTTTGAGAAGGCGTGGCGCGAGGCCGCTGCCTGGGCCAGGCAGCACAACGAGGCACGAGTAGTGATCGAAGTCCAATGTCAGAAACTACGGACAAGGCTGGAGGAGAGCGAACGACTGCGAAGTCTAGAGACGCAAAGGCTGGCCGCACAGATTGAGAAGATGATTATGTTGCGAAGAAAACAAATCTTTTGTTTTCGATCTCCTTGATGTATCCTTTTATTTTCCAAAAAATCCCATCTAGTCTAGCGTCGTAGGAGCTCATCATGATCACCATTTAGAAGGATTGCAGAAGCACTACAAACGTCGACTTCTACTTGACTTCTTATTTGCTCAACATCTAATTCAAGACTAGATACTCACAAGGAGAGGGAGCGCATTGAGAAGCTGGAGACTGAATTCTCGTTGGCATTTGAAGACGAGGTGCAGCGATTACGGAGTAAGCACGAATCAGAAACGACTAAAGAGGCGATTGTAGTGGTATAAAGAAGAAGAACCTCCTTGTTAAACTTGAAAACGATAATCGACTATGATCATGAAGAAGCTTCATGGATGAAGTAGAAGATTGCAACGTCCTTATAACTATGAATTTAAGGCTTCTTCTTCCAATCTATCGTTCCAATCAACATGGATCTCTCTGTCTACTTCCACGAATCAGAATCGCCTCGCCTCCTCCACTCTTCTTCCCGCCTCTGATTCAGGTTGAGCGTCTGAAGAAAGATTTGGCAAAATCAGAACGCGAAAAGGCTGATTTGATGTCAAAACTAGCGCAGATGGAGAAGACAGCTAAAGCACGAGACCGAAAAAAGACTATCATATCCGCTTATTCAGTGATGGACCCTAGAAGCAGCTCATCCTCCTCCGACGCAGCGAATTCGGATAACATAATGTAGTTCTACTTTTATCTCGTCCTGCTCTGTACTGCAGAAACAGAATAAAGCTTGATGCTACTTTTCGCGCTAGTCGGCAATAGATGCGAAATGAAAAGAAAAAAAGCGGCGCTGCCCCTGCCGCTCCATCGTGTTTCGCTGCTAAGACTCGAGCCGAGGGCCAGCATTGGCGCGCAGGGTGGGCGCACTAGCCCAAACGGCAGGCAGGCGCATGGAGTCGGGCTCTGTGATATCATTCGGGAGCGGCCCGGGAATCTTTGACAAAGACCCAAGGCCCCAAGGAGGAAGGCGTCCCGCAGTAATGACATAGCGCGGCCGAACCCTTGCGCAATATGGATGCGGACGAGAGCGCCCCGGGCGTCTCACTCCAGGCGCATTGCCTCGCCAAAATACCCCGCCGCTTCGGGCTTGGTGGCATGGGTCGGCCCAGGGGCACGCGCTGGCGGACTGCAGTGCTGCGGAGTCTGATGACTGAGACCGAGGGCGAGGCGGGGCGCCTCCTGCGGCGTCGGCTGCGTTGCCGCGCATACGTGGCGACCTTGGTAAGGAACGCCTGCCATTTTAACAACCAGGCAGCGGGGGAGCGCGCTTGGCTGAAGAGCCGCGGGAGGCGGGCAACAAGCTGAGGCGCCTGGGTTCATCTGCGTTCTCGAGGGCTCATAAAACTGCTAGAAGTAAGGGGGGCATCGGTAGGGCCGAGGACATGGGCGGCGCGTTTTCCAATAGTTTCCGGCTTTTCTCATCGTGGGGCAGCTCGTCTTGCTCTCATGCTTTGGCTTAGAGGGTGAAGGACAAAGAAAAGCGGGAAGCTGGCAGGCGGCCACCAGCGCAGGCATGTGCTTTGGCGGGCTCGGCTTCGAGTCGACAGCCAGCGACACGCCCGCCCGCGTGGTCTTCCGACGGACGGCGTGACTTCTTCACGCTGGAGACGCAGGGCGGCACTCGCTCCTTGCCTTGCCCTCCTTTTGCGTGGCAGCCTGGGCGGACTGACTGTCTGACGGAACCAACAGGCGGCTGCCCCCAGCACTTCCGTGCTTCTGTGTCGCCTACCTTTCGTCTCCAGCGTCTCCAACAACTTGCCAGCGCGGGCCCACGGGCTCCAACGTGGACTGTGCTCGGTGCTATCACGTGGCGAAGGTGGTCCACCGCGTTCACGGTGGCGGCAGCAGCCAGCTTGGACGCAAGAGGAGGGCCGCAGGCTGCTGCACTCGGTCGCCATGTATTCGGTCGCCATGCGGGTGATCGGTTCCCGCAGCGGGGTGGGTGACAGACTGCCTGGCCCCCGCTGCGGCGCGCGGTCTGTCTTTCGCTCTGCGGTGAGCAGACAGAGGCAGGAACTGAACGCGCGGCCGAGCTGTCTGCGCGGGCACTTGTGCAACAAATGGGCCGGAGGCTGACAACCCAACGGGCAGTGCGCCGCCTGGTGGTGGGGCATGCAGATGCGGACGTCGCGCGGCGAGGTCGCCAAATTGGCCTGCCAGGACGGAGCGAGCAGCGAGGCCACCCGTTACCGCTGAGGGAGGGCGGAGGCCATGCTCGCTCCTTGTCGTCTTTACATAGCGGGAGCGCCTGGGGGAAACAACGGACCTCCTTCCCGCCCAGGGGGCCTCCTTTTACTTCGCAAAACTCGGGCACGTGCGACTCGTTCCCAAAAAGTTGGCTGAGGCGCTCGGCTGAAGGCTGCGCGGGGCGGTGTGCCGGGCTTCGCGGTCCCTGTCGGCTGGCACAGACTGCAGACGCACGGCAGCGCCGCCGTGCCCGCAGGCAGAGGCGAGCGGCAGAGGCGGCGGCGCCCTTTGCTAAAGCGCTGGCGACTCCATCGTGAAGTAAAAAATACCGGCGCGCCCATCATCTGCGGCCGCGGCTCGCTCATCTGGTGGCCACTGGTCACTTGTAACCGGCTTCAGCGTTATTTTCTAGCTAGCTAGCTAGCCTTTCACCTTTCTTAGGGCATGGCTGAGTTTACGGTCTATCCATAGAGGAACCCTAACTTCTTTCCTCATGATCATCGCACATTATTTGCACTAGGTAGTAGATGGACATCAACACGGTCAAGCGCTGATGTTGAAGACTGCTCATTTTGAATTATTCATGAGGACCACTGCAAAAGTTTCAACATCTCGTCCACCTTTAATTCTCCACCTCAATCTTCTTTCTCCTTCAGATGGTCCATTTTCGTTTGGGATTTAGCGGCGATTTTGTCTCTGCTAGTAGTGATCTTGGCGCTCATATACGGTGGAATGACGGAGACTCGGGTGCCATTCTTCTCCTATCATGCGCCGGACTACGATTATGCCCAGTGGACCCCGCAATCACTACATATGATGTCATAGAAGAAGCTATGGGAGACTATTAGGTAGGTGATGTCATAAATGAAGTTGTCTCGCAGCACTGCATTGTCGTGAAGATAGGCAGCTACTGATGCCAGCGCGGTTGTATCCTAGCACCGCAAGGTTATTGTAAAAGAAAGTTCAATCACGACATTAAACTTCATCCAAGTCATTTTTGATGTCGTAACTGACCACGAAGACACTGCGAGTCAGTTCCATACAAACACATCTCTGTCATGACACGACCAGTCATGTTAAGTATTTAGGACTATCAAATAAAAGATTGAAATTGATAACTACTTTGTTCTCCCTCGTCCTCGGCGAAGATTTTACCTTATTTACCAGGTCAAACACATCAATCCTTCACTTTTTACAACTACTCCTGGCACCTCACATCATTGATGATGACACTCACAAGAGCTTACTTACGACGTTACACCAACTCTTCTTTTTTACACTCAAGAAGTTGGACGGCTCGTCACGAAAAAATCGAAGATGATTTGACATGAATTGTCCAGAAGAAAAAAAGGAAAAGATGGATGCACGACCTTGAAGAGCAAGTTTGAAGTATCAGCATTCTGATGTCCCTCGCCCTAGCCTCCTCTGATAGAGGGGGTATGAGAGGTGGTTGCGAATCATACCAACGCTCGAGAATGCCGAGAATACCAAGAGAGCTGGATCTGTGCAGCTTCAAAATCTCGGATCAGGGTTTTGAACAGAAGGTAACTACTAGTACTAGTAGTTACTAAGTGGTTTAGGTTTTGATGCTTCATCTGCTAGTCAACAAAGGCAGGTTATAGTTACAAATACAAAGAAGATCATGGCCTCCCGTGGTGGTCGGTACTTGCTCTTGCCTGCTTGGTCAGGGCATAGTCGGCAGCAGTTTAGACGTACAGCCGCTGCCGGGCTCGGTGCGTACTACGTCTATTTTGGGATGGTTCTTTATGATTTACGGGGAGATCGGTATTCCGATTGGATTATTTGGATAAGTAGTCGTGTGAACAAGACCACATCCACCTGGTGTTGGGCCTCTCTTCTAGATCTAGTCGAGAAGTCCCAGATCTTCTTGGTAAAAACAAGTGTTTCACCTTAAATGGATACATAATTTTTCAGGTAAACTGCAAATTTGATTACCTAGAAGAAGCAAGTTCTTCTAATTTGTATACCAAAAGTCCCGGCAAAACGACAACTTGGCGGATACTCTCAGTGAGGAAGAGAGGCTTAAGATTTTTGACCAAATCGCAGGAAAGTGGGATCGCATAGTATTTTGGGATGAGTTTTTCAATCGCGTGTGGTGGTATCGACGCCGACTGATACGAAGTTACGCTAGTCATGGCGATGTGTTGGAAGTCGGCTGTGGGACAGGAGCAAACCTTGGCTATTACCAATGGAGGAAAAGGACGAGAAATAGTGGTCATGATGATCTTGTTAAACAAGGAAACGGTTCCGGTTGGTCATCATCTTCATGGTCATCGCTTCATCAAAAAGATCAATATGGGGTGAACTCGCTGACTCTACTCGATTACTCGGAGTCTATGCTTGCAGAGGCAAGTGTAAAAGTTGCGCAATTGCCTGGAGACCAAGAGAAGGCGAATATACGACTAGTCCGTGGATCCACCTTGGATTTGAAGCGAATGGAGGAATTTGATTCGACCGCGAGGAAGCGCTGTAGTGAGTCGCAAGACTTTGCTAGTACAACTGATGCTGATAGTTGTGAAAGTGATCATCCACAGCACAGGAGGTCGTCGTGTTCGGATCCTGCCTGTAGTTCTCTTTACTCCTCTCGCGACTCCACCTGTACGACTCCTCGTACAAGAACTACATCATGCGACACCAGAGGTCATCAGGTAGTTGACGCGGAGGAATACACGCCTTCATCTTCTTGTAGTAGTGAGGATCACGACATCAGCACCGATCCACCGAGACGGGAACTGCAGAAGTTCGATACTTGCGTAGAAACTTTCGGCTTGTGTAGCTACGGCGAACCTTTGAAAGCCTTACGTGAGATGTGGTCCATCCTTCGTCCCGGTGGCCGTCTTGTCTTGCTCGAGCACGGACGACCAAAAGAGGGCATGCTTGGGATTGTGCGATACCTTAGCGAAATCTCCATGCGACGAAACTTACATCTTTTCGGATGCAACGCGAACTTGGATATTCAAGGATTAGTCAAGGAGGCGTTAGAAGGCGAAGCTTATAGTTACCTGCTGATGGAGAGGAAGCAGTTTGGGCATATATATCTGTTTGTGATTGAGAAACAGGGTAATTGTAGTAGCTCTTCGTGTCAACGATCTCCGTGTTGAACAATGAAGGAGCGTAAAAACTAATCAGGGTTATATTTTTGTAAGAGATCATACTTTCACTTGATGTGACAGCGGCAGCTGCAGGAGTCGTAAGACTACAAACCATGAAGATAGAGACCAGGATACTGATCAACAACATGAGTGGTATATTTCATTTTCGAGAATCAATCACGCTCTCGATCATCTTCAGTATAACAGCAGCGCGTCAAGCCTTGGCCGCGTTTGCAGCAGCATACCTTGCCTTCTTCTTCTTGTCCGTTTTTCTTCTCGTTCTTCATTTGGCCTCGCTCATTTTTGAGGTACCCAAAGGATCACGATCACCATCTTCATCAAGATCTGTGTGCCATTCCCATACTGTTCTGTTGTACTTGTAGTTCTTCAGTTTTATATATTATCACAGTTTAAGAAGTCGTAGTCGTAATCTTTTTCTTGTCCTCGTGGACGTAGTACAACTTCTACAACTATCACGACGGAGCAAATTCTACTTCTTCTTGTTGTAGAGCATCCAGCACTTCCCGCTTCCACCTTCCACACCTTTTCTACTTTTTAGTCATGCAGCCGCCCTGGTAGCTGATGAGTACCAGACACATTTATGATCAAAGAAAATGAAGCTCATGAGTTGGGTGCTTCTTGGGTATGTTGGGATTGTTAGCTTTGGTGTCTTAATCTTCCTCAAGGGGAAGCCAGAAGGGAACAGCTTTTTCGACAAAAGCTGGCGGTTTATCGTCCGCACAGTGCCAGACATACTGAAAACATGCGCTCGGAAACTGGGTGGAGACCGGGCCGAGAAATGCCTGGTTGATTCGTGGACGTACGTTGTTTGGTCCTGTAACCCGTTTGTGCAGATCTTCTATCTTCTTAAGGCTACTTATTTATAGAAGACCTGCACAAACGGGTCACAGGTGAGATCTATCTTGTGTTCGAAGGATAGGGGACCACTCAGAGCACTTGTTATTTACAGATAAATAGTCAGGAGGAGCGCGTGGAGGTCTTCGTTATAATCGACATTGCTTGTCGTGGTCCAGCTACCAGCTAGTTTCAAAATCTTCTTCTATCCCCATACCCATTCATCATGGTGTCTAAATGTCTAATCTGCTCATCATCTGTGCTGGCTATGCAGTATTCGTGCTGCATGGGTATGGAGAGCTCCCCAACAAGTACTGCGGAGGATGGCACAAGTATACGGGATTTGCCACGTTTCTGTGGTGCATCTACAACTTCGGCATGGCCTCCATGAAGGATCCAGGCGTCATCACAGAAAGGAACCTGAAAGCGGTGGAGCGGATGTTCCCGTTTGACGAGAAGATTTTCAGCTCTGGTATCGAATTTAAGGCAACTCCTAAGCTTGTCACAATCACTATCCCAGCATGTCTGTCGTGCATCGTGTTTCTTATTTGTGGACTATGACTATGTCTATGATGTATGCTCATCCTCATTTGCTCTTGCTGTTTTTCTTCTGAGTGGCGGGTTTCTCCTTGATATATAATCGTCCATTGGATCACTCGAAGAGGACGAGGAAGGGAATCCACCCAAGAACCAGGGATAGTGGTTGCCTAAAAGCGTTAACGAATGCACGACATGCAGTTTCGTGAAGCCAGCTAGGTCAAAGCACTGCGGCTTGTGCAATTGGTGCGTAGCAAAGTTTGACCACCATTGCATCTGGATAAACAACTGCGTTGGACTGCAGAATCACTACTATTTCTTGATTTATGGCAAGGACAACAAGCGGAAGAACAAGATGTGAATCAATGAGGATGAGGAGGGGAAATTGTAAGCGTCAGCGGGTTTCGATCTAAATACTTCTTTCATACATGAACCTGTACCTTGTTTTCCTGCACGTCGAGCGGTGGATCATATGGATCATGAGCATGAGTCTTGATTGGCTTTTGCCGTAAAACGGCGAAGGTGTAGGTCCAGCGACGCTCAGAGCAGTTAAATAAGCAGCCGGCTCGTTTTCCTCTTTCTACTTTTAGGCTATCCCTTCATGCAAGATATTATCTTCCGCCGCTCCCGTCGCCATAAAAAGAGCCACTTCATCGTCTAACCTCCGTTCTTGCTCTCAAACGCGTTGATCTGTCTTTATTGTGTGGCTCTCGGCGTACCCATATTATATGCCTTTGTCGAGCAAAGAAGATTGTGGGATGCTGTTTTTATCGATCCGAAAACTAAATTATGAAGCTATACTACTCCAACAGCTAGGACTTCTTCTTGTATCCTTGTCTAACAGAAGAGTAAAAGACTTCTTGACATCTTCGCGGTCTTGTCCCTTCTCTAACAAAAGACCCAACCGTCGGGGGAAGATCCTCCCCTGATTGATGGAACCGGTGCCATGATTGATGGCGGGTCTAGTAAAGTATATCTACTAGCTTGGAGCGTCCGATAACATCCCTCCCACTAGGATCCCCCTCCTCCCCAAAGTAAGAAACTAAGCAAGGCAAAGATGTAAGCGGTGCGCGTTTTCAAATTTCGAAAATTTTCCACGTTTTGCCATCGTTTGAGGGTTGGATCTCGTGCGTTTGAAGTCAAGGGCTAAGACCCCAAAGCTTTTCGACTTTAAGCCGTTCCGCTGAGATTCAACTTCCTGGATTTGCATTCTTCAAATTTCGAAAATTCTCCGCGTTTTATGGTCGTTCTGGGATTGAATTTTGTGCGTTTGAAGCGCTAAAGCCCCAAAGTTTTTGACTTTCAGCCCTTTCCCTGCGATTCAGTTTCTTGGCTTTGCATTTTTCAAATTTCGAAAATTTTCCACATTTTGTCGCCGTTTTGGGGTTGAATTCTGTGCGTTTGAAGTGCTAAAGTCCCAAAATTTTTGATTTTAAGCCCTTTCCCTGAGATTCAACCTCTTGGCTTCGCGTTTTTCCAATTTCGATAATTTTCCACGTTTTTCGTCGTTTTGGGAGTGAATCCCGTGAGTTTGAAGTGCTAAGATCCCAAAATTTTTGATTTT